TATATATATATATATATATATATATATATATATATATGTATATATACATACATATATACATATAAAAAAAACTTCCTTCGAAGAACAAACTGCTTAGTAAAAATGGAAGTACTTCGTAACCGGGAGCGGCCGGCTGTGACGGGAACCCCGGAAACAGCAGAACGCGTCAGACCGGAGCCCTCTTCTCCGGTGCGGCGCGTCCACCACTCCCGCAAAAGGAGTCACATATACATATATGTACAAAGGACTTTTTACTAGTACGAGGAGGGATGCCGTTAGGGTGATTCGAGGAGGTAAGCGCGAGCGCGCGGCGTCATTTTGCGCACACGACCCCTGCTGCTTATGCTGATGCCAGGCTGCGGCTCGGGCGTCGGCAGGCTCTCCTCGTCGCTGTCCTCGGCGTACGAGCGACGCTTGATCTTGCGCCGGTTTCTCACGGGCGCCGCCGCGGTGCTCTCGTCGTCGCTCTCCTCGTTGTAATGGGGACGTTTCGTGCACCGCCGCCTGGTATGCGGATGCACACCGCTCGTCGTCCGTGACGACGAGTTCGCGGAGTGACGTTGTCGTCTTCGCCGACGAGAACCACGCGGCGTCGGCTTAAACGACGCTTTGTACGTCGAGTCGTCGCTGTCCGAATCCTGATTGTTGGCGCGCCGCGATTGCCCCCCCTCCTCCTCTTCGTCCTCCTCCTCTTCTTCTTCTTCTTCTTCCTCCTCTTCCTCCTCCTCGTCCTCGCTTTCGCTGTTGTTGTCGTTGTTTCTGCCATTGTTCGTGACGTACTTCTGACTCTCCTCGTTCCCGGTCGCCAACTTCCGCGACCTCGTGTCCCTCCTGACGAACTTCTCGTCCTCGCTCTCCTCCGTGGACTCGGGCGCGACGAAACGCTCCTCCTCGTCGTCTTCTTCCTCTTCCTCCTCGTTGTCCTCGTTTGTCTCGTCCACGTCGTCGTCCTCGTCCTCGATAACGCTCGCCTTCGCCTTAGCGGAGGACTTGGCAGACCTGCTGCTGTTCTTATTGTTCTTACCGCGATTCTTGCGCTTGCCGCGGACACCGCTTGGCGTGTAATCGTAGTCCCCGGAATCGGAATCACTAGCTAGGTTACACACACTAGGTACCGCTGTTCTCGTTCTAGTTCTTCGGACAGGTGCACTGTCACTGCTATCGGTGTCAGACGCCTCGGACTCACTAGCGTCACTGTCATTGTTCCTCCTGTCACTGTTCTTCTTCTTCCTCGACAAGCTCGACCGGGAGATACGCAGCTTCAGCATCGGCCTGGACGAGCCGGAAGCCGACCGCTTCGAGTCACCGTTCGCCAGCCGGGACGGACCTGAAAAGCCGCCGGGATATGAATAAAAGGAGTTCAGGATCATCGGTTCCGGCGATGCAATTCGTCTTGGCCGCTCTAAATATTGGCAATAATTTGCAATTCACTCGTTAGGAATCTCTTGCTTTTCCAAAGTATCCATTTCGTTCTGATTTTATATATATTTTTTTTAATTATTTCCCCCCTTTTCACTATGAATATACGTAACACATTCTCAATGATTAACTAATTCCTAACATGACAATGACCATATGAATATCACGACGCATACAAAATGATAATTTGGAAAATATGCGCGTACCAGGTACACATAGTGAGTTAGAATTTTTCTTCTGTTCTTTACCCGACTCGTCATCCTCGCTATTTATGTCATCGTCGTCATCGTCGTCGTCGTCATCGTTGTCGCTACGAGCGGACTTCGACTTGGGTGGTCCTGCACATATGATTTAAAATAGTCATTTTTTTTCGTTTCATAATAAAATTCTAGTTCCCACGAAAAAAGAAAACAGCATCGACCACTCAAACGAAAGAGAGAGAAAGAGAGAGAACGCAAGGGCCATAAAACAGAGTGCATCCTTTTCTTCGTGTATCTCGACCCCCCTTCTCAACACTCGGACTAGATATATTATGCTTATGTGTGGGACAATCGCTTGTGTTTCGTTGCATTATGTCGACGCGATGTGATAGTAACCGTTCTCACCTGTGCCGTTGGTTAAATTGTGCTTCTTCTTTTGCTTGCCCTTTCCTCGCGTATTCGCTTTCGCATTATTGGTACGTCTCCTAGCCGACTTCCAATTTGAAAGTATCCTTCGCATGTGCTCCTCGAACATGGCCGACAGTCTTATTGTCATCGAATAGATCTAAATATAAAGGAGATGATTGAAGGATGAAAAATTACAAATGAAGCAAACGCCCGGGTGGGACCTCCATTTCTACGATTTGTCACTGAGTTGAAAGCATCCGCCACAACTCACCCTTGAACGCTTGTTGGTGTTGTAATTTCTACTATTCGTGAATATTAGTCTCATGTCTTTGGCAAACTCTACTGGCGTCTCATAATTACCGCCTATTAAATCCTCCTTAACGGTACGGAGATCCATCGGCGTATCGATGATTTGATGATAATCCGGATGTTCCAGTCTGTCGACTGGTTCCCTGTAACGAAAGAATCAATATTTCGCCGATGGTTACATTCCTTTGGGACGAACTATAACGATATTAAAGTCCCTGATCACTCGCTGTGACTGTCCTTGTTTAATGACGTCAAAAACAAGAGAAGGCACGCCAAGATTTCCTGCGTTATATGTTGAAATAAAAATTTAATGACGTCAAAAACAAGAGAAGGCATGCCAAGATTTCCTGCATTATATATTGAAATAAAAAGCATATTTGTAAAATTGTCCGAACGCTTTTATTTTATTCGAACAATCAATGACGCGTCTTGAAACGAGGACAGTCACAGCAAATAGTCGGGAGCCTTGAAAACAGAAGACCATCTCTTCCCACGACTCACCGGAACGGAATCGAATCTTCGCACAGCCACAGGCTGTCCAATAATTGACGGCACGCGCACCTCCAGTCTTTCGAGATGTCTTGCGAGCGTAAATTTCTACTGGACGTGGACGATCTCTGTTTACTCGTCGAAGGCCTATTCTTGGAATCATCTACATCCACTTCCGATTCAGAAGAATGGTATGTATCGAGCAACTGATGATACACCGCAGGAACATCTAGTTCGGTGATTTCCCTGTTTGCGTTGAAGAGATTATTTCTATAACCGTATCATCATTAATGACAAATCAAGAAGCACTGAGGAATTGAAAATCAATTAAGCATCGACAAAAGCAAGTGAATAACTCAAAGCATTGCACATTTAAGTTTCGCAAAAAAAAAAAAGGTATATCTTACTTTATTATGCGCAGACACAGATCCGTGACTATTCTCGCGTGCTTCACTATCGTGCTGTGGGTTTCGTTGAATTTCTCAGCGTTTGTCGCCAGATATCTCACGTCAAATTGCGCCGACGTGATTCTTCTGTAGAAGTGATTCTCGAAGCGAGCCTTGATGGTCGACAAATCGATCGGATACTCAACGATGTACGCGTAAGTCGGGTAAATGTTTAGATCCACCGGTACGACAAACGGCTCCGCAATCGCAAGACCCATCGCTTGATCGAGACCTCGTATAATTCGACGACAGGTTGCTTCTCTGTCACCCATTGGCCATTCTTCGGCGTGCGGCTGGTACAATATCGCTCGTATCTCCTCCGGCAAAACGGGAACCGCGCCGCCAATTTCCGCGGGAAGTCCTGAACAAGCAATTAACGTACATATATAGCGTATAAAGAAATTCAAACATCAAAAGCTATAAATATTACGTGCGAAAAATTCGCGGATTCAGTAATGTTCATATATACAGGGTGAGGCACCTAACTTGACCGCCTCGACACTGCCAAATTGTGCTTTGGTTTGTCAATCGAATCAATTGATATCGTTTTTAGCCGATACACGTTACGACATTGGAACTTAAAGTATCGGTGTAAAAAAATCGAATATTAAAACTCCCAAGTATCGGTATGAATCGGAACATTCCTACAATGAATTATTTTTTAACTGAAGCCAAGTGTGCTTACTGTCTTCGTCAACGGGTTCCAAATCCCAGGGGCTCATTTGTTCGTGCTCGCCGTTGTCCCACCTAACTTGAAAGCACATGAAATACGAATCCGGGAAATCCTCGTCCAACGGTTCCATCGATATGATCTGTCCCATCCACCAACCGTCGTCGATCATACAACGGAATTTATCACCCTCGGACCAGCTCCGCGCCAACGCGGTCTCGAAGGTCTGACGTAACACTAAGAAATCTAATACATCGGCCATATCGTGATACTTGATAGTAAAGTTCTCGCCGGTTATCCGGCCGTCCTCGTCCATCAATGCTAATTTCAAACAGCACAAGCGAGGCGGACGTATTTCGTACTTAATGCCCACAACCTTGACATATTCTTGTGCCTAGAACGTGCACAAGTTTCAATTAATATTACCTTTATCACGCTTTCGAGAGGTGGTTTCTTAGAGTTTAAAAGAAATTTACAAAATACTATGTCAAAGTGTTTACAAAATCCACATGAAATCGATGTTTCGAAAGATTGACTTAACGTTTCCTACTACATGTCAACAAAAAGCTTCTTCAATCAAAGTACGTACCCTTATACTCATTTTGGCCCACGGTTCGCACCGGATGCTAAGTTCGTAAACTTTCTTATTTCTAATCGCGTCCAGGTACAACTTGTGGCCTTGCCTGAAATATACGATTTCGTCGCCCATCTGTGGATAATAAGGGGCTTTCCTTGGTATAACCTCGGTGAGCCATTCCGAGGGTCGGTAGGCTTCAGGAACTTCACGACCATTAACTACCGGTATTTCCTGCCGAAGTTACAGAGCGACGAGGAAAAGAATTGCTTCAGGTCGAATTAATCACAGATCAAGACGATACACAAGGTGATTCAAAAACAATTCCTTATCATTAAAACTATGTAATCCCGACTAAATTCTGGGACAATTTTTCATGTTAGAATTGGTATGTTGCAGAATTTAGTCCCAGGATTATGTAGTTTTAATGATAAAGGGTCGCTTTCGAATCACCCAGTGTGAAAAACTGCGAATTTACCTTTTTTTTAGGACGCCTACTGCGTCTTCTGTCTGTATCACTCGGGGGTGTGAGGGATCTTTTCTTTACAACAGGTTTGCGTTTGCTACGTTTAGGCGGTTCTAGATTCAGCCCGTGATCCGCAATCCAATCTGAATATTCAGTGCTGGAATCTGTGGTTGTGCTATCGGAACACAAATCTTCCTCATGAGCGGTCGAGTCATTGCTGTTACTGCTGGCCGAGCTACCTGACGTGCCAACATTGTCAGGATTCTGCGAGAAAAAAAAAGGGAAAAATACGCGATTGTTTACGCTGAACCGCATAAAAAAGCTCTTTGTCAAGTTTTCGATCACTGTGTTATAAACAGCAACATCAGGATATTGGGATATTAACAACATTAGAATCGTATGCGAGTTAACTTGTCAATCGATACCAAGCATCCTGTGAAGTACCTCGAATTCCTCATCCTCTTGCTCCTCACCGCGAGTCGCTCTAGTCCTATAGCCGTGTCTAGCGGTTCTGTTGCGCTTGCGATTTACCAGCCTACTTCCTATATTGCCTTGATTAGCAGCGGTACTCGATACAGGCTGAGGCCTCCGTCGCATTTCCCGCCGCCAATTATCCAATTCCATGATAGACATCGCTTGACTTGACAAGTAATACGCAAAAATGCGATTAATGCGCGAATTTTCTCTTTCTATGTCTATGTCATGAAAGAACTAATAGATTTATTTAACTAAGTTTTGTACGATTCTCTTTCCGTCTCTTTTCCTTTCTCTCGTTCGCAAACCTAATTTGCTCGGTTGTAATATACATTGTTGATCTTGCAACGTACGAGATAATTGCGTTTGATACTCACATTTGTTTGATCTGAGCCCTTCTAACAGCTGCGTTCATAGGACGAGCGAGAATAGGCTTGTTCCACGGTGTAGTGCTATCCCTTTGCCAATTGCCACTACTTTGCCTGACGCCCTCGACATCACCCACCCTCCTCAGGCCGGGTCTGCTGGCACGAGGACTGGCTATCTGGCGAACCGGTTGTTCCGCAACGTTATTGTCCCTGTCCTCGGCAACGGCTTCTCCATCCGCATCGATATTTTGCCTTTGAGCAAGAGCCTCGATCAGTCGATCAATGTTCGATCTCGGCTCTTGTTCTGGAAGACCTTCTATAACTTCTTGAACTCCTGTTTAAGACATATTTACATGTCGTTCTATAATAAAAGTCGATCGGTGTAAAGTATGCCAAATCCGTATAAAATATGAGATAAAAAATATTTCATCGTATGTGTGATAATAATAATAATAACAATTATTTCCAGACAACGCAATGTCTAAAATCGAAACATAGAGAGACGCTTTTAAGACGTTAGAATATAAAACGTCTTAAAGATATCTTTGTGACGTCTTATGTCTCGATTTTTCAGACATTGTATTGTCTGGGTTATTATCTTACCGCCAGCACCAACCGCAATATTTGGTACTAATTGCTCGCCTCTGCAATTCTCTCTTCCCGGTACTAGCCTTTGTAACGCTGGTGGATAAGGATTTCCATCGACATCGACCAAAAACGGCGGTGGCATTAGATGTGGCGCTGTCTGCGTTTGCTCATCAAGAACATAATTGTTCCCGTCTCTTATCAAGGGCCGATAATCAGTATGGAAGAATAACTCCTTCGGTATCTGGGAATAATTGGAAAAAATTAAGCACACGCTACGAGTCAAGAGAAATTTACACACACACTGAAGCAGGAGAATCTCGTATGAACGGACCGACAGACTTACAATTTTAAGTCTCTCAACGCCGGATCCAAATCCATACATCAAAAGATGCCCATGAGAATCCGTGGCTGCGAGCATCGTACCATCGGGCGACCATTTCGCATCGAAGACGGCGCCATTTCCCTGGCCCTCGATGAAATTTTGAAAACACGCCATCGGTTCCGCATTCAATACGTCCCAAATGATGAGCTGCCCGTCGTGGCCGGCGCTGAGTATCACACGACCGTCTATCGGGTGAGACTCCAGCACGAAAACCTCGTCCTTGTGTCCACGCAGCACCTTTATCAATTCGCCCGATTTCGCGTTCCACACCTTCAACGAGCTATCATTTACCGCCGTTATGACGAATTCGTCGCTCACGTCCCAACTAACCATCGTCACTTTCGCTTTCTTATTCGTATCATCATCGATCTCCGGTTCTCTGTAACACAGAAAGATTTTTTCTAGCAACAGTATATATAATATACGGTGAGGAAAACTCGACAAAATACTTAGGAGCAAAAATTTATCGCGGGTAACGTGAGATACGAACCCAGGTAATTTAGTTGTCATAAGTAACTGTTTGTGCGACCATTGTTGTTGCTCGAAACGCCACACGCTAGCGGTACCATCTTTAGAACCGGAGATAAACTTTAAACCAGTGTGCGCCCATTGAATACTGTCGACAGTATCGGAATGCGCCTCAATCTCGAGGACCCTGCGTGGTCCCTCGTCGCCCATCATCGCGTACACCCTCACGTTATGATCCGCAGACCCGGCTGCCATGAACGAACCACCAGGACTGAAGGAAGCACAGATCATTTGCGCTTGACCGGGTCGCATTTTCTCGTGATACTGAATGGGCTTTGATCTGCAACAAGTTCACATATTGTCGCGATTGTTCTACATACGTAAAATATATGTTATATATATGAAATAATAACAATAATAATGTTAATTTTTATTAACAGAAAAACTCTTTGGCATACATAATAAATTATATATCGCAGATTGCCTATAAAGCAGAAGTTAAGAAGAAAAGAATACAATATGTGGAGAAATGTTCATCATCGTATTGTTTACACAGAAAATTGGTCGAACTTACTGAAAAACTGCTCTTTCATTTGGTTTCTGTGTGTAGGACCAAAAGGCTACGGACCCGTCGGTACTAGTGGAGACCAAATAGTACACGTCAATACATATTATTGGGCAAAAATTGACGGACGTAATCATTCCCGAATGTCCAGATAAGACTGCCACCTTGGAAGAAGAAAGAAAGAAAGAAATAACATGTAAAAATACTTATCATCCGCTTACATTGCGAAAAACCTATATATCTTTATATTAACATCCGACACGTGCGACATTACACGTTACAAAACACTTGTATCCTCCCAGGGAAGTAAAAAAATAGTATGTCGTTGCAATAGCTGCGATCAGGGTGTAAAATGCCCGTTCTATCTCTCCTTTATAAACTTTTACGTTCAATATATATACTCACGGGCGACATCGTCTGGAAACACCAAACACGTAATATTCGATCTAAGCTTCCTGCTGCCAGCAGAGTGTTATCGAAATTTACCGCAATATCCATGATTTCCGCAGACGCGCCTCGAAAAGTGGCGAGCAAACGACCATCGATGGAACTCCAGACTTTGACGAGCAAGTCGTCCGCTCCGGTTATGATGTATTTGCCAGTGCGGTCAAACAGCACACAATACACAGCGGATAAATGGCCTAATGTGTGCCGGTACAGTTGCATCTTGCTGTAGAACTTGGTCGGTATCGCCTCCCTTCGACTTAACGGACCAGAATTCTCACGTCCCTGAAGTACACGTACTATTGGGCAAAAACATACGTGTGTGTGTGACAAAATTATAAATTGACGTTTTAAATACGTAGAAAATAAGAGTACAAGCGGAGCGTTGAATAATACACAATGGCACGATGCACTTCTTAACGCAAGTATAAGAAACACAGCATATAGCATGGCGAAACGATCCACAACAGATGGGAGTCATAGATGTAAGCAACACACAAGTTTTGGCAATGTCGTAGAATAAATGTTCGCTTCATAACTAAAAATGCGTGTGCGCTATAACCTTAACACTCTCAATCTCTTACCTATATTAGGCACTGATAAGCTACCAGGGCGTTCTAGGAAGGGTTTTCCACCAAATCTTCCAGAATAATCGACGATACTGCGCGTATGCCGCGTAAGATCTATAATAAAGGAATTTTGCATATATTATGTATGTTGTTTTACGAAATAATTAGAAAAATTCAGTTATCCTGGACACGGATTTACCAGGCATTTTTTTCATACCTTCGTGAGTACGCAATAAAGATTGTCTGCCAGCTCCCAAAAGTGATATGGCTCCAGGGACACATGGCGGCACTTCTTTTTCCAATACTGGACCAATTCTGGCGCATATTTGCAATAGATGATGTGGTCCGATGTGAGGATACTTTCTCTCCTATAAAAATCGTCGCCACGATAAATTGCTATGAAGTCATTCACAGAAATTGAAAGAAAATCATGTTCAGATAAAATACAAGCATGTAAAAAACATACATTGTATTAAATACAATTTTACGATATGTAATATTTTAAAAAGCTACGCAACTTGGTTTCAACATTTATAATATATCTTGTTCATCTCTTCCTTATTTCCACGTGATTTCTTATGATGTTAAACACATAAAATCTGTCTAATAAGAGAGCGTAACCAGACGAACTTTTGTTTGGAAACCATTAAATCGAGGACTTTTGAACGACAGCAGCGGGTGGAAGGGCTCTTTCCCTACGATGCATTATCGCACGGAGGATCCCAGTCATTCAAGTTCCGGTCTCTGTTCCCTGCGTATAACGTTTGGCGCAAAAAATTCAAAGCGAACAATCAAGTAGTTCCCGCGTCCGGCTGGAGGATGCGCATGCGCGCCGCGTCGACCAATCTGTGCGGGACGCTCGTTACGCACGAGACCCGTTTCTATAAATAAGCCACGGCATCTATATTCATTGATCAGCTCAAGCAAAATGGCTGGAAAAGTGTGACGATTGGTCGGACCAGCGTTGGCGGTGGGGACGGTGTTTTATGCGAAGGAGAGGGGGAAGGGGGGAAAGAATGCGGGGGAGGGAGGAAGGGAGCGAGAGAGAAAGAAAGAAGGGAGAGGAAGAATGATGAGAGGAGGTGGAGGAAGGAAAATGGTGGGATGGAAAGAGGATAGAGAGAAAGAGAGAATACCCTCTCGGATCAAACGGGGGAGTACTCGATTCGCCCCGTTGTTATTTCATCGAACCACCTTGCGACGCGGCGCGGACACCGAACGCCCGCGGTCGTTCGAAGTCACGTCGCCGATCGTTGCCAGGCGTGCCGATCCGCGCCATGTCGGCGCGTGCATGCACGCACACACACACACACACACGCGACTCACCAACTCCTCGAAAGTCTGGCTGTGCGCATTGCCCTCCCAGTCGAGTCGAGACGGCAACACCTGCGAACAGAGGTTACGATCTAAAATCTGCAGATCGATAGCGCGACCGGTCGCGCGAATCGACCATTGGGGGGAGGAAGAGGGCCGGCGATCGGCAAATGCCGATGCACGCGCGGAGAGGCCGATACTTCTCTCTCTCGGCCGCCACCGCCGTCACAAGGTCAGCGACCTTGAGTTTCTAATGTTTTGACAAGCGGCACACACCACGTGCTAGCCATGTGGCCCGCCGCTCAGTACGCGGTGTCGGGCCCGCTAGTAACGTTCGGCCGATCTCTCTCTCTCCGCTTACCTTGGCATGCTCCAATTCCCGCTTCAGCGCCTGAAACAAAAAACGTGCAACGTAGTTACCACAAAGGTGTGAGGGGCACCCTGGTACGCGCGAGATGGACGGATACGCGACTTACCGCCGCTGCCTCCGGACACGGGCTCGCCGCCAGGAACTTAGCGATCAGGAAGTACAGCTCTGCAACGAACGAAACGCTACGCTTTAGATAGAGAGAGAGAGAGAGAGAGAGTGAGTGGTGGTAGTAGTGGCATGGCACACACCGCGCCGTGCATGCTCTCTCTCGCCCGCGCGGGCGCGTTTACCTGGCACGATTCCGGACTCGCTCTTGAACGCGTTCAGCTCCATCCCGATCGATTACGCGCGTTCACTTACTGGCCTGCACGGTGAACGTCAGCCCCGCGGCACATCGCGCCGCGCGTTAAACCACCACCGGGGGGGACTCTCCTCTCTCACCGAGCTAAACCGAGAGAGAGCTGGCTGCTGCTGCTCTGCCGCGAGACACGCACGCCGACGACGAAATAGTCCCTCTCAATGGCCGCGTCGTAACAGTCGCCTCCGGCCAGGTGCGTACGCAGCGCCCCGCAGTGCCCTCGTTGCCGCGCTCTTCTCGCCTTTTCGGAAATTTCAAGCCGTCGGAAAATTTGAGAGTATCCCGAGAGAGAGAGATGGAATCGTCATCGATCACTGCGACGTGGACGGCCGCTGAATTTCGGCGTATAAATCGTCTCGCGTCCGCAGGCGTCGTTGTGAGAAAACGCGGCGATTGGCCGGCCGATTACGGCCGGGTACGTATTGGTGAAACCGGTGGATCCGCCATTGCACGCGGCATACTTGAAAACACGCTGACTCGCGGCGTAATTTCGTCCGATCGCTCGTCGATCAAGTTACGAAAAATTACGTATAGTCCCGCGTTTGTTTTTCGCGGGCTGAGGAAAAGATTGCAAGGTGTAATGTAAGCATACGAACGATGTGTGTGTGTGTGTGTGTGTATCACGCTAGTAATCTGTCGATGATCTCGTCTCAACGAGGAGCCGCTCGTGCGAGCAGAGAGAGAGAGAGAGAGAGAGATATTCGAGTTATCGTGATAAGTGAAGAGAGCGCGCGGAAACACTTGCTCTCTCCCCAAGGAGAGCGACGAGAGTCGCGAAAGAATGAAGCGAAATCATGTATGAAAATTAGAGCGAACAGCAGCCTCTCGTCACCGGTACGGTTACGCGCGTCGTTACGCACTTTCGACGTATATAAATTACAACGCGACACACGATTGATGATCGCGACGCTCGCGATCGCGCGTATGAAGCAGGTTCCACTTAGCGAGTTCTGTCTTCGTTTAACGTCCGAGAGGAACGAGGATGGAATGATATTCGCGAACGTCAAGCGGAACGCGCCCGTGGTTGCGCATTGCGGACGCCGCGCTGTGAGAAACGCGCGGGCTCCGTCGTCGCGTGCGTGAAGTGCGTGGTTGCGGCGACGCACGGACGGACACACACACACACACGAGCGCATGAGAAATTCGCGCAAAGCGTGTATCTTATAAATACGCTATTGACGGAAGATACCGAGGAGATCTTCAGCTTCTGCTTTCATTGTTGTATCTCTCTCTGTTCCTCGATGCAACCCGCGATCCTTCCCACGCGCAGAGATCTCGAGGTGCGACGCGCCAACATGGCGGCCACGCCCGCCGTGCCGGCATCGGTGTGCGATCGAACGTTCGTTCGCCGCACGCGCGCGACGAACGCGACGTCGATGACTCGAAAATCGCCGGCCCCTTCACTGACGACGATCTCGACGAGCGGCGGTCAAAGGAAGTATGAAATGAGTCGCAGAAATCGCCGCGACGCGTGAACGAAATTCGACACGTTCGACACCATAGGAGAGAAAGAGAGAGAGGAGAGGGGCTTCTTCGCGCACGAGTGCTGCGGATGAGTTTGGCGGTTCGTTAGCGAGAATCCAGCGGGGGTATCGTGAGAAGGACGGCGTTGTCGCGCTCGATCGCAATCTTCACACGTCGCACTAAATGCAACTTGCATAACGCATACATAGATAAGACAGTTAATTAATGACGCATGCAGTAACGATATGTCGCAAAAACAGCGTTTTAACTTTGGCACGAAGGTTAAAAGATGACTAGCTGATTACACGGCTAGCTCGTCACGTATACCTCGAGGGAAGAACTCAACTTAAAGAAGAGCTATTTCCGTGGATACTCTTGCCGATAAACCGATCGCCGGATGTTCTGATAGCGAGTCTCGACAGAAAACTGGCAGCAGTGGAACGGTATTTATCCGAAATAATCGAGGACACCATGTCGTGGATAAAGGAGCGCACATTGAATTGGCTTCAATTTCTGGCCCTGAAGATCCTGAGGACAGGTCATGTGCCCAGGCATGTAGCGTTCATAATGGACGGCAACAGGCGTTACGCGAACAAGAAACACGTGGCTAAAGTGGAGGGACACACGAAAGGGTGCGTGTATTCTTCACCGGAACTTCTAAAATGTACTTGCGAGTCTGATCTCTCATATTTTATATTTGCATTCTCTGCTTCACTTGTAACAGGTTCGACAAATTAGCGGAGACGCTGAATTGGTGCATGGATCTCGGTGTCACTGAAGTGACCGTGTATGCTTTCAGCATTGAAAATTTCAAACGTAGCCAAGAAGAAGTTGACGCACTCATGCAGCTTGCTAAGCAGAAGTTTAAACGCCTCTTGGAGGAGAAGTAGGTTTCATATTTTTTTCCAATTGGATTTGTTATGATGTGTACCTGTATATCTCCGAGTGTGATGTCTTTAGAGTTAAGCTGATGGAGCATGGAGTGTGTATCCGTGTGATTGGCAATATGTCGTTGATTCCGGAAGATATGCGCAAATTGATCGCTGAAGCTATGACCATCACTAAGAACAACAATAAAGCATTTCTGAACGTTGCATTTGCTTATACATGTAAGTAATCAATTATATAGTCTATATTTATATTGCATATGAACTTCTTCATGAGAAACTGGAAGAATATAGACGTCCCGAATTATTATTTCCATAGCAAGGGATGAAATCACTTATGCAATTAAGGATATAACCAAAGGTGTGAAGTGTAATGAAATTTTACCAGAGGACATCAATGAGAACCTGATTTCCGAGTGTTTATACACTTACAATTCCTTGAATCCGGATTTATTGATCCGTACTTCGGGTGAAGTCAGGCTCAGCGATTTCCTCATGTGGCAAGTAAGAAAATACATATTCCGTCGCGTATTTTCTCACGGGAGCAAACTGTGTGCCCCAAATAACTTGATCTAAATCGCTTTAGATCTCCGATACTTGTGTCTACTTCACCAATCTACTGTGGCCTGAGTTCAGCTTATGGGATTTTCTCAGTGCAATTTTCTATTATCAGAAGTGTTATCCTGATCTACAAAGAGTTGCAAGAATGCGAAATTCGAAGCCAGTCGCGCACAATAATAGAATATCTACGTATGTTGAGAAGTTGCATCACGAGCGACAAGTTATGATTGAAAATATATGCCTACCAGCAGTTCAATCATAAGAAAAAAAACCAATTAGAGCGCTATATATTCCTATAAATACGTCAAATCATGGTCAAATATGTTTTGAGGAACTGTTATATATGTGCATATATATATATATTTTTTTTTTTCAAGTTATCTTGCCAGGATAATGTGATTTACCAAACTATTATGCATTGCGAAAAGTGGTCAACGATGTATATCGACAATATATGTATATATTTATATATTCCTTAAAAAAGTGTAATCATGTAAAAACTAGTCAAACGGTTAGATAAAGTCAATTGCGAATTTGAAGTCAATTGCGAATATTTGACATTTATAAAAATGTCTCCTATTTTAATATGTTTATAGAATTAGGAGGCTCAGGGAAATAATTATAAATAATACTTCCACTTAACATACATGTGCGAGAAGTTGTAGAAACAAAAGTACGTGATATTTAAAATGTGAAGGTAATTAAATACAAAGACATTGGACGAAATCTCCGAGATTTGGAAAGATGCCTGAGCTATGTAACAATGTAACAAGCAATGTAACAATGTAGCAATGTAACAATTGCACACACTTTGTTCGAACAATTCTCTTTCATATTTTTGCCGATATAACACGAGTATAAACATGACATAAAATAGACCTACTCTTATGAATAAATGAGACATTTGAAAGAGATAAGATAAACACTAAATGTTGCTTCTCGGGAAAAAATTCAGGAGCCTTATTCTTCAGTAATATTAACCGTTACGATATACAATTACATTTTCTTATCAGCGATACCAGGAAGCCTTAATATTGTTATATAATGGAATATTTTATTTCTAATACGTTCTAGGGCCTGAGAGAGGGAGGGCACAATTGTAGGTATAGGTGAAAGATTTGCTTCCATAATGTGCTGTAATAATATATTATCGCGCGTTTATAAATTTATTCATTGCTGTATATACATTCCATATATACCAATTTTCCAATTATTCTTCATGGACACTGAAGAATTGTTTTCTCCGTACGCATTAGAAATTTGATAAGATTGCAAAATAGATATGATAAGAAGAACATAATGATGTATCAAATAAATAATAAATGTAACATTAAAATATATGGAACTATATAAAGATATAAATATATGTATATAATTCTTTATATATTATATTTATATATATGTATATATATCTCTCTCTAAGTCCAAGATATAAACGTGTAACAACATGTACATTATTTACAACAAATTGTTTCATTAGGTATTATTGCACGAGACAGACAACAATGTTTATGGACATATATTTAACGTTGGTCATTTTCAAATTAAGTATCAATATGTACAGTATCATTGTATGTAATACTTTAAAGCCGATGGTAGTTCATCGTCAACACAAATAAAATAATCGTGGATGGAATCAAATTTGTTCCTAGATATTACAGGATATCCAATGTTCTGTATGATATCTAGCACATTATATATTATTCAAATTTATATTTCGATCTATATAATTATCTTATTTATAATTTATTTAATATATAACTTTTGAGCCCATTATGAAAATTACATAAATATGATACATTTGCGATATAAATATAATGTCGAAATATGCTCTAAGATTTTCTAACCATTAAGATTTCGGAGTAGTCGCTATGGCTGTCCTTGTTTAATGACGTCAGAAGCGAAAAAACGCTTGTCAAGATTTTTGCGTTATATTTTCAAGTGAAAAGATAAATCTACAAAATGACATTTGTGATCAATTCAGCATACTTGTGAAATTGGACGAATATATTTTTTTCACTCGAACAACCGATAAATAGTCGCCAAATTAATTTTACATGAAACCTTATTTTCCAACCTCTTTTCTCATAATTTTGTCAATATTATTTTACGAATACTTATTGATTGTTCGAGTAAGTATTCGTTCAATTTTGCAAGTTTACTGAATCGATTACAGATGTCATTTTGCGGACACATCTTTTTATTTGAAAGTATAACGCAAAAAATTTGGGCATGTATTTTCTCGCTTGTAACATCACTAAACAAGGACAGTCGTAGCGATTACTACGGAGTCATAAAGATACGTTTGTGTTCGCTTCCTTTTAAATATTCATTTAAGGTACAATAAAGGAACGTACGTTGACAAGTATCTAATAATTAGAAAATTATAATTTGGCAGACAATCCAGCGTTAAAAATTCAATATGTCAATTTTTGGTAATACATAACGCAAAGGACAAAAAACTAAGTTTACATCTAAAAAAAAAAAGTGGATGTAGATATCAATGGTTTTTGTCCAGTTACGATTTGCACAACTTCATCTGTAGTTTCCGCAAAGAATTACGATCCCATTAATTTTCGCTTCGCGCCATTCTGTTGCACCTGTGTCGAAAAAGGTAGAATCAGTCGAAGCAATTGTAGCCAGGGAATAATGTACGGGAAATACTGTAATATTAATATCTCAATACTAACTAGCGTTTAGCTAATTTATGCTTCTCGGACGAATGTTAAGTGACCAGCTGTCGTATCTCCCTGGCCATGTTCTTAGACGCACCTTAATTTTTTTCACAATTCACTGGCTTCCGAGGACCAGTTTTATAACACGGCTCACCTATCGATTGAATCATGTTAAGGAAATTTATTATTCTATATTACTCTATAAAAGATATTTTTCATGACGTCATTTCACTCGGTGGTCGCAATGACATCGAACAAGTGTGAATCCGCGCTGGTTGCATTGTTGATGATAACGAAAACATACGTGAATTTTGAGTGAGTGAGTGTATGTGTGTAAAATTAGTTAGCCTCTCGTCTCCTCTTAATCTGTATTCCACGAAAAAAAAATCAAAGTGCGTCTAATAATACGGCCATGGACTGTGTATACACCGTTTGTCACGTTCGCTGTCCCGTTTTAAACGATACCCAAGTAAGCGAAAATCAACTCGGTCGAATCTCATTTCGAATTGTAAGGCGAATGGCGTCTCGCCGAGGGCTGCCTCTGCCTGGCCAGGAAGGAATGACCTTGCCCGGAACTGAGCGCCGCTAGCCGTTGGTCCACCACGTCCCGATGGGAGGAGAGGCTCAGTTTGTAGAAGGCGGACACCATCAGCTTCTCCTCCATCTCGCGCAGCAGCCTGGTCTCCTTCACGGCGCGCTCCATCTCCTCGATTATCTTGCGCTGCTCCAACAGCTGGTTGCGTAGCACCGCCTCGTTCGGCGAGTGGCTGTGCTTGGAGGACTCGAGGCTCTTGATCACGCTTTTCGCCTTCTCGACGTTCTTCTTGTAATTCTCCTCGCGCGCCGCGTCCTCGTATTCCCGTCGCGTCAGTTTCTCCTGCAGAGCCGCCGCCTTCTGCCGCTGCACCTGCAGAGCGGTCTCCCGTTCCTCCAACTGCAGCGTCAGCCGTTCCTTCTCCGACTGCGTCTTCCGCAGCTCGTCCTGCAAATGCGCGACCCTCTGACCCGTCGCGTCGTCATTCTTGCCGTTCTCGCCGCTCAGCTGCGTCGTCGTCGTCGTCGTCACCTCCTCCAGCTTGGCCTCCAACTCCGTTATCCTCTGACCCGCCTTGCGATTCTGCTCCCGCAGCGCGTTCAGACGCTCCTCCGAGTCGTCGAGCAACGCCTGCACGCACGGCAGTTTCTCCTCGTTCTCCTTCTGCCTCGCCTTCAGCATCTTGTTCTCCCGTTGCAGGCACAACAGCCTCTCCTTTATCTCGAGCGGGATCATCTCGGGAACGCTGTTGTTACTGTCGACGGCGCTGGGCTTCGCCATCATGTTCTCGGCGGCCAGCAGCTGCGCGCAATTCAGCTCCTCGTTCGTCTCCCTCAGCGCGTCCCTCTCGATGACCAGCCGGTCCCTCTCTCGCTGCAATGTGTTCATCCTAACTTCCTTCTTCTTGTCCTCGCACACCAGCCGGTCGTACCTGCTGCTCATTTCGTCCAGCTTGCGCTGGGTCTCGGTCAGCTGCTGCTTGCAGGTCTCCATATGATTGCGCAGCATCGCCGTGCGCTTAATCTCCTCCTCGTAGTCCAGCTTCTCCTGCAGATACTCGAGGTTCTTGTCCTCCAGTATCTTCACCTGCCTCTTGAGGTCACCCATGTCCTCCATCTTCTTCTTGTACGACTCTATCATGAGCTCGTACTTGGCCACCTTATCCACGGTCTCTCTCAATGCGTCCACCTCGTCCTTCAGATGGTTGGCTTCGTCGGCCGCCTTCTGCAGATCCTCCTGCCTCGACTGCAGCTCCAGCACTTCCTTCTCCAGCAGCTCCACCTTCAGCCTGAAATCGTCCCTGGACGTCTCCACCTTGAACATCTCGTCCTTGAGCGTCTCCACCTGCTTCCGCAGGCCGGAGTACTTCAAGATCGAGCCGGACTCCTCCGGATTCTCAAACTCGTCCAGCTGCTCCTGCAGCTTTTTGTTCTCCACGATCAATGCTGCCTTCTCCTCCTGCAGCAGGAACAACTGTTGGTCGAGCTTGTGACACTTCTGTTCCAGCTGATCCTTCATGTCCACCGCCGCCAGTAGGTCGGCATGCAGCCTCGCCTGGACACCGTCAGCCGCATCCACAGGTTCGAAATTCAGGCTAGTGCCCAGGCTCAAGCTAGGCCCGTGAACGCTCCTGTCCAAGTCCTGAATACTCAGCATTATCGCCCGCTGCACAGGCTCTTCCATGCCCATTATCCTAGTGATATACTGCTGCTTCTGATCGCAATTGACGGCGCAGCCCAGAATCAGCTGCAGCAAACGGCACAGCTCATCGCTGTCGCAATGCTCGCCGATCTTGGTTGCGTCCGGCTTGATATAACTGGACAGCTGCTGGTTCAAGCATTCTACGTAGTACTCCATCACAGCCTCCACGATCTTCTTCATATTGCTCACTCTGAGGCGCCAATTGGCCGCTACGTCGGTCTTGATCTTAGCCTTCCACACTACCGTGAACCATTCCGGCGCGATTTGGGCCAAGGCTTCTGCCAGAGCCACCCCGTCGCTTATATCCTCCGCGGAGTTGTGCGGCGCTTGAAGGTCGAACGTGTCTAACCATTTGATCAAATTGTTCAGCTGCTGCTGCTGTTGATCTCCCATTTTGTCCTCCCCCGGGAAAACAGCTCCTCGACTCACTCGACTTGCTGTGCGCTGTGTCAAATTCTGAAAGGCGAGTTGCTTTCGTGAACATGATTCACACTTGTGTTCATCATTCGACCTGTTATTCGTCCGGATAAAATACGATATTGCAAGCTCCACGAGAATGAGAAGTCTCGCAGACCATCTGTGTCGTGTGCTGTGTCCGCGCGAAGTAACCAAAAACTTACCTACGTGCTCGTTGTCATTGCGTTACTCCGATAGCACGTTTCACATCAAGGCGAGAAAATCGTGAGATTACAGATATCGCTGAGGACAATTCGCATACGGATATCTGATAACTCGCAACGTAGCGCGTCAACCAATAAAAATATCCCTCGGGCTATCTCATTGTTCCAACGTTACGCGCTGAAGCGCACCGAACTCGTCGCGCTTGTGATATCGCGTAAGCGCGCGCGTGCGTGCGAGAGATGAAGTCATATCTGACGTTACGCTCGCTTTCCCCTTCTCTCTCTCTCTCTGTTTTATCGTCAAAGGGGTGTGAGTTATATCTATTCCGTAGATCTCCTAGAGTGCTCTTAGAGTAGATTCGTTTAATCTATTACCGAGTCATATCGATTGGAAGATAAAAGTGCACCTCACCCCGCCGTTAAATCGAACACGTATTCATAAGATTAGAAAGAAAGCGTCTGGCCTGTCATTGATTCCTACTACTTGGAAAATGGAAGTCCGTCTGACGCTGGCCGAGTCGGGACAGCGAGTCGAAAACGCCGGAAATGTCGGTCCACGATAGACATTTTAAGGCTTGAGGCTTAAAATATTGATTGTGACCGACACTAATCTGGTAATGTGTGTTCCCGAACGCAATTTACGATACATGTGACAGATTTGAGCAAAAAGGTCCTAGATTGAGAATTTCGATGGCCGAGCTAGTGGCTGCACTGCTATCCGTACAACACGAGAGTCGGTACAAAATGAACGCTGAACGCATTAGTTTTATCTGAACTTCTCTCCTCTTTCTCTCTCATCTTACCGAAATGGGTAATCAATTAGTAGGCATCGCGCCCAGCCAAATATATCCGGTAGAACATTATTTGACGGATCACAGCGACTTGTTGTTCGATGTTAAGTAAGTGCGATCAAATCATTTTGCCTTGCACGCACACTTCCTGCCAGTTATGTACCGAGGCAGCGAGCTGCACGTCAAACTTTCGCTGACATATGATTAGATTGATGTCACATTGCGAGCTGTTCATGATCTCACTGATAGCGATATAATTGATGCTACTGGATATTTATAATATCTCACTGTTTGCCGAAGATCTTCCCTCGTATCGTTAACTATCCTTGTTTGACCAGTATATCGCGTAATAACGTTCTTACTAGTAGTGGCTAATATTTCATTAATATCAAAACAATGACATGTTGATACGATAACATATTCATCAGAGAAAATATTGAAAAAAATATGCGATATTAAACCTTGACAGTGACTTTGACAATGCCAGAATGACGTGGAACTGATTTGTTAAATTTTCTGTCAATTGCAGTTTAGGAAGCACTAGGTTTTTTAAGGTGGCACGGGCCCGCAGCCAGGAGGGTTTGATAGTGGTGAAGATATTTGTAATTCATGACCCAACATTGCCATTATCAGCCTACAAGGACAAGTTAGAAGAGATTAGATCCAAGTTAGCCTCAGCTGTCAACTGCCTACCATTCCAGCGAATGATTGTAAGCATTATGACGGTGAATATAAACGTGTATTACTTACAAGCACATTAGAATTAATTGTATGCTTACATTAGCTCACAGAAAAAGCAGGCTCAATAATGCGGGAATATGTCAAATATTCTCTTTATGACAGGATCAGCACTAGGCCATTTTTAACAAGCATAGAAAAAAAGTGGATCACTTTCCAAGTTATATACGCTCTTCATCAGGCTCATAAGGTACACACTGTTTGTTCACGCTTGTCGTTATTAGATTACGATTTCTGAAAGTCATAAAAGTACATTTTCGTTCTTACAGTTCGGAGTTTGTCACGGTGACATAAAGCTGGAGAATATCATGATAACTAGTTGGAACTGGGTGTTGCTCACGGATTTCGCTAGTTTTAAGCCGACGTATTTACCAGAGGATAATCCTGCAGATTTCTCGTACTTCTTCGATACTTCTAGGAGAAGGTAGAATCCTTAACATTTACATCGAACCTATACTTTTTCTCCTTTATTCTGTACTAGTAACATTACTTTAATAACGAAGTTTTTATTTTATACTAGTAACTTTATTCTGCACTAGTAATGTTACTTTAATAACGAAGTAATCCCTGTTCACTGATATTTTCAGAACGTGTTACATAGCACCCGAGCGATTTGTAAAAACGCTGTCATCGGAATTGAACAATACATTGTTATTACCGGAACAAGAAGTGAAGACAGGTGATTTGCATCCCATGATGGATGTCTTCTCTGCAGGCTGTGCTCTTACGGAATTGTATAACGAAGGTCACCCGCCGTTTGACTTTTCACAACTTTTGGGTATGTATATATAACATTCAGTTTGGTCGCTGACACAGCTTTGGCTTTAGAAAATTTATTAGGGAAATACTAGTCAACGTTTGGATCGCAAAAACCTAATCTTCCTCCAAATCGAATATCTGTATTGGTTAGAGAGTTGTTGTTGAGAATAATGAATGATTAAGAGAACATCGTAAAATGTAACAAAGACTAGAATGCCAGCCGTGTGGAGGAGATTTTACTAATTGTTGAATCCGCATTGAAATATCAAGCGTACAGGAACAATGAGTATTCTGTGAGCAAGCACTTGGACAGTATAGACGACCCGGGTATACGAGAGCTGCTCGGCTCAATGCTGGAGAGAAATCCGGCGAACAGGAAGAGCGCCGAGATTTACCTGTCTCAGGCGCGCGGCACGATATTCCCGGAATACTTTTACTCCTTCTTGCAGTCTTACCTGCACATCTTCTCCCCCGCGCCCATTTTACCGCCGGATGAGAAGATATACAGGCTGAAAAACGACATGGGCAATGTCATCAGTATATTGCGGGCGGGGGAAAGGGAGTGGATTAAGACGAGCGCGATGAAACCCGCGGAAACTGCGAAGGACGGCCAATGCGAGAGCAACGTGGAATCGATCAAGGATGATTCCACGCACAGCGAGGAGAACACGATGATAGAGGTTGACAGCGATCAGAGCTTCGACAAGAACGACTTGGCGCAAGTCGACGCAGCGAGAAACATGCCGCAAGACATCGGGACTGACGTTCGGATGGAGGAGCCGGACTTCAAACCGTCCGACGAGGATCGCAAGGCGTGCGACGCGGAATCCGAGAAACCAGTTGCCACGTCGACTGAGATTCTAGGCTTGGTTATCATCACCCAACTCGTCACGTCTTGCATCAGAGGCCTGCACCATTCGCAGTCGAAACTGCAGAGCTTGGAAATATTGCTGGAGCTTGCCGAGAACGTTTCCGACGAGACGATCCTCGACAGAATATTACCTTATATCGTGAGTAATGCAGCTACATTCGTGAATTTTTGCCGATTTTCTGGAGCCATCCGTAAATGGTTGAAATAATCGTCGAACACCAGAGACCCGTTGTTGTTGTACCAAAGAGGTGTCCTTTTTTCACATTGTACACCGTAAGGGTTGACTTAACGGCGAGGCTCTTCTTTTCGTATTGCTTTCCACGTCTCGAATTCAAAGTCTTGTTTTTAAAGAAGCGAATTTGCTAAACCACGATATTTTTCTTGCGCAGTTTTTCCTGGTTCACGACCCGGCACCGCGGGTGAGAGTGTCAGCGATACACACGTTAACGAAGTGCTTACACCTCGTGAAGTCGATACCGCCTTCGGACATAAATATATTCCCCGAGTACATTCTGCCGGGCTTATCGCAGATAACGCAAGATGAGGCGGTCATCGTCAGAGCAGCTTACGCGGAGAATATCGCGCATCTCGCGCACATCGCTCTGCGTTACCTGGAGAATGCTCATCTGTCCAACCTGAGCAACAAAGAGGGACCAAAGCCCAGCTACGACAGCGAGCTGCAGACTTTGCACGAGATGGTATGACTTCGTAATGTATTCTTCATTTGTTCCTAAGGCTCCCGGGTAGTCGAAAAATTGCACGCTGAAAATTCTTGCGTGTCATCTCCATGTATATATTAGGTGTACAGATTAATTCGGTGCCCCTTTTTCCATGAAATTAAAAGTTTATTTAGAAAGAGTCAAGCACTCGAGATCGTTTTAGCACATTTGCGTAACTACGAAAACGAACGGTCGAGATCTCTTGGAAATCGCCAAGTTTTACCTTGAATTTCAAACTTGACGGTGCATATCTTCATTCCTATCTCTATTTCTAGGTCCAACAATCGGTATCTATGCTGCTGACGGATTCGCAGAATCTGGTGAAACAGACTCTGATGGAGAATGGAATAAACAAATTGTGCGTGTTTTTCGGCAAGCAGAAAGCCAACGACATTCTGCTTAGTCACGTCATTACGTTTTTAAACGACAAGGAAGACAAGGAATTGAGGGGCTCCTTCTTCGAGTGTATAGTCGGTGTCGCTGCTTACGTAGGCTGGCACAGCAGCCCAATATTATTACCATTGCTGCAGCAAGGTCTAACCGATCCCGAAGAATTTGTAATAGCGAAGGCTATAAATGCTATGGCGACGCTAACGGAATTGGGTCTGCTGAACAAATCCGCTCTCTATCAGTTGTTGGGAGACACCATGGTATTTTTGGTACGTGTGTGTGTGTAGCATATAATAACATTCGATGACGTGCAATGTGACAATGACGTCGAATCAAGAACGTATCGAGTCACGTTATAATTGTCGAATCGACGCAGCAAATTTGTGTATCGTCCGTTTTCGTCGTAGGTCCATCCGAATCTCTGGATACTTCACGCGACCGTCGGTTTCATATCCGCGGCAGCGAGGACTCTAAACGTGGTGGACGTCCAATGCAAGGTCCAAACGATGATTCAGCCGTATCTGAAGCACCCATTGATCCAGATAGAGAAGGAGATATTGTTGCTGGAAGCTCTCGTTCCCCCTGTACCCAGAGTGGTCTACGACTCGGTGGTGAAGTACAACGACGTAGAGGAGTTGTTCCAAATGCTGGAACAGAGGCAGGCGGTCAGGACGAAAGCTGTGACCGGCATGGTGCCGCAATACAACGCCATGAGCACCTCGCTACGAAACGTACGTGGATGCGTCGATTATTAACACATTGCCAGCTGCGCTCGAGTTGCGCTTTACTGAATTTTAAGAAGCACAAATTCTTACTTTTAAGCCACTGTGGATGGTTGGCAATGTGTTGATACACACACATAGATACATACACACACGCGCGCGCGCGCGTCTCAGCATATCGCGATTTCGAGGCGATGTCTCCGAAAAAGAAGAAGCAAGATTCAAGTAGATCCTTCGTAGCTTTTCAGACGACTGAGCTCGGAATCGATGACGGAGGCGGTCGAAGATCAGTTGTTGATGATGAAACTGCACCTGGTAAAGATCAACAAGTATTCCGCGGACACCAAGCAAAACACCGCCAAGCAGAACACCAGCAGGCATGCAGACGGTAAGCTGGAATTGAGCGCGATGAAAGATCGGATAAGACATCATATCGTCGTGTTGTATCCCGACGCCAAAAGCGATTTAGCTTTGCCACCTTTCAAGAGGTCAGATCGAAGAACGTCCGATAGCGTTGGCACGTACGCGACGATGAATCAGGAATGGCGCACGATGTTCGCTGCCCAAGATAGTAGCCAGGTATCATCGTGAACTAAATGCATCGGTGAAAAAAAAAAAACCCTTCTCTCGTCTATCGCATCGTTCTTCGCCGATCGATAATAACCTTTGTCGCACGTCGCAGCACGCTATCGTTAGAATGTCGGACATGACCGGAAGCAGCGGCAGTCTCAGCCAGAGCATACACGGCGGAGACATCCACTTGTCCCCGCAGCATTGTCTGTCGGACGTGGCCATTATAAATTCCTACATCAACGACCATTCCCTCCACGAGCGGTCTTACATACAGTGTAAGTGAAATCGAAAACGTTCACTAAGATCGGAGTTGGGAGAGTTGCTTTTCATAAGTAACACCGTTGTCCTTGCTTGTTATTCGTTGGAAAAAAAATCTGTAACTCGTTACTCGGTAGAAGTAACGAGTTGTCACTATTTTCGTTATTCTTTCGTCAGGTTTTGAAGACTTTTCTTTTTGAAGATTCATAAAGTTTTAGAAGTCAGATTTTAGAAGGTTTCTTGAGAAGGTATTAAGCGTTGCGTGATTTTGCAGACAGGTGTGCACCGTGCCGATTGGAAGTGCGACGGTTAACGTGCCGCAAGCAAGAACAGCACGCTGCGGCATTGAGGGCACAGCATTGGGCTAACAACGTCGCCTGGGAAACCGGTAAATAAAAATGTCACACATCATACATGAATTACATCGCATTTGTATCGCAGAATCATTATAATGTGCGTCTTCGATGCATTATCGATCGGTGAATCTGAAAGGCGCCAAGAGATTGCTACCGAACGATTGGAGGCCTCGAGGAATCCCGGTCGCACATCTCCATGAGCACAGAGCCGCGGTGAACAGGCTGGTCTCGATAGTGGACACTTCTCTGTTCGCGAGCAGTTCCTCGGACGGATGCATTAAGATCTGGGACGCTAGCAAGATGGAAGGGCGAAATATCGCCAATCGTTCCAGGTATAGAATCCTCCTTTTGTCGGCAACGATCATCGTGAGGACATTTATGAAGCCGTCGGTCAACGCAGTTACGCGTGATACTAACCTTTCAAATCATCCTTCGACCAGGCAAACGTTTATGCACAAAGGAGGCCCACTGATTGGCTTAACCGTGTGCGACCAAGGGCAGTCTTTGGCGAGTTCAGCGAGTCAGACCGGAGAAGTGTTTGTAGTTCGGATCGAGCCGAATTCCAGTAAAATGAGCGTGATGGGCATTCGTCAATTGGATCCTCAGGTAATAACGAGTCTACTTGCAGCAACCAACATATGACGCACGATAATTATTCCAATAAAATATGTTGCGATTATTTCAACAGGAAGAAGGTTGCGCCGTCGATCTTCAGTTCTTAGATTCCGGCTCGCAGTCGGTTCTTGTGTACGCCTCGCTGTACGGGTCGTTGGTAGGTTGGGACCTACGATGTCGCGGCACAACGTGGCGCTTGGAAAACGACCTGAAACACGGACTCATCACATCGTTCTGCGTGAACAGTCATCAGCAGTGGTTGACGCTCGGCACGAGCTCGGGTATTCACACCTGTTGGGATCTGAGATTCCAGCTGCCGATAACCAACATCAAGCATCGAAACGGTAAATTGTTTAATTAGACATTAATTTACCTTATTTGCCTACGTTATTGATATATTATCGTTTGCAACCGATGCACAAACGCAAATTATTCTCGTGGCCACCTTTAGGTCACAGAGTGCGAAAGGTGATCACGCATCCAACGGAGCCCTCGTGGATCATTTCGGCGGTGCAAGGTAACAACGAGATCTCCATGTGGGATCTGGAGACCAATCATCGGCAGATGGTACTGTGGGCGTCGAAGAATCCGCCTCTGAGCAACACCCAGGATAGCAATAGCGTGTGCGCCATGTACGCCGGATGCATCGACTGTTCGGGCTTCCTCTTGGCTGGCGGCACCGACATGAAGTTGCGCTTCTGGGACTTGAAGATGCCCACTGCGTCTTACGTAGCCTTGCCCGCTGCCAACGACGTCGTACGTCGGCCGAATTCGTCGAAATATGAGTCAGTATTTCATGAGTCGGCAATTAATTTTTTCCACCCAATGAACGTTTCGTCTAATTTATGCATATCCATTTTCTTGTGAGGGAAAAGTGTTCATTTCTTGCTTCCGTGCGTTTATAGAAATACATTTCGGTAATAGAAGTTTACGTGGTTGAACTCGTAAAATTTTGGTTCATTCCGCAGACAACGTTTGATAGAGGGGTCCAATGTTGTGCGAGAGATGTTGGTAGGTGACGATTCCACGCCGTCCTTCGGCGGGGGTGGGAGAAACCTGGAGGAGAGCGGTCCCGAGACCCCACCTTCCGGCCACCACGACACGATCTCTGCTGTAGCAATGACGAACACTTACATTCTGACCGGCAGCACGGACGGCCTGATACAAGTCTGGAAATGATTGTATTCCTTGCTATCGCGCCCAAAGTTCCTCGCTCAGGTGACATCGGGTTTTTCACCACATCGGAGCGGAGTTTTTCTCTTACGATAACGAAAACGTTGTGATTCAAGTAAGAAGTAACGGTTACCTCACATTTTGTCCAAGCAGATCACTCAGCTATATCCGCTATATGGGCGATATCCGTAATGTACAATGCGATTCATTTTTAGAGAATTACCGACACAAACAAACAAATACGATAATGCAATATCTCTTTAGTGAAATTAACGATTATGTATATACTTTTTCATGATTTTGCGATTATCATTCGTCGGATATTACGGCGGTACATCCCACATACACACACACGCGCACACATACATACACACTTGTGTTGCTCGGATCAGCTTCGCAAATCAAACTCGGTTCAGAGCTCAGAACTCAATTTTCAAGTATATATATGTATTTTTATAGATAAACACTGCGTAGTAAAAGAGCGGACGACCCGATTTCGATTTCGCTCTTCCACCCGTTATTGTAATTCAATTATCCGGAAAATTGTGCTGTAGGATTTTAAGCCGCAACAGCGACGTTATTTCAAACATCGACGTACACACGATATACCGCCGTGCTGTACTAATTCTGTGATCCTGGACTGTATATATACATATAGGATATATAATATATATATACACAATATTATTTAAGATTACCGGTGATTATATACGATTGCGCTATAGGGGGAGGAGCGTGCATTTCTTAAGAGAACCGGACGTAAACTCTCACGCTGTGTGTAATAATGTATATAGTTTATTTTTGTACGCGCTAAAGAGAGGAGAACTCAGAGTATTATTGATGTATTATTAGACAATTGTCGTAATTTGGCTTAAGACGGAGTGTCGATCGCGCCGATTTTGTTGTTGACCGCGGATCGCGATATTAAGACAAGCCTTTAAAGTAATTTTATTTAAGTAGCGAATGTACTTTGGGTTCGTGCTTGCATCTCATCGCGTTTGCAGCTAAAAGATAAGGGGAAAAAGATACTCGAGGAGTATCAAGTATCACTCCGTGATACGATATAGCGATACGTGATACATGAATACGCGATATTTTTTTCCAGTACCAAAGGTATAAAATGTATCGAGATACGATAAGGTGTAAAATAAAATTTTTTTACCTTTTCTCAATGAAATTCGATTGAGGGAGAGAGAGAGAGAGAGAGAGAGAGATGTCGGTGCGAACCAAGAAGAAAAAGAAGAAACAAGGAGGGAGGGAAGAGGAGGGGCAAGTAACAAGATTCGTGTACAAAAAGACGCGAGAAAGAAACGGTGGCAGTTATTTCCTCGCTTCGTAATTTACATACAACGCGTACAGTACAGTAAGTAGCTATATGTAACCGCGAATATTTATGTATATTAGTTTATGTATGTACCTTCGGCACACATACACATACGGATATATACATACATACACACACAGATACACACAACGCGGACGCACATACATGCGCGCATACATATAAACACATTGACTGAAATACTCATAATCAGTGGACGTATACTGTCTTTAAAGCGTTGTTATAATAAATTCATATTTTTAACGCATCAACGTGCGTGTGTTATCGCTTGTATTTTGGCACGACGAAAAATAACCGGACCCCATCACCCAACCGGCCTTACAGAAGGTCGGAACGGAAAATCACGATGAGACGAGAAAATAGCTGTCAAAATTCATTCCTTTCAATCGTTTTTTTTTTCTTATCGTTTTAACGTCGTTTTCATCGTCATCGTTATTTTCTGTTCCACCTATGGAGAGTTTTCTCTACCACGGACAGACGAGCGCGGCGGGATAAGGCACGCGTCCTGGATACGCATAAGGATCGACATTTATCGTTCTGCAGATCTGCTTCCAGCGTTCCTTACCGCCGCCTCTTCCTTCACGGTACTGCCGATGCGGATCATTTCCCCCGTTATACGAGGATTGCCCGGGAAACCACAGATCAAGCCAGGACGCTGAGAGGACGGAGCCGACAAATAGCAGTAAGAGGAAGGAGATTAGCTTCATCTTGATCGCACGCATGGGAAACCCCGGCCCTTCGTTCTTACAATGCGTAACCTCGCAATGGCGTGACCTGAAAAGAAAATTACATTGTCGAAATTCAATTATCGATTTTCGTAAATTTCTAGATCAGATGGAAAAGATGAATAATTTCGAGCTCAACGATTCGAATTTGGTTTTTGACTTTTGGGCAATATCTGTTTGAAAGTATCCAAGGGATGAGACTCTCCCATTCTCCGACGAGCTTGATTTGCTCGAACTTCATTGTTAATAAATAAATAAAGCAATGATTTTTCTTACGATCTAATATCCCCGATGGAGTCTTAAGTGCGCGGACTCCGTGTCAAAAATAGAGAATGAGAATTCGGTCGATCGCGGTAAACGCTCCGATTAATTCTCCGTGTCACGTATAGCGCATAGCGACGCTCGAAAATAGACAAACTGTGCGACAACGTGTTCACCCACCGAAAAACTATATAAGAAATACGTCGTTGTTACGGGTGCGCGATTTTTTTTTTATCGCGACTTTCAAATTTCACACTTTCTGAGCTGTGAGAACGATGACGACGACGATGATGATGGTGCGAAGACGGTTTTTCTACCTCGGGAACTATTTGAACGTTGCCTCGCCGACACTTCGCAACTGTGCGATGTAGAAAAAGCGATTAGGATCGCGCACAATCTCGCTCCGTGAAATTATATTCGCGCGGGCATAAAAACCACGGCCGGCCGCTTAATCGCGGACAACTGTAACAGGCGTTGTAATACGACGAATGGAGAGATGCTGGATGCTTACTGCTGTTTTATATATACCGTCCCTACCGCTGAGAAAAATACTCGGTGAATCGGCGAGTCGCCTTTTGACGAGGGCTTCCCCCGCGGGCTGGACGCGCATATCTTTGTTCCTAATAAGAATGTGTAACAGCCTTCCGCACGAGTTAATCGCATATCATATGCGAACACTCGTCTTGAGAAGCAATCCTATAATATTGTATTTAAGATTAAATTAATATTAATTTTATTTCAAATGTATTGCAATATCGTTTTATTATATAAATTAAGTCGAAATAATTTTGTGTAAAAATATGTTTTATACTAAAAAAATTATACATATATAATATTCATAATACATACATAATATACTAAAAAAAAATTGTATATACATGAAATTTTTTATTTAACGTTTCAAATTTGTAATATCTTCACCAACGACTTCCGTCTTGCGCTGCTTTATTTCCATGATTTCGGATTCCACGCTGTATCGGCGCGGTCCGACGCATGGAATTTGCGGAATTACGCTCTTAAACTTGGGGAAGGCCTTTTTCCTATTGTCTCGGTCGGGGTATATCGATTTATATGCGACATTCGTCGCGAGCGCTTATCCGCTTCGCTCGCGTATTCCGCATACATGAGGATATCGCTCGCCGGATACGTATACGATGATGATTTCATAATTATTCATTTGCTTGGCATGTCGCTGCATCTCACGGTATCGATGATATACTCGCCTGACTTCTCGATGGTGACGTAGAAAGAGGAAAAACGAAAAAAGAAGATTAGAATATTATTGCGATATCCTAAAGGACTTCAAATAAAGTGTGTGCTGTTCGGATATTGTCCGCTATAAAAATAAGATGCAAATTCACGGTGCAACAAATTGAGAAGCAAATATGGAATAGTGATCATCAATAACGCGAAAGTAATGTCATGTTGACGCAAGTTGTCGGTTTCGTCGATCCTTTTCGTTTTTTGCCCTATCAGTCAAATAGAAGATAAGCAGACGTGTAATAAAATGTCGATTGAAGTCGTTCCGAATTTCATGTCAAGGATGACGCTGGTAAAATGCAAAGATAAATAGTAGAGATCATCTTATCCGCAAACTTGACACACTTCTCGCAGGGAGTCACGCGAAACAACAACACGCGACACTAGCTCGCCCTTTGACCCGTTGGGTTCCTGACCCGACGCTCGTTAGCGCTGCGATTAAAGAGACGAAAGAAGAATTCTGCTAGCATTATATTGTATTGTTCTTATTTTATATTGACAGCAGTATACAATCATTTTAATTTGTATTGATGAATTTATTTTAATTAAAAGAAAAAACTAACGAGTTAAAGTTAAATTTTCAATTAACTAGTTTAAATTAAAAGTTAGCTCGTTCGAAATTAATTAAAAATTAAAAAAGCGAAGTTAAAAACTATTGGCTCATATTCTGAACGCGCTTGGAACGATGTTAGCGCGCCGACAAATCAACGTATTAATAGATCTGAGAAAGAATTTCGCTATAAACACGCGTGATTATCAATTTTTCCTAACAGAGCACTGTTATTACCGCGTTTAGAATACAAACGATACTGAGAATGCCCACGTCTTTTGTTTTATTAGCGCGTTGACACCGTTGCAAGCGCGTTCAAAATGCGGACCATTAATTTTTTAATTTTTCAACTTAACTTTCAACCGAATAATTATTACTTCCAAACCTTGGATTTGAGCATATAGTAAAGTAGAAAACTTGCCTCAATGACAGCTCATGAGCTCAAAAAAAGAGAAGAAAAATATACCTTCGAAAATGAATTTGGCGAACGTTGTCTGATGCACTCGAGATCGTTGCTGTGAATATGCTCGAATACGTCACTTCTCATTGCGATTTACAGACATGCCGTGGTAAATCGTCTAAATATTTTGGCTACTGCAGGCTTCATCAAAACTGCTCCATGCAGCCGGCTGTACCACGTGCGTCAGTTCTCTGCTCTGCTCTACTTACAGAAGCGTCGTCGTTCGCTCGTCCGGTCAGTCCTCGTGTTTTTCAGAGCGTCCTCGAATGTCAAATCGCGGTAGCATCGACGGCAAAGGCAGCTGCGAGTCTTTTCGCCGATCTAGCTTCTCAATCAAAATGCAACGCAGCCTGAAGAAAATGAGGGAGAACCTTCAGAAAATTACAGGTTTGTCGTAATATCCGACTCGACATCGGCTCTTCCTCAAATCTGATCTGTTCTTCGTTCTCTTATCGATAAATTACGTCGCGGTGATTGAAGTGGAAAATCGAATTGATCGGGCCAATTCCGAAATATCTTCGACGCTCTAAAAGATTTGTCATATTTTCTCAGAAATTTTCGAAGAATTTTTGTCATATACGAGATTTCTGAAAAATTCCGAAAAAAAAATATGTAAAATTTCTCAGACACTTTCGGAGTATTATTGGATGAGAATTTTCGAAATATCTCAATATCTGTATATATGAAAATTTCTGAGAAATTGCGCAGGATGGGATGCTTTAGGATATTTTTAGGATATCCTAAAGATAAAATATGTATCATAACAATATCTATAGGATATCCCTATCTGTGATATATTTTGGACATATTATGGGATGTATAAAAAAAAACATATCTTTCCATGTAATTTGTTTATTTTTGACACAATAAATAATTTTCATCATAAAAATTGAAGTAATTTCCAGATAAAAAAGAAGAAACCGAAAAGGTTTAAAAAGTTTAAAGCGCTAATAAGACCGCATCGTAGATCAAATAATAAAGAGAACAAGACCTAATTATTCAGTGGATTTTCGCGTAAGGACGTTTCGATATTTTTTCCGATTATATCACGACGGTATTACTCGATTACCTTTGCGCAGACAGCATCCAGGGGGACGACAAACATTCGCTGTACAACTTCCCGGAGGAGCTGTCCGCCCTGACTTGGCGCACCGGCTTTTCCAAGGACGAAATCCGCAGGCTATACCGCGCTTTCAAGCAGTTTTGTCCTCGGGGATGCGCGACGACCGGCGATCTGCAGCCCGCGTACGCCAAACTGTTCCCGGTGGGTGATCCGAGTAGATATACGCGAATCGTGTTCCACAGCTTCGACAAGGATGGTGACGGCCTCGTCAGTTTTGGCGATCTTCTGGACGCTACGGCGTCGATCGTAAACGGCAGCGTCGACCAGAAACTCTCCTGGATATTCGGGTGAGCGTTAATCACCGTCAATGACGGATTCCTCGAATTCGATTTTCGGGCGATATTTGATAAGCTCTACAAACACGTAATTTAATATTAAATAATATTCTGGGCATATTCTTAGAATATTCGACGTAATATTCTAATAATATTCCAATAACATTATTTAATATTATTGTAATATTATATTTTTTACATATTCAACTTTATGTATATATATTAGGTTATATAAATTAATTCGGTGCTTTTACATTTAACGTCTTGTAACTCCGTTTCAAATTCAAATTTATTTATTATTTAAATTAAGACGTTAAATGCGAATTAATTTGTACATCTGATAAGTGTTATTTGAACGATCTGAAGTGTGTATACAAGTATCAAAGTCGTGCTCTCGGAACGGGAGGGGACGTAATATGCAAAATACTCTCCACATCTTTTGATCAGATTGTACGATCTGAACGGAGACGGTTGCATCACGAGAAGAGAGATGCTGGCCATAATATCCGCGACTTACGAGATGGTGCAAAGCGCGCAGACGATCACCAGCCAACCTGCAGTCAACATACAAGTGGACAGGTTCTTCGAGAAAATGGATGCGGACAGAGATGGCGTAGTCACCAAGGAAGAGTTCGTAAGCGGTTGTAAAAATGTATGGGCAGCTAGTTGAGTGTCCGATGCGAGCGGTAGAAACATACGCGCGCTTCGTAACCTCATAAATATTCTATTTTCTTACAGGATACCATTATATACAACCAGTTGAGTTTATTTAATAAGATTTGGTGACAGAATGAGAACGGTCTTAGGAGATTAACGAGAACAATTTATCCACACATACACGTACACATATATGTGGAAATCATTTAAAACGTTTATAAAAAACCCACCCGGTTTCTTCTCTTAAACAGTACATACATTCTCTTCTACGACTTATGAAAATTCCTATGCTATACACACACACACACACACACACACACATGTGTGTGTGTGTGTGTGTATGTGTTACAGTCACGCGATATCATTGTAAACGATTGATCGAATGCATTTAAGTTATCATCTCGCGAGGGCGATCTCAGAACAGTCTTTTTTGTAAAATGTAAAATACGCAGGCGAGGAAAAACGCGAAGGCCAGTGCAAGCAATGCTTTGTCGGTGACCTCGCGTCTACCGTACTTTCCTAAGAGCTTTCCTGACTGCACTATTACTTGTTGCTGATGCTCCAGCTCGTTCCTGGTGTTGTCAACCTTGTCCGAGGATGTTACTGAAATAACGGTAGAATCGATAGAATCGTGTGAATTTCTTTTCTCTGTAAAATGATTTTAAAACTTCTAAAATACTGGACACTACTCAACCCAGACAGCACAGAACGTCCATTGGATGTCCAAGTTTGGTTTTTATTCAGTCCAAACGTCCATGGACCCGATACGGACGTTTTAAAAATTTTACATTATTGAACGTACAAAATACATTTGTATTTGGACGTTTTAAGAATGTCTATTTTATGTACTTGTTCCTAATAAAATGTAAAAACTGATATAACGTTAAATAATAATTATATATTTTCTGGGAATGATTAAAAGTTTTTTTTTCTATTTCTGAATTTCCGACTTGTCTTCGAAAAAGATTAATTTCGATATTTACTGCCGATACTGAAGATCTATAGTACATGTAACATGAACAAGTGCAAAAACAACCTTGTGCTGTCTGGGGGAAAAAATACTATAATAAATATCAACCGAATCCCGTATTTTTATAGGAAAAAATATGGTATATACATAATGTATCCAGTGTATCAGCGCTTCTCTGAGTGGTCTCAGCTAGATGTCTCGCGATACTAAATAATTTGTCCGTGATTTGGCTGGACGTGTCTGTCAAACTTTGCTTATCCCGTCGCTTGCGAAGGGCATTTTGCCGTTCCTCTGGCACGGAGAGTAGATTCTCCCTGGCTAACTTGTCAATGACACACGCACTAATGACATTGGCCTTGCGAAAAACCGCCAAGGATACATTCAACTGTTCTTTGTAGCTCTCGACGATAGACAGCAACTCAGTCTTCTTCTTCTCACTTGGTTCAGTTTCAGCGACAGACGCCAGTCGTTCTATGGAAGATTCTAATACTGCTATCTTGGCTCTGCCTTCAGCATTGAGCTCGTCTAACACTTCCAACGGTCCAGTGCATTGTTTTATGTCCTTTGCAAGGAATATGAAAACTTATTAATTCGCTTGTCAAAATATAACTTGTAACATATTGTTCATTATCATGAATATAATAATTTTAATATATTAATTCAAGATTAAGGTTATGTTTCATACCTGTGAGAAATATAGATTTATATATGTATATTTACTTGTATTAAAGCGTTTACTTGGAGGTGGTTTTTGATAATATCCTGACGTATCAATTCTACTGTGTAAACTTTGGAATCCATTTACACGTAAATTATTTATTCTATGTGGTTTACATATGGTTACTTCTCTGTATACGTATGCTATTCTTTCTCTCTCTCTCTCTTTTTCTCTCTTTCTCTCTTAATTAAAATTTGGTTATGAGAAGCTCAGTGACATTCCTCCTACATCACTTACAACTGTAAAATATCGGGTCGTTACCGATCGTTAAAATAACAGGTCTGAATGCGAATTGTGGTGACGCCTTGACGATTGGCAAGCGTGCGAGCGAGGAGACATATATATTTGTTCGCGGTGAATTTGACAATGAAAAACCACTTGATTATATGAAATTATTTTTACGTAAAAAACTGCCAAGATAAACGTCCCAATGATCGAACATGCATGTCCTCAATGATTAAAATATTATCGACGTATTTCCCTTTATTAAGGTGGTTTCAATATACGGAACATAATAAATGAAACGTCTAGTTGGTTTGTGATTTTCTTTAATTTATTGATAAGCATTTTAATAAACATATATAAATTAATTTTTAAAACAAACATAAAATAATAATTAAATGTTTCAATCATTGGGACACGTTCAATTACTTTATACTGGGACGTTTACCTTATACTGTACACACATATCTCTGACCGCGATGTTTTAGCATATTTGAATTTTGCTATTTTAGTAATATAACGGGATGTACGAGGTAGTGCAGTTTATTATATATACATGTTTCGCGCACAGCACAGCGCAATATCACGCTATTAAACAACTAATTCATGCACTCCGTATACTGCGACCGGTGATATTTTTCCCTCCTTCATTTACAGAGCGTACAATGTCATCGTTGTAAGAGATTACGGGGCTACAATGAATTCCTAGGATTACATTTCTTCATGAACTTACAATGCAATTCAAATTAGGTATACCCTATAACGGGTGTAGCACTACGAGAGAAAATTCATCGATGTTACTTGAAAATAATCCGAACGAACGATATGTCGGGAAGAGTTTAAACGGTTAGATCAGACGGTAGGACCCGTCCCTATATATTGCACGGTAAGATGCCTTATCGTTAACGCAGGCTGTTTATTACGGCGGCGGTGAATTCCGTCGTCGAGCTTTGCCCGCCCAAATCCTTCGTGAGCACCTTCCCATCGTTCAACACGCGATTCAACGCCTCCCGGATCTGCTCGCCGTAATGTTTAAGATTCACATGATTGAGTAGCTTCACAGCGCACAGAAACATCGCCGTTGGATTCGCGACATTTTTGCCCACCGCCTCGGAATACGTGTGCCTTGCACCCTGTTGGAGAACGTAAATCTCAGTCAACGCTATTATTTTCACACGTTAATCTCTAACTTTCTAGAGAAAAGTGTGTGCCTCAAAATTATTGTATTAAATTTATATGGATTTCTGCTGCGCACAAAATATTTGTGGATTTTACACTACACCGCCTTAGCTGTGATTCGTGTACCAGTGTTGGCACACATTGTGTACATGCTTAGCCACACTCAGCTTTTTGCAAAGATAGCTACTCGAAGTCGACTTCTAATTATTAAATAGAAAACATCCATTGGTTGAGTGTATCTCACCGGTTCGAAGACGACACATTCGGCGCTGTAACTGGCGCCTGCGACAACTCCGGCGCCGCCGACCAAGCCGGATGCAAGATTATCTACGATGTTGCCATACAGGTTTGGCATTACCATAACGTCGAACTGGTGCGGATTCGAGACCATCTGCATAGTGCAATTGTCGACGATCATCGTTTCAAACGTGATCCTGTACGTGTCATTAAAAAAAATATATAAAAATGTATAGAATATCCCGAGATAAATTTTAATAGTATACATCGGTATGCAGTTGTCACATAGATAGTGAAAATACTATTTAAATACCTAGGATACATCTTGGCGATCTCTTGGCACGACTTGAGAAAAAGTCCGTCGCCTAGCTTCATTATGTTGGCTTTGTGAACACACGTGACCTTCTTGCGGTTATTCTTCACCGCATAATCGAAAGCGAATTTCGCGATTCTTTGGCTCTTGGCAGCAGTTACGATTTTCAGGCATTCAACCACACCCTTGACAGACTCATGCTCCAACGCGGAATACTCCCCTTCCGTTTGTTCTCTGATGATCACACAGTCTACGTTTTGATGGCGCGACCTGACACCCGGCAGAGACTTAACGTGCACCACGTTGGAATACAGATCCAAGCTCTTGCGTAATTTCATGTTCAGAGTCTGCAATTCTCCCGTGTGTGAGTGATCCGGTGTAGCTAAGATACCCTGTGTCGTAAAACGATACATATTGAGGCTGTGGAGTGATCACTGTGTGACTGTCCTTGTTTTTAATGACATCAGAAAAAACTAGTCACAAAATGTCAATTTTTTACAAATACATTTGAAGCTGCTCAGGAAAGAAACTTGAAAGTTAATGTTACTTCTAACGATTCCTGATAGAATTCCAAAGATTAATGTATCTCATAGTCTCATTGTCAAAATAATCTAATTCCTACTAGCAGTCTGATTTGTAATCCGACCTTTAAACAAACTCGATTCCTGGCAATACTGTTGGAGACCTGATCCAGAGGAGCGCTGAGAGTTGGATTTACTTCAGACAGGAAATAAGGTTCAAAGTCAACCGGGACATCTGCAGCTTTGAATACATTCTGAACTGCAACCACCAGTTCTGGTCCAACACCATCTCCGGGTATTAGAGTACATTTTAACTTTCCTTCTTGCTCGACTGTCTGAAAAAGATAGTTATCACAAATGTGCAACTATCAGTTAGAAAACAGTGATATTTACTGATTCTTGTTGCCGCACTGTTCCTATGTACAACGTCCTGACTGTGTTCTTTTGAGTGGCCTGTGAACATAAAATATATTGAATTAATGTAAACATGTATTTTACAGTGTTTTGGAATTTTGGAACTTCCAAATGTGATATTCTTAACTAATAGTTTTAACATGGGCTTGTTTTTTTTCTTTAGTTTAATTAGATGATATTTTTTGCCTTCAGATTTAAAGAAATATAAAATATCTCATTGAAAAATGAACAGTTCCAATAAAGCTAATAGGAACATGTCCAATATAATTTGGCTAAAAAGAAAAACAAGTCCAATATAACTAATATTAATGATTAATAGTGGTTATTACATATATATATATATATATATATATATATATATAATATCAGCCCTGTTCTTCCTTGTTCGACTTATACATGAATATAGCATATAAGTCTTATTTTTCGTCAACAATCAAATTCTTATTGCATAACAACATAGTTAATCGTTCTTTTTCGGCGGATAATAGACTTGCGCTAATTAATTAACGCGATAATTCGTGATCATCCCGTTTGATGTGTCGAGTCGTACTTGGGACGATTACGAATCAAATTCGTGATACATCGAAAGATGTCTCCGACATAGTGAAAAGTGCAGCGTATATTTCGGATAAAGATAATATGCAAGCTCATTACATGTACGCTTCGCGTCCGCCGAAAAATCGCAGACATTTACATGTAGGGAACGCGCGATGTTATCGGGGATGACCTTTTATCTACCCTGCACATTCCGACGGCGAACGTGGCAAAGTTCCGCAATGTTTCATGAAGAAATCTTACATTACCTGAGAGAGCGCTTTGCAGATGTTTCTCGCGAATAAAGCCATTTTGCATAAGAGTAATGTAGTTTTATTGATGGTTATCTCATTCGCATTCGTGCAGTCGGCTGCGTTTCACTAAACGTTCGCGACGCTCAAATCGTCGTAACTAGACGGGATTCGATCGCATCGGTGATTGGCTAATTTGATATAAAATTTTCGGATTGGCTATCCAGCGGAAAAACCTCCGGACACCGACCAATGTGAGTGGACGTCTGCTATCGCGCCGTACGTTTGAATTGAAACTCGACCAATCAGTATAAAGTTCACTAAATTTCACTGAACTTGAATCGGTTAACTTTGCACTGATTGATCAATTTTCAATTCAATCTCAATCCCCAATTCGTAATCTGATGCGAGTTTAACGAGACTCTCTCGTAACTAGCTTTCCTTTGTATATCTAATAATTTTGGAGTCGGTGAATCGCCATTTGACGAGAAACCGATTCGCTAGGGAATCCCGATTCCGCGGAGTTTGCGAACATGCTGTGCGACATGTAGAAATAGAATCGACAGCGTGAAGGGGCCGCGTATAAATGGGATAAATCGTTCGGGTCTGTTTGGTCTATTTTTGTAAAAATAACTTTAGAATTATCCTTCAGATCTGTTAGATCTCATCGCGATTATCCGTCCCACGAGATTTAATCGGTGGAGCGATCAGAATGACGGAAAAATTGCGTGAGTAATTGGCGCGATGGCCGCACAATGAACCCATTTAACCTTCACGTTACCGAGTCATCATTATCTGTCAAAAGAAATATTTGCGTATTTCTTGGCCGTGTAGGTGTCAGTGACTTAATAAATTTATCTCGTCTCGCTACTTAGAAACGATTTAAGTGACACGTGTTAGTGTTCTTGTTCCCTTTTTTTATTGTGTTTATGTAGTGTTACATTAATTTTCAGGTGATCATTTGTCTGTTCTTTTTAGCTGAACTAGCTGCATTAGTTCAGTTAAAAAGGATAGATTACACATGTAATGTTAGATACAAATGTATGATTACCTACTTGTATTTGGAGATCAATAGAATTGTCTTATTGCTGGTTTATTCCATGTGTGAGATATAATAATTCCTTACAGCCGAGGAGGTGACCAAGATGAGCTTTCGCCGGAAAATATGGGATTACATGTCGAAGAATGAATTGGTGAACTTTCCCATTAGCATACACAAGCGTATTCCAAACTTCAAGGGCGCTGCAGAGGCGGCGCAGCGATTGGCTGAATTGGATGAGTTTAAGAAAGCAAAGACGATAAAGATAAATCCAGATAAACCGCAGGAACCAGTGAGATTCTTGTCCCTGGAGGCTAACAAAGAGATCATCGTGCCCATTCCCAGATTGAGATCTGGCTTGTTTCTACATGTTACGCCTGTCGCTGGTGCGATAAAAGAACAGTTAAAAACATTGGCTTCCAGGCACGGCTTGGAGCAAGCTGGCAAACCACTGGGGCTCAATTCCCACATTAAGGTCTGTATTTTATCTTTCAACTCGGGAAAGAATAGACCGCTGAAAATTACTAAATTACTCAAACGTAAATGCGGAGAGAGAAATTAATTGTAATAAGCGATAAGCGGTGAAGTGAACAATGATAAATAATACTGAAGGCAAAGTATACGATTATAAGCATCAGTTATTTCTTCATAGGTAGATCTTATTGTACTGGGATCTGTATGTGTCAGCCAGGACGGATATAGGCTCGGCAAGGGCGAGGGTTTCGCGGATCTCGAGTTCGCGGTGATGATGAGAATGGGCGCGATAACGGAGAACACGACCGTTATCACGACCGTGCACGACTGTCAGATCGTGGATCACCTGCCCCCGCAGTTGTTCAAAGAGTACGACGTGCCGGTGGACATAATCGTCACACCGACACAGACGATATTTGTCGAGCCGAGAAAGAAGAAGCCGTCCGGCATTTTGTGGCGGATGCTCAGTGAAAGAAGACTTAAAACCATGCAGGTATTACAGCAGCTCAAAGAGATGGATGAGAAGTATGCATTAAGTTGCCTGAGTCATGCCCTGAGGTGAGCCATTTCGCGCGAGAATAAACGATATCGCCCACTTTTTGCAGAGAAGGCAGGGACGTGGTACTGAAAGAGGTCGATTCCGACGTAGAGACGCGTCAGTATATTAAAAACCGTCTGAAATATCCACGAAACAAGAAGCGTCCCGGCGCGAAGAAGGATGCGTCCGGTACGAAGAATTTCACTACGGAGGATGGAACGAACGATAAGACTGATAATAAGCCGCGTTTTACGCGAAGACGTTCGTACAAAAAGGCGAAAGTCGAGGAAGAGAGCAATTTTCCGGGTGCCGAAGTACGTTTCTCCAGATATATATATATATATAAATATAATTTATCGAGTTACCATTAGACCACTTATTTTTACTGTGTTATCGATCAAGTTCTTATCGGTCAAGTTCATTGTGCCTTTAATCAAAGCTTCCAATTCCGACCGATCGACTGAAAATACACATTCGACGCGATACAATTCGCGATCTTATCGGAAAAGCGTCAGCGATGTATTCTTTGACGATTGAATTAAATTTCAACGGCTCTTTCGCATTGCAGACGAAAACGGAAGGTAACGCTAAAGGTGCGTCTCGTCTGGCTCGTAAGAATCCACGCACCAGAACGAAGGCGCACATCGACTTCTCGTTGAAACTGTCGAACATCTCGTCCGGCGTCCGGGTCCGCGAATTGAAGAATGCTCTGCTGGAGCGCGGCGTCAAACCGAGCGAGATTACTTGGCAGGGTTATCGCGGTATTTGTTATCTTCACTTCACTAAGCTGAGAAGCGAGACCGGATCTCTACTGGATCAGCCGCTTCAGATGGACTCGATCGTGGCGAACTTGCAGCAGCTGCGAATCGGCGAGTCCGGCGCAAACGACGACGACGAGGAGGTGGAGGGCTTTATACGCGTGGAGCCGGCAAAACCGATCTCCAGAATCGAGGTAACCGACGTGACCGCGGTTTAAACGGATATTATATATTGGAAAGTAACTAAAGCAAATTGTGCGATAGTTGATCGTGAATGTGTTCGGTCATTTTTTTGACGTCGAACTAATCGGGTATCTTGCAGAGTTTATTTTTTCTAAGACAAATTTTTTACACAGTTACGCGTGCAGTATGTCTCGGATAAGACGAGTGTTTTCCGTTAGTTAGCGAGTTCTCAGATGAGTTTTCAGAACTTTTTTCTTCGGTGAATTCGGAAATTGACAATTTCGAATTTTTTTCTATCTTTGCGATCAAATATGCGTTACACGCGAGTCTGTTTGAATTATTGAACGAAACGAGGAGGAATCCTCATTCGTCCGTCGATTTGTACATATTGTAACGACGCCGTAACGTATCAGGAATGTCGATGATACATTTTTTGGTCAAGAGAACTTGATTCTGAATTTGCAAGAAAGTTTTGGCAAGTTTTGCCAGAAATCGCTTGATCGCCGAGACGTACTGCACATATTTTTCTTCTACTTTATATGATAGATACCAGCTTCGCCGCTCTAAATATATGCAAGACGAATGTCCTAATTAGTGGCAAGATAATCTTCTTTGCGTGGAAATAAGTGAAGTGATCAGTAATACACGTATTTTAAGCTTAAGCATGTAAAATTAATTTTACTTAAAAGTTTGAACATTTCGAGTTCTAAACGTATTGTATTTTTTGCTTGCAAAATATTCTATAATCTTTTTTTCTTTGATCGACAATACGTTTCAATTGCTTGAGGTCAAAGAATACCTACAAAAAGTATCAAATAAATGCCTTATATTAACGGTCAACTTATAAGATGATTATAAGATGGTTAACTACTCGGTCGTCGTTAGCAGCATGCTTATAATTATATTTTAGCATTCATTATGGCTTTTATTTTCACTTGAAGTTTGTTTCATAACAAATAATACATAAAATTAAGAATAACATATTTTTTTTCGATAAATATATAACTGTATTATCTAACTTATGATTAAGGAAGAGATATTATTGTCACAAATTGAGACATTGTCACTAATTACGACATTTATTTTACCTTGTGCTAACAATTAGAAGTACGTTTCTTTTTAATAATTATTTTATATGTTACTGTTACTTCGCTTAGATCTATATTGCAGTTGTACTTGTGAATTAATTTGTGGTGAATTAAGCCGCGTTGATAGCGACGATCTGAAAGTCGATTCGGACTGGTTCGGATTTGATGCAGTGCGAATATATATTAATATCAATATATGGTTGTTACTATTAACACAGAGAGAGAGAGAGAGAGAGAGAGAAAGAGAGAGAGAGAGAGAGAGAGAGAGAAGGAAAGAGACCGTGTATTTTTGGCGAACGATTTTATTTATGTCACTTCCACATCAATAATAAGCCATGACACTGTTACGTCAGGGAGAAAATATCACCAGAAAATTCGTCGCAATGTGCGTAATGATGATCTGTGATCAAAAGATACAGGGTGTGCTGTTAGAATTCCGGACAAAATTGAATTTGAAATTCCACTACATTAAAATTCAGCTGTAAGTAATATTTGGCGATAGACCCTAATGGACCCCGATTTCCTTGCATCTTCAATATATTGGCTCTAATAAATGACTTCTCGGCGAAACGTTCTCACGTCCGGCTTCCACGACACACCCTGTACATTAGAGGTAAAACAGCAGCACCACGGAGAGATATGGTGAGTGCGTGATCGCTGAAAATAGCAGGACAGGCGTACAGGCGTACAGCGCACTTCATATTACCCCGAGAGCGAAACTTGCTCCTCGTTCTCTTTTCTCTTTCAACTCTGGAATACTAAAACGTGCGAGACATGGATGTTTTTTTTTTCTTTTTTACAAACCGTCTTGCCCAGGTCTGTTTCTCATCCCACCAATTTCCCCCTGAATCTCTAAAACGATATCTTTGAAAATATTGTTACGCTCGCACGGGGAAATAAAACGAGACAATGTTAAAAAGAAAACAACTTCAACTATATTTGCTATTTACAAGGGAGCACGCGTAACTCGCAGGCTCAAGCTCTCTCTTTCGTTAAAGACCGTCGCACACGTCACGACGACTCAACCGCCCCAGAAAGAATCTCTCTAACCCGTTGTTTATCCGTCAACGCTGATCATCTGTTGTTTACGACTCGTTGCCAAGAGAATCAGCTGTATGTTCAGGGCGCTAAAAGCGCGAGCATCAAAACACAGGCGTAACAATATGTAAAAAATCTTCAAATTTTCCTTTTTTCAATCACTGCACGTCTCTCCAAGACGTAAGATTGCGAACATTCACAACATATTAAAATATTAGTATTCTAGGGTTAACGGTCTTCCGGAAAGAGAATCGCAAAGAGAGCTGTCAGTTAAGTATCGAAAATATCCTCTGTTTAATATCCAGCGTTTGTTAGAGTGATTTGTATAGAATCTGGAGAAGAGGACACGCCATAATATGACCGCTGCTGCTGCTGTATTTGTCTGTGGAGCAACGAAGGATAATCGTCTTCTATGATTTTTTTTATATATTCTCCGTAGTCAATGAGTTGAAATCTAATCGATGTGAGTAGAGTGCGATATATATATATATATATATCTGCGATAATATGTGGTACCAATTATCTAACACAGACTGATGACAATAGTTCACGTGTCGTTTCACCCGACGCGACAAAGTGTGAATGAATTATCATATCTTTCTTCGTGTTCGGGAGATAAAATGGGGAAAAGCAGAGATGGAGAGAGAGAGAGAAAAAGAAAAGAATACGGAGAAGGGAAGGGATAGAGGGGGAGTGAGAGGAAAGAGAGAGGAGAGACTATTTTTCTGAACAGATATTCTTGTAAGGAAGCAAATATATACATATATAAACAATATATTTTCGTGCTCTAGCCGCTTTATAGGCGTGTTGCGGTCTTCCATGCGTTGTCAGTCGAAGTGCAGGTGAAGGGAACACGTTGTACGTCGGCCGAGAAGCGGAGAAACGGCAATACTTTGTGATATTAACAAATATGATTTATCGTTTTTTAGATACAAAAATATATAAGCGATGACGTGAAAATCGATAAAATAAAATCGTTATTAATTTTACGCCCATATAATTGTTATTATTGCATATATACATATGTACAAGTATATTAAATCATGCGTGCGTGCGTGCGTGCGTGTGTGTGTGTGTGTGTATGTGTGCGTGTGTGTGTGTGTGTGTGCGTGCGTGCGTGTGTGTTCGTGTGCGCGCGTATGCGTGCATAAGGTCGTAAATACGATGTATGTATACAAATCTGATGCATAAAGGAGGATCCTCTTTTTATTAACTTCGTTCTCGTATATAGCAGTGGTTTTTTTAATACATCTGCCTTCACTACGCTTCCAATTATCCGCATCCATAGTGCGATCCTGCCGATAATCTCCTAGTGGAATGGATATAAATTTCTGCTCACCTGTTTTCCTTCATAAATACATTAAAAAGTTCGTGCGGATTTTCAGGTCAAAATCGAAACACTCCGAACTGTCAAAGATATTTTTATTCTCGATTTGTACATAGCGCACTTTTCTAAACAACATGTATATATATATATAGAGTATATACATATATATTTACCGAATAGGACATTTACATCGTGTAGGTCATTGTTCCCAATCGTTTCAACGAAGAACTTACGTCGTTAATGTGCGTCTTAAAGTCCTGTCGGTACTACATTAGATACGAAAGTGTTAATTTATTCTTCATTTATCATAACTCGTTCAGCACTCGAATCTTAAATCTTAATGTGTTAAACTTTACTTTAAATCTTTTAAATCAACAATTTTTCTTTTTCTCTTCTTTCTTACGCACGTGTTTTTCATTTCACGTATCTGTCGTTGTACTTCCGCTAATATCATTAGAAAGAACGTTGTCATTATTTGCGGGTAATAATAATCGCGTATTGTTTGAGTGAAATTCGAAATGTTTTCAGCGAAAGCAAAATAAAAATGTTGTTTTTCTTTTTCCGAGGAAAATTTTCGTGAAACGACGCACAGTGCATGTCACAATTTTTTTTGTACTGAGAAGATTCACTTATACTACTACCTCGAAAATGCGTCTAATTTTCTAATGAGAGCTCACAATCGGAGCTTCTTCTAAGTTCGGAGTAACAAAAGATGTGTGCTAAAATAGTAATTTCACCGTTTGAGTGAATTCATAACATCGAGGTGGACGTCTCGATCGTTCACCGTTCTCTTTCTTTCTTTGAGAATCGCGAAGCCTCGTCTGCCCTGCTGTTGGTCAAAGTTTGTGAGATGAAATCTGGATGATGATGGTTTTAAATGCACATTTCCTGGTACACTAATTAAAGGTCGCACCGCAAGGATCCGCGAGGGATTCTAGACGATGACGCGCATTTACTTCCAATTTCCACCCCACGTTTTCGGGGCTTCCTAGACGAAGTTAATACAAACATTAGTTAATATTAGTTAATATCGATAATTAGCGAGCCGTTATTAATGAGTCGTCTGTAAAACCGCATGACCTTTGACCGGAAAGTTTGATGAAGTTCGCCACGAATAAGACTTACGGAAAACGGTAACCAGAGAAATGAGTTCTACATATACTTTGCGAATGCGCAGCGAGAAGAATGAAAGCTTATTAGAATGATCAAACGGAATATCTAACAGATAGGTTTGGATATCTGCTCGAGAGTTTTGCAAGTTTTCCATGTTGAGGCAAACACGATGCGACCTCGATAGACAAACAGAAAAGCTAAATATTAAAAAGGTAAGTCACATTACGTTAGGCTGACACGTGGAGAGAAGAAAATTACGCAGTCGTATTTTCCTCCAGGGACACAGAGAATATGAAAATTTCACTGTGTTCTTTTTTTTGTTCTTTTACTTTAAGGGGGCAGAAAGGTTTGAACTTATAAAAAGTCGGTAAGATTGAAGTAGCTTTCTGCGTCGCGAACGTCGGGGACGTATGCGATCGCGTCGATTTAAGACGTGCTGGGTTCCGGACTCGCATCGATGAAGTCGATGTCCGAGGACGTCGCGATGCTCGCACGGCGACCTTGCCTCGGTGACGCGCTTATGCGCGCTTTGACGCTCGTCGTTGAGACGCTCAGTCGGTTTCCGGTTCGCTGGGCTGGCAGATGCTTTATTCTGTAATCAACAGGGGATCGAGAGAATGTTCGGAAAGCGTCGATGGGAGGATTAATACGCCGCACCTCGAAAGCTAGCAAACTCAAGATTATTAGAGGCGCGGAAAACGCCGCGGAAAACCAAGGGAGGGCGAAAAAATCGAGGACGTGGGTGATGTGAAACAAATTTCGGCTTGATGAAAGAAATGGTCATGGAAAAATACCTTTTACCGTCGTGCACGCGTGTGTGACGTCGGTAGCAAACATGTTGGAAAATAATGGGAATTATCTCGAACGTTAAACTTTGCACCTGATTTTTTGTGAATAAATTTTTTCAGTTTCATGAAAAAAAGGGAGTACCGAGTTAATTTTCGGCGATCTTCATTTCGAACGTACAACACACCTGAGTCTCTCTTCGGCACTCTTCATGGCAGTGTTTAGTTCCTCCTCCCATTGCTTCTCCTTCCTCTCTCTCTCCTGCCTCTCGATTTCACGCTCGCGATTGTACACCCGATACTCCGGGATGAAGGCTAATCGTCGCGCCTCGTCGCTCGGCCCGGCGAACAAGCCGGCGTCCTCCGCCGAGTACTCGACCCTCAGCGATCTGCGAAAAAACGGGAGACATGTCGATGAAATAGAATAACTCGCTACAACGAGATCCGCCGCGGAGTTCAGCCAGGAACCGGTGGGCCGACCTCTGTTTAGCCAGGCGTTTCTTTTTCTTGTGCAGCGGTTTCGTCTCGATTATCATTTCCTCGAGCTCGAATGTGGGGTCACAGTTCAAGTGATCCTTCGGCGGGACGAATCGCGGCTTGATCTGCTTGTTCAGCACCTTGTCGAAGTCCAGTTCTCTCATCGCATTCGTCCGCTTTAATTCCTTCAAAGACGATACTCGGCTGACAGGTGCCAGAGTTAACAGTCGATCCAGGAGATTGCAGATCGACGGACTCCAGTGGGAAGGTTTCGGTTTCTCGTCCTGAAAAACCGTATCCTTCGACGTAACTAAGCTCGCCGGTTTGCAGCTTTTCGTTGAATTTCAGAAGGATAATTTGCTGAACCAAAAAGGACAGTCGCGAGCTTGAATTCGTTTCGAAATGTATTAGAATCCGAGTCGAAATTTTGGCCTTTAAACTTCTAATTTTACAACACACACACACACACACATATGCACACACAACAGAATAGCTAAGATAACGAAATATGTTGTATAATATCATATATCATCATTGGAATTAAATTATACAACATATTACAAAATACAGAATATAATATGGTATGCATAAGAAGTGATTCGAATCCGAAATGAATACAATCTTCATCATCACTGAGACGCTTGGCGTTATGCAAATGCGGCAGGATGCGCAGTCAAGACGGACGCTACACGGTGCGTCGTCGCACGTGTATGTCGCTTCAATAACATCTTCCTGACAAGTTCTCGATTAACCAGACAGCTGGGACGTGGCGCTGAATTAACGGGACAATCCGCGCACGCGGAAGCGGCTCAACGGAGAGTGGAGAGGAAGGTATCTCGTGTAAGTTGGAGTACACACGTATGTGAGAACTATCTGAGCCAGCTAACTGAAGACGGACTGTTTCGCACCTGTAGGATCTTCAGAGCCTCTCTATTGGACGTCGTGGAATGAAGCGGGTATGGTCTCTCCATAGCTAAGGTCTCCCAAGCGAGGATTCCCAGACTCCACCAGTCGACGGCAAATCCGTAGCCGAGGACGCCGTATTCCTCGCACGAGCACATGTAAATCTCCGGGGCTGGCGCAAACCCGCTAAGTTAAAGGTGAGAGATACGCGAAAGAAAAACTGCCTGCCGATCGCATTGTTCGCGAAGACAGCCTTAGCTTAACACGGATGATAGAATTATTATGAAGATTCAAGATGGAGATAAATTGAATTTCAGAGACGATGGTAGCAACAGAGCTGCCTACACTGGAAATTACAGACTCAAGAAAAGACGAAGATCCACGGAAATTGAGAGATGAAATAATTCGTAGAAAAACGCATACGAAGAAGATCGCAAAATTACATTGTTCACACACATACCCATGTACGGTTTCGTCCCGGACATCGAAGTCGCCAGCTGGCCGTCTTCGAGTATAGACGCGACGTTGAAGTCTGTCACGTGAACGTGGCCTGGACAAACAAACTTTACATCTCATTTCTCGTGCTTCGTGCATCTAATCACGAGAATTCGATTTTTGTTTTCATATCTCGACAATTGAATTGAATTGATCTACAATATATTCGAACTTTTTCGGTGATCCTAAGCCGGCTATTGGGTAGCGAGAGGCATTAGTTCAGAATTAACGTTAGATAAAGATACTCACCCTCCTCGTCCAACAGTATGTTGTCCGGCTTGATGTCCCGATGGACAATCCGGTGGGTCTGCAGATAATCGAGCGCAAGCGCGATCTCGGCTACGAACAGCACAATGCTCTCTTCGCTGAACACAACCTCTTGCTGAATGTGGTATCTCAGATCACCGCCCAAGAGCAAATCAGACACCATGAAAAGATCTTCTTCATCTGTAACAACACGGTGACGAGCTTTCGGGGTTAAGAGTTACGCCCTTGATTTTCGTTTCCTCGCAACCATGTAACTAGTTGTTCTATATTTTACTAATTAAATCTAGCTGGGCGCCACCCGACTTTCTGCGTCTGGCCAACCGGACTGTTTTTTTTGTGTGTAAGAATGAACGTTGCTGCTAACATGAAAAGAAAAATTAAATCTTTCCATCGTCGAAATAATGACCGGGGATAGGATCTCTCGAAGGATCACGATTTCCTCTTTAAGTATGTGTACTTACTACACACGTGGATTTGCGGCGACAATTGACAATTTTTTATCGCAGAGCGCGCGCTTTCGTCGTCCATACGATGCTTCGGATAAACATAAGCGATGGACACAAACATGTACGAAACGGGTTCTGATCCTGATTCGATATTAGTCTGGCGCTAATTAAATCTACTTCTAAAGTTAAGTGACTCGCCTAGTATGTATGTGTGCAAAGTAACGATAAAAAATTAACGATTGCACCGTTACTCAAATAATACAACCGTATTATTGTTACCATTAATGTAAAAATATAGCCTCTTTGTTTTACGGAATCTTGCTAAAAAAAAAAAAACTAACTTCCAACGGTCGTTACTGAAAGGAAAGTAATTTATAAACGTGGCGTTACATATAACGCGTCATTTCTCAGTCCTGGAATTTGACATGATAAGAGGGAAGACTCGAGTGACGGGAATTCGTAGGTATGAACGAATGAGCAAACCATTCTATCGGCTCGCGTACGTTCTATTAATATTAACGTAGCGGTCGTTAAGCAAACACTCGCAGTGAAATAATTCATATCGTCTCGGACGATATCACGATGTTCCTGTTATTTGCCATTTTACCGCTCGCAAATTACCGTGTTATCCCGATGACACACAACCAATTAATATTCATAATGTCGATATCGATACTCTGCCGATTTACCGCTGGAATGCAATCGAAAGGAGATCGGAGGAAGCTAGATGCTCGAGACAGAACTCGGAAGATTAAAATAGCAACGAAGCGCGCGCTAGTAGAAAATTAAACGCTACCTTCAATTTCCGTACCTTCGCGTGTCCTTCGGCTCTCGTCTCATATATTCTTTATTAAACGCGCCGCCGGATGATGTCTTCTGTGGAGTAAAATTCTCGATTGGTGGTAGAAAGCGCGTATATGGTTTTAATGGTAAAAGGTTGTTTTGAATCGCCCTATAGTATAGTCATTATAAATCTGTTCCAAGTAGCCAAACACCTGTGTGGATATCCATTGCGTCAAGATCCTGAATCCGATATTTCTCACCAGTTTTACGAGAGTTCCCACTTAGGCGATCGCCCCGTTTTTATATTTTATATCTCACGCATCTCTCAGACTTGGAAACATTCGATTCGAGTGATCGATGTCGCGCGTGGAAATGGCGCTTACCTTGGAAACTGAACCACAAGTTCACCAGGCAAGGATGCTCCAGCTTCGACAGGATCTCCACTTCCCTCGCCACGTTTTTCAGGGCGCCCCGTTCTATGCACTCGTTTTTATGCACGTACTTCATGGCGTACATGTTGCCCGAACTGTCACGCTTCTGCACGATGCAAACCTGAAATGCGCGAATTCCCGCAGGAACTGAATTTCACGCGCTGGATCGTAAATCCTGGACGAAGTTAAAAAAAAACTATTCGAATTCATAGCGAGCTTTCGAATCGGCAAATTGGATATATCGCGCAAACATTTAACTTCTTCCTTTTTCCTTTCTGCACGGGATGCGATAAAATACGAACGATCTGTTTTCATCTGTTTGCCCCGAACTATTCGACGTGAATATTGCAATATCGATGTTTACTCCAACCAGTTTTTCAACGTCACTCCTACTGCCGAGTATTGCTTGATTATAAGAGCCATCGTGGAAGGAAGAGGAAAGGAGACGACAGTTCGCGGTGTTCTCTTTTCCTTATAAAAATATCGGAACGCGCAATTGAGAGCGCACTTTTACACTGTGAATGACCGCGTTATGGAAACCCATCATAAAAATTTTATTCTCGTTTTAACGTTTATAGTGACGTCGTTTCATGAGCGTCGATGTCACGTAGCCGCCCCCGCTGTCGTTAAAAGCGAAGAAACGAGTTTGAAAATTTGTGGAGCGGCGTTACGCGACAAATATAAGAGCGACGACGATCGTTTTTTTTTTCCTTTCCTTCGTTCCATCACGATGTGATGGACCGTAACGATATTTTATAGCGACGTAAATACAATCTTCGTTGCATTCGAGAGAAAAAGATCGGTCAATATTAAGGAGAAATTCCTATCTAGATGACCAATTTTCAAGCGAACTTTGACATTCTTTGCTTAAATTATTGAACTTATGAATGTAAGATTTAGTATACATATTTAATTATATTTAAATGACATTTGTATATTATCGTTAATTACGACGTGACTCAATACGTTTGCGAAACGCAGGCGTATACGCAGCACACGCTTGACCGGCGTGTAAACACCAAAGCAACGCTGGATAAATTCGGATTTGCCGAGATGAACTGCTTGGAAAGTGCAAAAATAGCGGACCGAAATCTGCTAAACGGTCGTGTCGCGCTCGTATCGCGAACGGGAAGCCTACAAAATGGTCAACCCGCGTAGCACATTACGCGCTTTATTCCGTCGCCATTCAACCGCAAAGTTAATTAATTTGTCACGTACCTTACCGAAGCTGCCTTTCCCAATGGCGCGTAGGATTTGAAAATGATCGAAATTCACTGTAACAAAAACGTGTTTTAATTAAACCACCGAGAGCATAGAGATTTAATTGGTGAGCGAATAACGCATTAAGCTTGCTAGTTGATGAAGCACGGTCGGAATGAACTGCACGAAAGAGCTGCTAAACGGGCTACTTAAATGCTCTTTAACGTTTATTCTCGCATATATGTCCAATTCAACAGTAATTTCAGTTGATTGAGATTGACTTTCTGGCGTTGATACGTGTCAAGTAAAGCCTTAGGCCCGTGTTAAGGCGCTGTGACTGTCCTTGTTTAATGATGTCAGAAGCAAGAAAACCAAAATGCCGAAATTTTTTGCGTTATGTTTTCAAATAAAGAGATGTACCCAAGAGAGAGAGAGAGAGATACCCACAAAATTATTAACATTTGTTATCGATTCAGCATACTTATTTTAAATTTAAAATTAACATTGTTCAAAATCATGACAAAAGAGGTTGGAAAAGGAGATTTCGCGTCAAAGGAATTTCGCGTTTATTTATTTATTTATTGATCGTTCGTTCGAGTAAAAGAAAAGCATTCGTCCAATTTTACGAATGTGCATTTAAGTGGTATCTAGAAATAAATAGAAATAGCAATTTAGAAACGCCGACGATTGTCAATCGGTTGAGCCTGCTGGTGAGAATCGCGATTCAACGAAAATCCGCGAAGCTTCAGTCGGAGTAATGCGGGATTAACGTGAAGCGCAATGTTACTACAGGAGATCAGTCGGAGACTGATCGTGGAAAATATACAGAGAAGACGGCATACATACAGTTTACACTGCCCAAGCACGCAGCTTTCTCGAAATAGCTAAACTACGTAATCGGCAAGGCGAGCATTAGCAGTGTCAGAATCTCGTGCTTGACCTTCCCCGGAGCGCAGTTCCATGTAGAGAAGAATTGTCAAGAGTGTCCTTATAGCGACGAAATTACAAACACGGTAGAAATAAATATACTTCGGTATTCCTCGACTTCGTTATGAACGTATTTCGTTTTTCGAACGCGACAATAACACGCCAATAATAATAACCGACTGATGATGTATTGACGATCGTCTCCCGCAAAAAAGACGTTCTACTTGCTACTTGGATGTTACAAGTTGCCAATTTTACTTTTATGTTATTTATCTTATCTTATTTTTACCTATTTGCCTCGATTGTGTGGAAGAAAGTGGAAATAATTGGATTAGAGCCGTGTCAGCTTTTGAAATGGAAAAATTGAATTGGACAAGGAAGGAAGGGACGAATAAAAAAAGCCTCTATGCGGATTTTGCTGTTTGATAAAAATAAACAAAATAATTTTTCGTGTCAATTCACAGTTTGGCTCAGATAAAAATATTCATTTATTTGTCCAAACGTTTCGGACCTATTTTGATTACAAACTAAGAGTGACTACACGTAGGTATATAAAAATTACACATTTGAATCTGCAGTGTAAACCGGAAGTTTTCCCGTAAAATGTAGAAAATTGAAATCTACGTTTTTCTACGTTACACGAGAGAATGACGTGAGAAAGCGACGTCGCAACGAAAGAATCGAGGAAGGAAGGACATAGCACTTTGCTTTGGGAAATTTAATTCACCGGTGAAATTCAACTGGACATTTTTTTTCTCGAGCTAAATTAAAGCGCCCGTTAAGATCGTACGGTGCACGGCTGTGTAACAAAGAATATTTATTAATAGTTCCCGGCGAGCAACGCCTCGGCTATGTAATCGAACCGGGGAAGAAAAACTGAAACCTCTCCTTCGTGACGTCCTGCCGTCGTTGCAGCTGCAGCGAGCTATGAAACGCGATAGAATAAGGCAATCCCGTGAAACGGGTTGTCAATGCATATCCGTCATTCCAGTCGAACAGGAGTTTCGAGTTATGCGAATTATTACGGTACCTGCGCGCCGATATAAATCGCCGTCTCTATTGACATAAACGTTTCGAGCCGGGCGAGTGGTAATTGAATGATAAATAAATAAATGTAACGGCGATTCGAGGCCTGTATTTCATTTTTTATCCGCATTGCGCGTAAAAAATCTCTTGGAATCTAATTGGGAGTCGACGTCTGTTGCTAATCATATGACACATGTATACAAAATGTATATAAATAAATCTCTTGGCAACAATGAAGAGGAAAGTGTAATTTTTATTAGCTATTCGAAAATGTTCAACAGGAAATATATATATATATGTATAAAGATATAAATGCTCACACATTAATCCACAATATGTCACACAACGATACATATAGATTTAAAAAACGATGTAGAAATCAAGATTCAAACTCACAGCATGCAGTGTTCTCAGCGATAATAGCAAAGCGTCTAGCAGTACCAAATAGCTCGAAAGTTATCGAAAACTCACAGCATATAAAATATGTCAGAAACTTCAAACTCAATTTTTCTCACGAACATTTGAGAGTTGCATCGAGTGGCTTCACTATGCATTAGTAGGGGTATATATGTGTGTGTGTGTGTGTGTGTGTGTGTGTGTGTGTGCGCGCGCGCGCGCGCGCGCGCGCGTGTGTGTGTGTAGTGTTATATATATATATATATAACACTACACATATTTCAAGTTCAATGAAATCTGAGTGGACAATTTCTGGTGTTCCCCTTGTAAGAGCCCGGGAAAAAATAATTTCTTTCTTTCCCGGGAACTCATGAATGAATGAATATCATAGTTGTCACGAATATAAAACCAGGTTCGCTTTGCTATATTTTGCATACTTAAAAGAAACATAAAGGTATAGTTGAGACCAAAATTCGCCGTAAAATGTAGCGAGATTACAATTCATCCCAACAAACTTTTTTCTCTCAGTATGCCTAAAAGATCCATGAAGAAAAACATCCGCTCGTGAAATTCTCCAAAAATTAAAGACACGCCAATCTGGACGATCATTTTCTTGCCAATCGCGCTTGAAACGCCGCGTTGTCTCATTTTTCCCGATACCTTCTAAAATAGCAGACTCAACCCCATTATAGTATAGCCGGAATCGATCGCCAATTAGTTGCGCGCTTATCCATCTCGCGCGTCCCGTTTCACTAGAGAATTCCCGAGAGAAGAAGAAGAAAAAGAAGAAAAAGAAAACAGACGGAAGGGAAGAGGAAGAAGGATGAAAAGGAAGAAAAGCGCGAAATCGAGGCACGTTTCGCTACGCCGGTCGGCTCGTTTACCTTCTTCTCCAGGTGTGGGCGCACTTCGGCTCGACTGATTGGCACCCATTTTCCCCTCAATGAACGTCGGCCGTAAGCGTCGGCGGCCGTCGGTGTAAGTTGCATCGGCGGTGCGGTGTCGACGACGGCGACGGTGGGTTCCGTCCGCGGCGGGAAGTCTCATATTTTCGCATCGTCGTGCCGCGATTCCTCATCGCGCGCGCGACCTTGGCTCGCCCTTTCTTCCGGGGCCTCAACGGGGCGCGTGTAACAGCATTCCTCGCGGGTAGCTCACGCGTGTGTGCGCGACGTCGCGTGGCTCTTGTCCGTTGGGTCGACGAGGCTGATCGGCGACGACGATGACGGTGGTGGTGGCTGCGATGGTTAATTAGCGGCCTGCCGCCTGCAGATTCGAGTGGCTCAACTTAGGGGCTCGTGATTAATGCGTGGATTAATTGCGACGGGCGGCCCGTGATGACCCTTCACGTGACGTGAATGCGGATCAGCCGCTGCGAGAGTGGCGCACTTCGTCCCGACAGCGGGTGCCACGACGATGCACCTGTAACGGATGTAGCGTCCGAGGGGATGATTATTATTTTTCGTTAACGCGTCAATTGGTCCCGACTGAAGACGTGGTGGTACCGTCACGTCGTGCCTCCCCGGCGGGTATGACGAGTGTGATGGCTGAAGTGTTGATGTCGGGAGTATCGGGACGAAGCGAGTCGTCGCCGAGTTGAAACTTAAACGAAGACGGGTCTCTGCGAGGGGGGGTTCTTTAATTGTGAGCGTTCAGTTCATATTCAATTTTACTTTACATATTTACGATTAAACGACATCAATGCATCAATATATATCAAGCAAGTCTTTTATCTTCCGCAAGTCTCGCTAGCTGGGACGAATTAATTAAAGCGCGCGTGAGAGAAAGAGACGACGCATGACGCGTCTATGGTGACAGAGCATCGCGCGGCCTGGTCCTCGAAATGCCGAAATTAAGCCCATGATCGAGCGTGACAATGGGGGGCATTTGCGTTCCGAACTGAATTCCGCGGACGCGACGAATTAGTCTCGCGGCCTCGACGATGGCGCACGCGTGAAACAAACGCTCATTTCCCCATCGCAGCAGCATAACTGACTGCGAGTCGCGATATTGATATTAATCGACGGATTTCTGTGCGAGCGAGCGATCTGCGAGTTCCGGACGCGCGCGCGGCAGTAATTAACGCTGTTGATTAGTTAGTGCGGACGCAGCAAACACGACGGCTGATGTATAGCTGCCACTCGAATTGCAGGTCGAATTGAAACCTCCGCATTGAACGTAGACATATGTGTGCGTGCGCGTGCACACACACACACACACACATACATGTGCATGCGTATAGGGCAGGCACGACGGTAAACACACTCCTATGCATTCGAATGTTCTGCCGATTATGAGATCTTCGTCTTTAATTCTCAATTATATAACCGAGGTTATCGAATCTTATTACTCTTCGGTCGGACTCGATTATTTTAACCGGCGATACCGTTCGACAATTGGACGATGCGATCAATCGCGGATGAAAGCTCCCTGCTGACTCGGTTTATTATTTCTACCTCTTCCTATTTTGATATTAATTCTTTTCTCTTCCTTCCAACCGGGTTTCAGGTTTTCGTTCATACGGTAAATATTGCAAATGTTATCGCATCAACGTCTGTAAGACGGGATTTTTATTTGTATTAAACATTTATAAGTTACTTTTATTATTATTTTTTGTATATTTATCATCACTGTAATTAGGTATTAAGAAGACAAATAAAAGATGAGGGGAAACAAACTCTCAGGGTAAGTTTAATAAAACACTCTATTTTCCGCGAATTTCCCGGGGACCAAACTCGGAGATAAGTTATTATATCGCCCGGTAATTTTATTACTCGTACGAATAATAAAATTACTGAGCAACAGTAATTTATTATCGGCCAATTTATTATAGGCAGTGAGACTTTTCTGCAAGGGTCGGGCGCACAATACCAGCGCATTTTCATTTTCTACACACACACACACACACAACACACACGAGGTCAAGTATATATTCAGCAGGCTTTGAAAACATTTCCTTACATGTTTACAGACTTCTTTCGGATTCTTATGTCGCTCAAAGTCCGGACTGGTGATATTTTATGAATTTCGCAGCTGAGAAGAATACAATCGCGCGCGCGAAAGAACCGGATAGAACGCATTCCTTTGACTTTTGTGTGACTTGCGTGCGCGCAAACGTGGAAATTCGCGAACGAAGCTCACGGCAAGGCGTTTGTATCTAATTCGCAAATAAAAAAGCGCATACTTTCGCGTCAAAGTGATTTCTCCGTTATTATTTCAGTTCTCAGCTACAACTATAATAATAATGGTTCTTTGGTCCATGCGCGGAGTTGACTTTTCCTTAACGTTACTGTTTGAGCTCTAATTACGCGGGTTATTTGAGACCGAGGGAGATGAAATTCCGGAAAATTAAGTTCCAGATTTGTAAAAAGGCGACGAAATATTACTACTTGCTTTTCAGTCCGGACTGGCTTTAACTCGAGCGAAAATTTCATCAGGAAGTTCAAACACCAAGATATAAGCAGTGAGAAATTAAGGAGTAGCGACATTTTCTTGACTTTCGTTAAATTCCCGTTTTACGTAAAAGCTAAGTTCGTCGGATACATCGCACTCATATACACGCACAGAGAGGAGTGGTTGTCAGCGCGATGGACGCGAAAATTATTAATAACGCGTAAATTGCAGGGGTTAATAACGATGCTTCTCTCAGGCGACATACCGATGGGACATTCGACGCGACACCCTCAGACGAAACGGTAGTCGAATTTTTCGGAAACACCACTCTCGCTAATTCGACACGTGCAGCGAAGTCAAGGGATTATTTCCTCAACGCGTCGGTGCCGTTTCAAACGCAATCATGCGCGACTCGTACAAATAAATCTCTCTATGCAGTTAGAAATCAAATATAGAGACCCCCACGCATACACACACACACGTACACATATACACATATTCTTTCCTTCTCTCTTTCTCTCTTTCGTATACGCACAAAGTAACTTTGCGTCGATTGTTGCTATTTTCGAAATAATAATGCTGCGCACGTAATATAAAATAATAACGCGATAATGAAAGTCTTAACCGATATTCTGAGCACGGAGAGAGAGAGAGAGAGAGAGAGAGAGAGAAGAGGAAAGGAGAGAAAAAGAGTATATTTTAGGATTATGCCTCTTAGAATTACAGGAATGATATAAAGGATTTTAGGCATTTTGGATGTCTGAGTCAAGCAATTAATAAAACTATTGAGATATGTGTCATGTGAGCAATAGCAAAATGACAAAATTGAAGAAGTTGATTTAAGATTGACCTCGCAACGAAATGTACGATACGTGGCGGATAGAAACGTAAGCAAAAGTACGAAAAATCGAACGATAAGAACTTGAGCGGCGAATCTACTTTGGTAGGAGGGAAAAAGGGGAGAAAGGACGCACTAAACATATACATATGTTCTGTAACATCGAGAGTGGTGCTTGCATTGGCGGAGCTTCGTTTCGAAGCGGCAATATACAAGGAATACATCGATGACGTTTCTTCCCAAGTCAATGTACTAACGTTTCTCTCTGGTATCGATCGATCAATTTCCAGTTTCGGCCGTGTTAACGATCGCGCGGGCGGCGATGCGAACAAACGGAAACGTGGCGATGCCGGCGAAACATCCCCCTGTGCACTTATACATCGATATCGAGCAACGTTGGTAGTCGGCGAGTCAATCAACGAGAAGACCTCGTTGAGGCTTCCTAGACATAGCCGAGGGAGCACGGAGTATCTGTACAGTCAGCACTGAGGACTGCGAGGTGTAAGAAGGACGGAGAGATCGAGGACTTTACCGATTCGCGATCGCGAGGATTTTCGCACGTTGATATATTCGGGCCGGCGATCGCGGTCGGCGCACGAGTGCTGAGGAGGGTCGACAGCGCATTCCCCGACTGCCGGCTTCGGCGGCGTCGTGGCTGCCGTTGGATCGCAAGCGCGAGGCGGCAGCCGCGCGTCCTCGCGTCTGCGCCCGGGGTAGAGTCTCGCGCGAGAGAGAGAGAGAGAGAGAGCGCGTGCCATGTGCGTGCGAGAACAACCCTATCGGGACTTACGCGGAGACGCGAAGTTGGGGAAGACGGGGGAAGAAGCGAGAGAAACGCGTATCACGTATAGATAATGGAGCAGCCTTGGGCGCTTTGTGCAATTTACGGCGCTTCCCGAGGACGGGAGGACGCAGAAAATACGACGGTGGGAGAGTGGGAGAGGGGGACGCGAAGCGTCGGACTGGCCGGCGTTTTGCACGATTAAACGCGCGACGATCGAGAGAAGACGGGAAGCAATCGCGAGAAAAAAAAGGGACGAGGTTTTTTCCGAAGGGACGGTGAGAAAGAGAGAGAGAGAGGAAGGAAGGTAATGAGGAGATACGAGATAAATATTCTCGGGGAGGAAACGGTATTCCGTGTGTAATTTACACGATGCTCGGACTTCGAGAGATGAATTACAGGGAGAGACGGCGTGAGGGAGGTGCGAGCGATAAGGTAAAATGCAAAATGAATATTCAGACGGTGCTTATATGTTATAAAGATCGGACGGAGGTCATTGGGGGAAAGTCTCTGCGATTATTCCGCGCGAAAATTTGGATTTACATACTGCACCAATAGGACCTGTGCTTGGCTTTCGATGACCGGATGCTGCTTAAAAGTTATTCCGCTCTAAAAGAATTACATTTTCATATTTTTTCTATGGTCTTATCAGACGACCCTCGTATCTAAAATCCATCCACTCCCAGCGTGCACAAACGCGATATTATACCGGGGCCTTCCCCATGTAGACGCAGCTGTACTCGTCAGCGCCGCGAAGGGACGGACAAGTTGTTTTCTTGATGTCACCGACGTCGTGCCATCTGCTTCGGGCGAGCTGCTGTGGCGTTTACGGTACTTCCGACTTTGCCGGACACGGCATCATAACCGACACTCATCACTTTTACGTACGTTCCTTTGCTTCCGAATGCAATACCGCAGCAGTAATAAGAGATTCGTTCGTAGATTCCGCGCGACCAACAAGAGAACTGGTTCTATCCCACAAAGGTGTGACAGAACTAATTCTCTTTAGGCTGAAACTGATTTTCGAACAATTACCGGATCAGAACGGACGTTTTAAGCTCAGGCATTGTTTGATGAAATACAATGCAATGTCTCGGGGAGGGAGAAATAAGTAGGACAGTAGTGGGTGCTCAGCGGTTTCCGAGCGTTCTTACTCGCTCTCGACGGCGAATTGTCTCGGGGATTACTCCGTTTCGCGACCGGCGTACACGGTTGTCGCGGAAAAGTAGCTCCATGCGCTCCGACAAACGCGTCCCTCCAGCCCGTTGGCTTTCCGCGCTCGTTACCGTATCTCACCCTGCGTCGGGCTTCCCGCGTCGTCCGGCTTCTCTTCCTTCTTCTTCCCGCGGAGGAGGACGATCTCGTTATTCCGTATATAGCGAGGTCTTAAATAAAAAATGCCGCCGCGGGCCTTTTGAATTATGAGCGTGATCCATTAAACATCTCTGCCTTTGATAGCTTGTCCTTGTGAAAACTCGATACGCGAGACTCCTCGAGCCTCGCCGACGGCCGAAGGTCGGCCGCATCTTGAAATTTATCATTACAATTGGTGAAACACACCGGCGAAATGGGACGCGAGGATGAGGGTCGCGGCATTTTCTGCCGAAATTTCGCCCGGCCGAGTCGATTTGCGCTACTCTGCGTAAATATCGCTCTCTGTTCCCATGTCGCTGTATTTAAATGCGATATAGTCAAATAATGAGCACGAATATGTTATACGTTATACAGGGTGAGACAATAACTGTTATCTTTCTTACTAACCTGCATCCCAGTGTTTGAAGGTCCTTCGGATGTATAAAATAATAAGTGCAATATTTAACGATTTGATTTTTTTCGTATATTTCTAGAAAGCAAGGAGATGCGCGGAATTGTAGTACCAATTTCCACGTGATTTCACGTGTATCGGGTAATACGTTTCCACGACCAACGCGACGGCCGAACTCCTTTGGAGTCTAAAATTAATTCATTCCACATCGATCAAGGAACCGCACGCTCGCTACACAGCCGCCTTTGTCCGCCAACCGATGTTTCGCGATGAAAAGGGCGCAACTTGGTGGGATCAATAACATGCAGCCGGCTGGGCTGCAATGTCCGGCTTCCGAGTTAATGCAGCTTTTTGCGAGTATTTCCTGCTAGCTCAGCTTGTGGCCGAAACATGGCTGCCACTTTGTTGCTCTCAGCGTTCGCCGATGTAACGAAATTCTTTACGCGCGCTTCTCTCGCGCTACTCCTCCTTTTTCAAAGTGCGGCGGCACGACTTCTCTCGGTCTCATCGATAGTTCAGGAAAATCAAATGAATATTTCATCCAGGGGGAGCAAACGCGTCTTCTTTGCGCGTTTTTGCATAAGTTCGATCGTCCCGCTTCATTCCCGAGTGTTTACTTTGTAAAGAATCTCTGTCGCTTTCGCGACGCTCGCGTTATATATTTTCGAAGCCGACGATGTGAGCGATGATTTGGAAATTGACTTGCACCGAACATCTTGAGGATAATTTGTACCTATTTGGCTAGCCTATAGACCATTAAAAATCCACTATGGCAAAAAGATTTAGAGATTTAACCTTCCTCTACAGTCTTCGGGTGAATTTAATCTGAAATCATATGTTACATTTTTATGGAATTTTATGTGATTTGAATGAGCATTCTAGTATTTCATCTAATTTCCTCTCAGTATTTCTCTCAATATACAGATTTAATTTTAACGCTTTTTTTTGAAGCTATAAATGCTTTCAATATTTTGTTTATTAAATTCTTCTGAATATTCAAAACAATCCATTTTGACGCTAAAATAATGACAACGAAAATTTAAAACATCATCATGGTCAAAGTAGAAATAAATTATATAATTACAATTGAATTGTAATTGATATTTTATTGTACTGTATTGACATTTTAGTTTCTACTGTGTTATAGAATTAAAAGGTTCGACACAGAACCAAAACTTCGACTCGCGTTTTCGCTCAAATTCGCGCGGTTAAACTCTTTCCCAATGAAGACGAATTTGAACGATATTAAAATTGCCGTTCCGCTGTCCCGGAATTCGAAAATCAGGAAGTGTACCGGAAGACCGAGAAACACCGGAAAATCAAGAAGCATCGTTTCGAGCAGAGCGAATGCGGAGATTAATAAATGCGAGAAAGCGGCAACCGGCCGTGATGACGACGTGTCACTTTCAGTCCCATATTCGCGCCAATAAATAACATTATTCGATCGGACACGTCACAGGAATGATTGATATCTTCCAGCCTGAGAAGAATCTCGGCGAATTTTCAAGCAGTCTGAGGAGCGAGCGAGCGAGTTCGCTCTCGGCTCACGACCTACGCACGCTCACACCTGGCAGCGCCGGTCGACTGCCACCGTTCACCTGGGCAAGATGAGAGTCACTGGCCGCTACCTGGCTAGGAGAGCGGAGAGTGTCCTCGTAAAAGCGAGCGAACGAGCGAGAAAGAGAGAGCCGTGTCGGCTTGAAGAAGATAGCCGAGGATGGAGGTAGGCGGCGTTTAAAGAAGGACACCCGATATAGAAGGCATTGTACTCGCGGCCGAGCGGCATCAGGCTAGGTTCCAGGTGTTGGAGGGCAGTAGAGGCCGACTCGCCACAAGTCGGGCACACACGTCGCTTGCACTTCCTCTTCGGCAGTTGCGTTCAATTATCCCGCGAGTGCCGGTGAACCCTGCGGACTAAATCGCCTAAACCGATTCTTCTTCTCTTTCTCTCTTTTGCTCTCTTCTCCGCTCGTTTTGGTTCCGCAAAGCCAGCGTGGGAGGTGAACAGAAGAGAGCGCGAGTGACTGACAAAGAGATCGAGAGAGAGAGAGAGAGAGAGAGAGAGAGAGAGAGGGGAGGGGGAGAGAAAGAGAGAGAGGGAGAGAGAAACGGAGACGGAGAGGACGATTTCCTCCCGTACTCTCGCGTGTCATCATCCGCGCAGTGTCATAAACACCGCAGTGTGGCTCACTGGGTCGAATCATCATCGTGGATCGTCGCTCTCGGCTGCGAAGATACCGGAGCGGATCTCCAGGAGGAGCGGGAGACCTATTAGTCTCGACCTTTCCGATCCTGATTGACGTCGAGGGGATACGTCGATCGTACTCAGGTACGCGGAGACGGACGCTCGCGACGTATTATCTCGGTGAACTTTGCGCTTTCGGGAACACCGGGAGTTTCCGTGACTCTTCGCACTCTTCGAGTTTCTCCGCGCGCGGTGAAGACGCACGCTCAGACAGGGCCGCAACCTCGGATGTCCCGGCGACGACGGAAGGACGCGCGGCGGGATGCGAGAACGACGACGTCCTCTTCACTGGGGAGTTTCGACAAAAGTTTCCCCGTGTAATCTCCGAGTTAATTACCAAGTTTCCGCGGGCTTATCTCCGCGACGACAGAGCGAGCGAGATGAACGCGTGTCGCGATATGTGCGGTGCGGGTTGCGTAAGTGTTGCCATTGCCGAGTATGATTTCTCGCTTTCGTTGGAAAAAAAAACCCCAATTTTCGCCCGCCGCTCGGGTAAAATATTGTGTTTTCGGAACGGGAACGGAGTTCGTGTCGGTGCAGGCTCGATTCGAATCGTCACTCGTTTTAGCGAAGTTGTTAATGAAAAGAAACGTGCATACGCGCGTTACTGGTAAACAAAGACTTCGATTTATCCTCATGAGGAATATCGATCATTCCCACTTATGCCTGATTGAAGAGTATTATTTATTAACGAACGGGCTTATAAAATGGAATTTTAAAGTGCGTCATTCAGTCGGATGCTCGTTTGACACGCTTATGAATTTTCAAAAAACGAGCCGAGACTTCAGATAGACCTAATGACTCCGTTAGACAAATGAAGATAACGCGCAGATTATATAGATTACACATTACATAAAACTATCTTTATCTCAATTTCGACTCGAACTCCATATGATATATTCTGTCCATTAGTATATCTATCGATCGTGTCTCTGTCAGCGGGTTCGATTGAGTGGACTGAGCACTCTGATGCGCTCTAAAAGCCCATCGTATACAAATTTACTCAGGTACTTAAAGTGCGTAAACATAGCTGACAAGTGTCTCGGACTCACTGGAGCGCGTGGCGGCAGAAATTTTGTCGTGCGGCATGGTGACCATCACACACACACATTCATACACAGAATCGGATATACCCACACATGTGCTGCACATATGCTGTTATATTAATTCATGCGTATCGGTGTGCACATCCGACTGAATTCATCGCACGTAAAAGTATGCCTGCGGGCACCTAACTCTCTGCACATTCTTATTTCGGTTTTACCTCAGTACGAACGATTTTAACTTTCAACATAGAATGCATGGACACGCGAAAAAAATACTATTGAATCGATCCAATTTCCCACGGTACGTTTAATTGGAAATAAATCTTGATTCAATAGCATTATGAACTAATATGGATGGATCGCACGTTGTCTCAATAACTCAATCATCAGTTCCAATGACATTTACTCTTGAACAAAGATTTACTCTAATTAAACGTGTCGTTGGAAATTCTGTTGATTCAACAACATTTTTCCCGCGTGTATGTTCGCCCAGTTTCTCTCATACTGAGTAAAAGCGATGCGTAAAATGCGTGTGTGTTATATTAAAGTCGTCAGTTCTCCTTCGTCCAGTTAGCACTTCCGATTCAATTTTAAGATGAAGAAGAAAATCTCGCGAATTTTGAAAATAAACGTGTCCCGCCTGTCAGAGTGCCGCACTTTTCCGTGCTCCCCGTACACGCAACCCCCGAATGCGTCCTGCCCTCGCCCTCCCTTCGCCACCCACGCGTCTTCGTCGTCCGTCGGGTGAAGAATCTCGGGCTTGCTCATCGGCACAAAGCTCTACGTATTCCCATTCACGTTTCAAACCGACCGAAGAAGAAGAAAGGAGACGGTCGGTCATACCAGCCCGGTAGCGGTGGCGACGACGGCGGCTGTACATATGACAAGGACAGACGACGACAGATGCGGAGGGCTTCGTCATGTGTGTCGCCGCCGCCGCCGCCGACGTCGTGGCTGCAATGCGACATTCGACGATAATACACGACACAAGCTTTCTCTCTGTTCAGTCGTATCCGTCGCCGCCTCCACACCACCACCGCCGCTGCCGCCGCTTCCATTCGTTGCAAATGTCCGGAATGTTCGTTCTGTCGCGTCGCGTCTCCAGCTCGCCTTTGTCCGTCGCGTAAGGTCGTTGTCTCGTTAGAATCGATACATGTAATCCGATGTCAGCTGGCAAGGAAGACGAGGAGACCGCGCGCGAGTGAGACAGTCGCACGATCCCGATTACGTCGATCCCGCTTTCGTTGTGACTTTCATCCATTCGCCGGGATTCCGATTCGGGGAGACCCCGATCGCCGGGGAGTCGTCCCGAGGGCGCGTTCCGGGAGGGAAGGTTCGCTGTGACGCGCGACGGAAAGCGACGAGGAATTTTCGGGGTAGGCTCTCTCGCGCCAGCCAGGTCGGTCGGGGCCTGATTATCGTCAGGGATCCATTTTTCGTTGCAGGTCAGGCAGTTGAGAGCTGAGACGGGAGAGAAGCAACCTGGGAGGAGAACCGCCGATCCCTCGAGGAATTTCGTCGCAAACACGCGTCGGAACGTGTATCGCTTTTACGTCGCTCATATAACGAATACTCGGCGAAACAAGGGGAAAATTCGGAAAAGAGGAATGCGCTAATGAACACACACCATCGTCGCGCCATCATTGAGAGCTCGGCTTCTATAAAAAGCTGCTGTAATCCGGCTATAGAAGCGTGACGGGAATCCTGAAGGGGATAATCGTCGAGAGGAGAAGAAGGAGGAGGGAAGGCACGCGTGGAAGAGGAGCGAGTCGCGAGGAAAGGATCGTTCTGTGAATAATAATCCCTCCCTCCTTCCCCGAGCATTCGATTCGTCCGGGGAAAACTGGAGAACCAAAGCTGATCTCTGTCCCCTTCCCCCTGCCGGAGATCCACGAAACTTCTTCGAGAGAAGCACGTGTGGAGTAACTGCGATACAAAACCAGACTAACTCTCCTGATTGGATCCTGCCTTGGGAAATTGTCGAGCCGCTTCGAGAAAGCGGGAAAGATTCACGCGGAGGCGACCGCGCCATTTTCCAAGCTTCCATCCCGAAGCTGTTCGCGAGTTCAGAATCGACGCTCAAGGAGAGATCTCGAGAGGGGAGTCCCGGACGCATTTTGAAGATCTCTGCAAATTCCATCGCTTCGAAGAACCACCCGGCGCGCGATCGTTCGATCGACGCGACCTGTCGGACGCATTCGATCGCGACGGATGGTTCTAGAAAACAAGGGAGAAACGGGGAAACGAGCTTCGCCCTCCCTCGACCATTCGTCCCGACATTTTCCCACTGCAGCAGCATCGTCGTCGCCGTGGGAAAAGCGGGACAAACGCGCGCGGAGAGCAACAATCCGCCGTTCGATTGTTTCCCGTTGACTCGACGGAACGGCACATACACAACGCCGGGGACGAACGCGCGAGAGGATTGTGTATTGACAGTCGTATGTTGCCGTTGACGTCGCACACGTGCGATCCGCTGTGACACGTGGTGTGATCGGTGGTGGGTCGCGCGAAGCATCAGACGACGTCGAGTGTCGCGGAGTGTTGATAACGGCAAAAGTGCGGTCCTCGAATTTCAAGGCGTGCGAGAGGTGTTACTCGTCGCCGTGCCGGCGATACGACCGGGGATGACGAGCGTCCGCACGTGAGTCTGCAAAGTGCGTCGCTACCGATGATATAAATGGTCCCGCGCACAAGACACGCGCGCAGCCTCAAATTCACGGATAAGGGAGAACGCGGGTCGCCATGGAGCCGGTGAAAGCGAAGTGAGTAGACCGGATCGCGAGGATGCGGACGAAACAGCGTCCATGTGTCGACGTCCTGCGATGTGGACAACGACTCGTCACGAACTAGATTTAGCGACGCGAGACTAAGAGATGCTTGTTATGTTCTATCTGATGGAATTGCACACGCAGAACTCATATTAGATTAATATTGCCCGAAAAAAAATGATTGTGTGTGATTATATGTAATTATATAAAATCGTATATGAATTTTGTTGATATGTGCGGTTACATGTATGATCATATATGTCTATGAGAAAAAAAAATGATGCTTTGTCATTTAATTAAATGCCGATATCGTGTGCAGTTAGAAGCATTTATTTCGATTGTATTTGCATGTAATTTGCAAACAACAGTATTTTTTCGTTGAGGACATATATATGATTATATATAGTCGTGTATGGACAAATTTCAAATGTGATCTTTTCTTTCCCCGGTGGAGATTGGGGATCGTAAATTAAAAGTTAGAATTTGACGATACAAGTCAACGTCACGTATACATAGACTATTTTTTGGCAAGCTAAAGCCGGCAGTTTAAGACCCATAATGAGTGAGAAGTTGTTTTGTTTCAATTGCTTTCTCATTCAATATATATATATGTATTCCGCACGGAGATGATTTAGAACAAGATTTGTCTCAACTCCGGCAGGCGAATTTGACGGCTAGCCTCGCTTTGCATCCCGCGAAAAGTTGCCGTTGAATATGCTTCGACAAACCTTGTTCCAAGTAGCACAAAGTTTCTGCCGGTATAACAAAGCAAACCGTGCTTTAACAGCGTAAGACAAATAACGGAGTTATTCTACACAACGTGACGCACACAAGCCGCCGCTCTGCGCGCCGTGCGCGAGATGGGAAACTATTTTTATAAGTTTTTCTAAAGCGTAGCACTACCTTTCTCTCTCTCTCCCCCTCCTTCAATAAATTGAAACCATCTACTTATCTCACCACTGGATACGCTTGGTTTCAAAACGACTTCAACATTTTGTTTTCGATGCGCGTTTTGGAATGAGGCGAAAACGACTATAATTTTAACGGGATTTCTCTCAGTGTACGTATTTGTACGTACTGCTTGAATTAAAATTCCCTTCGGCGATGTATCGTTAATCGATTGTTGATTAAAAATAAAAATTCCTCAAACTAATGCTAAAAAAAGAGGGAAATATTCCGAACGACGTGCGGTGAGAGAGCTCGACTTTTATTCTTCGGAATAGATGTAGCGGCGCGCGATGGATAACAAACGGATATTATTTAGCTGATCCGGGTGAGGGTCTTCCTTTGTGTTGAATCCCTACGTGTGCGCATTCACTCGAACGTGACTGAGAAAAAATGTTGGTTAGAAAGTGCAGGGTGACTCATGCGTATACCTCCATGCCGCAAAGGGTGTTCCAGAACACCCATACCTCTTGATCACGGATTCCCTAACGTGCGAGTCACGTCGAGTCGTTTTCCCTGGCGAGGCAAGGCGGTGTCGCGCAAGAAACTGTTATTTATCGCAATTTCTTTCAAATTTCACAGCGCACCATGTTGTCATTAAACTTCGTGAAATTAAATTTCCTCCTTCAGCGGCCTCAATTAAATTTCTTTTACGTGGAAGACTCCGCCTTGTGCGTGGAGCCGATCGCGAAATCGGACGGTTTTATCGCTTGGTAATTAAGTTGTTGATTAAGTAATACTCCGGCGATATCCGGTGAATCCCGCTGGTACCTCGACGTTTTCCTTATTCCCCTCTCATCTCTTCGTATATTAAACATACAACATACGGAACTGCAATACTGTGTATATAATATACGGATCTAAATTATTTCGTTACAGTAATCAACTATTTGGTTGGTAAATATTCGTCAAATTTCAGTACTTATTACCAGATCCCTTTTACACTCAGAAAATACCGGTACTCTATGGACTAGTTGAAATATATAATTTAATTAAAATATATCCAAAATATTTCGAGCGTCTCCATCTACTCGTCGAAGTAAAAACTCTTTGGTGATGATGCGACATGTCAAAAACTTGTCAGACACTAAACTTTTCTGACGCTCGTCTGATTCTCGTCTGATTTGCATGGGACTCTCGTGTTTACATATTCGTTCTTTTCCCGCAGAATGGCTCCTACGGGAACGTCTTCGCCAAACGGAGTTCTGCCACCGCCTATAGGATCCGTCATGGCCGGATCGTCGTTAGCCAACTATAAAAGAACCTGGTGGAGAGGAGTGGCCCCCTGCTTGGCCTTCCTCGGAGCTTTTTCCATCGCCATGGCTCTGCTCCTCGTTTGGAGCGAGGCCGCCGCTTTGAGGTGACGACACCCTTTCGATCTTATCAATTCCTGAGCAATTCGCATAAAAAAGCGAGCGAGTATTTCTCTATAAGGAGGAAAGCACGAAAGGGAAAAGAATCCTTCGCGAGACTTCGAGACTGTTAAAAATTTCCCGGAATTTTGATTAGCGAAACCGAGTCGAAATTGCGATGCTGCTTTAATGTTGGGATTAAACTTTCTAACTCGTTACTGGCTAATTATTCACTAATAATAAAGAATCGGTTTGATGGTTCAGCCGTTGTCCAGCCATATGTAAAATATAATAGAGTAAATGGTATTGTTTGTTGTAAAATATATAATCCAGCTACTATATACTCGCCACTAGCACTTAAAAATAAGGTGGTAAATAAAAATGATATGTTATCCCAGAAAAATCTTAAAAAAAAGCAGAAATGAGCGCTGCATTGCTGGCTAGTAGCGACGTTGAATACAAACACATTATCGCATTGCGGCAAGACGCCCACGAGGCGTTTAATTTTTGCTCGGGTTGTTAACTTCTCTTTTGAACCTTTAATTCTACGGATTTCACTTTAATGCTGCATTGAATAACCTATCTTGGTTCTAAAGTAGAGAAAACGAAACTTGGAGAACATCACCATTCGGTCAAAGTAGGAATAAATTATTACTAAAATTGGAATTATTTTGCTATCTTAGCTCCTACTGTGTTGTTAAGAATTAAAGGTTTAATACATATAAGATTTCCATTCGGGAAATTGAGAGAACGACGACATCTCGCGCGATTATCACTCCCGCGTGACGGAAAATCTGTCTGAGACTTTTTATTTTTTATTTTTTTTTTGTAAGAAACTCGCTCGCGCTGAATCTTATAAATGAACGGAGGTTCACGATCGCATTCGCCAGCGAGGAATCCCTTCGATTTTCGATTATTTCGAATCCCGTTTCGTCGATTCTAGTCCGATTATTCCAGCCGGGAGTGAGAGGAGTCTCGCGACCCGAGTCTCACGAAAGCGAGTCGCGATTTCGCGCTCGGTTAATTCGCGCGCGCGCGAACGTTCGCATCTGTCGTTGTTATTTCTCTCTCTCTCTCGCTTCTCTTATTCCCATGAGAAGAGGATTACGCGATCGAAGCCCGGGTTAAGTGACAACGAGGAGAGGTTGAATACCACTGGCGGCGGTGTGTAAGCTTAAAGCCGATGTTCCGTTTACTACAGGAGGCAGGCGTTTGATGCGAACATGACCAGAGACTACGTGCTCGACAGCGTCTCGATGGACAATCCGCAATTGGTCGCTTACATACGGCAAGTGCACCTGAAACCCACGACGCGCCAGGACCCGTTGAACGTCAGCCAGACGTTAGAAGAGAAATACGTGACCACACTGTCGCAGAGCAAGCGCGAGGGCGTCTACGCGGAATACATCAGCAGGGTGAGAAATTCCACCTTCCCGTTTTAATTACTGGTTATGATTGATGCTCGAGCATGGTGTGTCCTGCGTATTCGGAAACTCCGTCTCTCTTTATAATATAAGCTTCATCGTACGCTGAAGAAAAAAATTTAGTAATAACTATCAAGGTCTGGTAACGAAATTTCAGTTGTATTACATGGATAGCTAATTTCTCTTTTCCGTGTGAGCCGAGTTCTGAATTTCAGATCAGCCCGAAGTGTGTCAGCGACGAGGCTTCAAAAGCCCGAATTAGATATCTCATGATATCGCGCGATCTAACGATTCTTTATCGTTTCACGAACAGTGCGAGGCGGTAATACCGGAGGCTCACGTAAAACTAGCAAATTGCCGGCGACACGCGACGAGTTAAAAATACGAACTTGGCAGAGGAACGCTGTATTTCGCCGCTCACCGATTTATCTTGGCGTTATTGGCGGCGGCGGGGAACGCGAGGAGAATTAGGGCCGCACTCTCGCGATTCCTATCACGATATATCGTTGCCCGTTGGCTCGTAGAGCCGTCACCGGCTATTCATTTCGCCGTCTCGTTCTTTTCAGATAGGCGCGATCTCCAGCACCGCCTGGCTGGAGTCCAATCTGAACTGGCGCGGTGTCCTGATACTCACCGATCCCAAGAGCTTCTTCGAGGCGCAGCGGAGCACCAGGGATCCGCGCACCAGAGTCCTCCACGCGTGCCTCAGCACGGACAAGGATACCAAAGAGGTATGGAGCGACGGAGAGACGCGAAGATTCCAACTTATCGCGAAATTTATTTATTTATTTAGTTTTTCATTTTCGAGAATCATTTTGCCTGCATGCAATGTGTGTATAATACGTATAAAATACGATAAAAATGGATAATGAAAATAAATCTACGTAAAAAGTGAAACACGATAGTACGCGAAGCGAATGGATAAAAATCTACGAGAGAGGAAGAGGAGAAAAAAGGGTGTTTTTCTTTTTCTTTTTTCAAATCACAGATAAAGTATCACCAGGAATCGGAGGTCCAAGTAACGAAATTGGGCGACGGTCCTAACAGCCTCGTACCGTCGGACGACAGCTTGCCCACCACCAGGCTTAAGTGTTTCCCTCTGTACAGCGTGCTGTTGGCGTACAACGCCACGACGTTGGATTACCTGAGTCTGGACAGCCCCGACGCTCCCGACGGCCAGGTATAATAACGATAAAGGCTGAGTAATTTTTCACGGTCCTCGGAGTGAATCACATCGAACGGCTTCGTACGTACCAATCTCCCGTACAAATGACGAATCCCTTTCATACAGACGATTTATCTCCCGCATGAAGAGCGAGATACACGAAGATATCGAATTGTTTCCCATTTATTTTCCCCGCAAATTTATTTGTATTTCATCACGCGGTTATTCCGCTCGTGTTCCCATTGTTATCCGAGAATCGACGGTTTCGAACCGTCAGGCGACCTTTCCGTGAGCTTTTAAATCTGTTATCGTCAGTTATATAGAGTTACTGCTAGAGTCGCGCGTTATGAAATAACAATTCCATTCCGGGAAGCATATCTTGAAAAAATCGCCGCGCCGATCGATCCCTGGCAGCGTTATAAAAATATATCCGGACAACGGGCGCACGTTGAGCAACCGTGAGTGGTCGTAAGAGCGAACTGAAAATTACTCCGCAGGTGCTCGACACTATTCCATGGGACGTCATAAGAATATCGGTTCTGTCGATACGCTGGAATTCCCATCACAGCGAGACGGAGACGAAGAGCTTCATCGAGAAGATGACTAGCCGGCGATACAAGCTCGTTCACACGACCGACACCGGCAAATGGATATTTCTCTACAATACTCTGCTGAAGATCTGAAGGAGGGAAGAGCTTGACTCAGGTGAAACACGTGACAGTGACTGATCTACAGCATTTCGTCGTCGGACGAAAACACACGTTTAAGCGAATCAGAACACATCGACCGGCCCACTTCTGCGCGATACGCGCGCTTCTTCTCACCTGAATATTTTATCATCCGTTCTTTCTCTTCCCGAAGAGACATTCTGGATTCGAGCAACAAAGTTTCATTTGATCTCCCGTGCGATCTCATCCGGAGGACGATTCGAATCACCGACGCGGTAACGAAGACGCCGGAAGCGGAATCGATCGCAGAGTAATTTCCCGATGGATTCTCGTCGTGTCATTCGTCGCGATTCGAATCGCTTGGAAGAATGTTCGGCCGCGCGATAACCGAGCGACTATCGGCGACCGAATCTTCAGAGACTCGCGTTGCGGGATCGTGGGAGCTTTTGTGATCAGGATCGCCATCAAGATTCGAATAACGACGAGCCACGGCGATTCGAGGGCTCAAATAGCCGAGAGTGACGACGGTCGAAATAATAGTCTCGGGTTTTCCTGCCTTTTCTTCCGCAGCATCGAGTTTAAACGAAATCGGAGCGAGTCGCTCTCATAGTGTCTCGAAGGTGTCCCGCGGTATCGAATTGTGGTCCGACTGTTCAAGACCGTTCGAAGATCTCCCGACCTCCTCAGTCTCTCCCGCGACTTCGAATTCGACGCAAAGACCTAAGAACTCTCTTGAATCCTCGCTTGCCTGTCCGACGGTTCGTCGTCCTCGAGGGAGGGAACGCTCGAATATTACTTAAATTCCTCAAGGGTGAGTGCACGATCTCGGATCTGAGGACCGAAGTAGCGAACTCAAAGAATCGGCTCGCTCGAAATTTCTTGGAATAGAATTTCGCTCCAAACGAGTGAAGAGTGGCCGTATTTTCGCTTTCGAAGCGGAAATACCGTCACTTGAAGTCGTCGCGAAAGTGAGGGTTTTCACTCAAGCCCAGAGTGGATTCCGACTCCGTACGAGTGAATTTTCCAATCGATCCGAATGAACTCGTTCCCGCGACAAATCCGAATCTATCAGATTCATTTGTTCAGCATCGAGCGAAAACATTCATTCGACGATTCAGAGCGGAGATCTCTTTGTACGAGTGAAGCGTCACTCTGACACCTCGATGACTCGGACGTCGCTCTATTTTTCGATTGGAATTTCCTTCCAGAAAATCGAGAACACACCGACACCGTAATCGACGTGTACGCACACGCGCATATATTTTGTTGCAGTTATTACTAGAAGTACCCGTAAGTGATGTCGCTTTTTGACACACTTGCACAAGATTTTATTTTATCTAACACTTAGTTCATTCAAAATTTTATAATAAGCACACTGAATGTCGATAAATTTAATTTAATATACAAGTTACGTAATAACAAATCACATGCGCGAACAAAGTGGCGATGTTTATTCAATTTGAAAAAAAAAACGACGAATTACTCACGGGTATTCCTGACACTTCATGAGGAACGTATAGGAGCGTTCTTACAGAATTCCGCGAGTTCTCGAGTCTTCTTCAGATACGTGAGTGTCCTCTTACGCTTCGTATCGCGTCGCGATGATCTCTCTCGTCTTCTCTCTCTCTCTCTCTCTCGTTCTCTTTCTCTTCGGTTATCGCTCGTCAGACCACGCGATGTTCGATAATTACCGAACGAACCGCGCTTAAGGCAGGCTCTTTTTTTTGGCTTCTCGTGCGGCAAAGCGACGCGTAATTGCGTAATCGCTTTGTCTACAATGCAGGGTCGTAGGGTCGCCGCAATCGCTCGAGTCGGCCCGTTCGCGGCTACGACTGATCTTCGTCGAATTGTGAGTGAATCGACCTGAGCGCTTGTAGATCCCGCTTAAGACCGAGAGAGATTATCCGCGGGGACGACGCGGGTGGCCCTAAACTCGGGCGTCCTCGCGACGTTCCGACGATCTTCGCGCAATAATGACACTTTCGCAACAACAGTGGGGTCGATTTCGAAATCGAACGATACCCGTCGTATCATATCACATTTACGTTGCGTGCTTTTTTTTTATCTATTTTACACGTGTCGCGCGCGTAAGATTTACCGAAGTAGGATTTGCCGTGCGCTTAATCTCGAATGATTAAATAGTGATGATCGATCTCACGAGTGATTAAGTAATTATCTAAATGGCTGGGCGGAAACAAGAGGGACGTGTTAATAAATACAGACTTCCTCGATCAAGCGACAACCGCATCGTCTTCACGGGAGACACGTGAGATTTCTGCGTGAATTCACTTCCACGATATGAGAATCTCTCGGGGTGTCCTCGAAGGTAAGGTCTTGCGGATCTTGAGAAATAGAGAGAAAGAGAATTAGCGACCCTTTTACTCGAATTATCGAGACGCAGGGGCGATAATTCCGAGATCTGAGATGCCGAGTCGCTTATTAATGGGGCGAGCGCTTGAAAATCCAATCCCAACGAATCCAGTTAAGCTGCGGGAAAATCGGGAAAGCGCCCGAGAAATACAGATTACCAGATCCTTTTCGGAGGCACCACATCAAAAAGCAAATTCTCTCTCTCTCTCACACACACACACACACACACACACACACACACACGTACACACATGCGCGCGATTTTTACCGATAGCAGGATTAGTTTTAGTTAGTCTAAAGCAAGTCAGCAACTGCATCCTGACAACGTTTTATGAAGGACGTGTTGATTTGACTTTTAATGAGCATAATGCACCTATGCGTGTGCCAACTGCGTCAACGTATACACGCCAATGTTATCACGGTGTGTGACAAGCGAGCGAGTTGATCTTAGGATATTTTCCGCAGTTCTCTGTATTCGTACAATTCCGTACATTAAACAACTTAAGACTCCCGTTTCCTCGTTGCGGCTATCTTAGTTAATGACGTCGGAAGCGAGAACATCCAAGTACCCAAAGTTCTTGCGAGACACGAGTCGAAATAAAAAGTCGAAATGAAAAGGTATGTCTAATAAGATGACACTTGTGGCTGAGCTGAGCACATTCGTAAAATGTCCCGAAAACTTTGCGAAAAGTATGCGTTTTCTCACTGCTGACGTCATCGAACCAGAAGACCGTACTGAGGGACCAATAGGCCTATTTTTAACGACAGTATTGTTATCGTTACGTTGCCGTACGAGCAGATATAAACACATGGTAAGAGAACTGCTCAATGACCAGGTGTCGACGACGATAATGTATTTAGGTTAAAAGCTATATAATAGTTACTGTGGGATCTGTGATGCAGGAATTGACAGCAAACGCGTTTTGGGCGAAGTTAACAGAACATTTATATCTGATAACAGAATTTCTGGTTATGTCTTGTGAACCAACTCGGTTCTCATAACCGAGAATTCTGTTTTCTCACACGAAACGCACACGTTTGCTTTGTCTATCGTCAAGTAAATTCGAACAAACTTTATTCCGCGTGTGAAACCTATTTTCCTCTTGATATTGACAATCATCGGTGTGTATGTATGTGTGTGTGTGTTGGCAGATCAACTGCCAACGTCGTAAAATTTAGTTTCACGCTGTTCGAGATTCTCGAAGGGTCTAGTAATGTTGAAACTCAGCTCAGGGTTTGCGATATCTACGGATATTCAACATTTCAAAATGGACGTTTGCGTTGCAGTTGGTTATTCGATTTCGTCGTACATCGGAACACGTACACTTTTGCGAGCTCTCAAACGCACGCGACTCGGCGCAAGTTTATCCGTAAGTTTTTTTTTTTTTTTTCGTTACTTGTAAGAGCAATCCGCTTTTTCTTTCCTTATCGTTTATCAAAGATCATTCCGTAATATATTATCGATACGCGTAACTCTTTCCCGCCAGTGTGTCTATACGTAGCATCGATTTCGTTGTAGCGCCTCTAGTGCGTTTTTCGAGAGATTTTCCAGTTTTGTTTACTTTTTTTTTTACAACATATGTGTAATTTGTCTAGGTTTAACAATTCGAATATAATGTTGCTCACCGTTTCTGTCCCGCGAGGAGCAACAATTTCCTTTCGACAGCAATAAATTTGGATACTATATTTTGAAGACCAGGTGTTCGCTTTATTGTTCTCCTTTGTTCATCGGTAATCCTCAAATAATCCCTCGGATCTACATATTTAACGCTACTTTCATTACTCTTTTCCTACATTTTTGGTGTTTTACACGACGAGCACAAATTGTCCTGAAGAAGAACCTTAAAATCGAAAAATGGCACGATTTCATTATTTTTCAAATTGTTCTTCGCAAAAATGAAACGGTAAGTTTGGCCAATACTCGACTATCTTCTAATACCCTTCCAAGAACATTTTGTTCAACCTCGCTGTATTCTCTCCTTTTCCTCTTTCTTTTCGTCGAAGCGATCGTCATGGCTTTTACATTTTTACTTTAACGAGATAATGGCAGAATAATAATCTATTTGCGCTTCTGCGCTCGATTAAGTAGCGTCGTAAGAAAAAAAAGTCTAATCGCTGAGCAAATCTCGTGGTACGCTTACCCTTCGCTGAGAAATTGCGATAACGTAAGGTTTCTTGGGAAAGCACGGGTAATCGTGACGTTTATTCGTTGCAAATTTTTTATCCTTTTCATCGCGATGACAGCAGATAAAATGAGATCCGCATCGCGATATCAAATCGTCGATTAAATATAAAACTGATTTGTTGGTATTATTCTATTCGCGATTTCTATCGAGCACGCCTCACGCTCGGGACTTATCTATTGCGGACAATCCGTTTACGATGGAAACTTCTGAACGGCGGTACTTTTCCAAATAAATCTTTTTCCTCCGCGAGAAAGAATATTTTATTCCGTGCGCGATTCGAGCTTTTTTCACTCGAATTCGCACGATCCACCGGCCCGACGTATCTCCCCTTCGTTTTCGCTAGAGCTTATTTCGGAGAATCCCGTGAAATTATATAATAAAATATGCAATAACGCGCGATTATCCGCGACACAAAAAATAGGAAATAATAATTCAATCTCATAATTGAGCATTTTCGCGATTAAATTTAGCACGTTATTATATAGTAATTTGTCAGACAGTTATATGTTTGCTGAAAATTTACCGTCGACACGACGTTAATCCGCATAGCCATGAATGACAGCTCTGGTTACCTACAGAAGTTCTGTGTCATCGGTTTAATCTGTATTTATTAATGATAGGGCGATAGAGAGGGAGAGAGAGCTAGGGGAAGGAGAGGGGGAGGAGAACGCGGTTTTGTTCGATAAAAGTTACTGATACAATTAATAATCCTGGCATAAACCGTACGATTTATTCAACTAAATTGACCTCCTTATCGCCGTTTGATTCATAACAAGATTTCACAAAAATTGAATGCGACGAGTGAATAACATAATTAAATTATATTGTTATATTATATATATATAAATCACTAGTTTTTCTTATAGTTCGCGATAGTTGTACAAATGCAAATGAAGTACATAAGTCGCGAAACCGCAACGTTTATTTTCTATACAGCTCGATTCAACACATACATATAAACATGCCATCGAGTGTACCAAGAAGAAGAACCAATCAATCAGTATATCGAAATCAATGTATCTTGATTCGTATCTTCTGTTATTTGAAAACGTTAGTAATACGAACGAACGTTAGTAATAATGTGAGATTCCCCGCATGATGAACGAGCGATTTTCGTTTGTTCTAGGCAAGTAACATATCTCAAGTTCCGAGATATTTCTATATTTTTTCTATGCTGCGAGAAAAAAGTATCTAAAAGATAAAAATATTTATTCGATGGCTATTAACAACATATTTACTTGTACTAATATACACACCTTTATACTGAGAAAGTTTCTTCAAGTGAACAAAAAAAATTTCTTAAATCTGTTACTTTACGTGGAAACAATGGTTTATTTTATTTAAATCGAAGAATTTAGATTTAAGTATATATATCGTCGTCGTCATTGTCGCAGCTACGAAACAACGCGGTGAAGTTCAACGAATTACATGTGCAAACATCAGGTGCATCTGGTGCTGCGTTTCCCTGCGAGGGAATGTAATAATCTCGCATTTGCGAAAGAGGGCTGTCGGAAAAAGCTGAAGGAAAATATAAACGGGGAGATGGAAGCCCCGGATGGCACGATGGAGAACGTAGCGTGAAATCCGACGCGACAGCGTAGAAAATCGAGAACTACACTCCGCCAATAATTGAAATCGGATTTGGTGTCTGCCACATCAGAGGCAATACAATTCCCAAAAGTAGACAGCGGTTTCCGTAGCTTCCGGCTTGTATTTCGATCCGCAAAATCCGTCAAGCGTTTTTGCGCGGCAAGTGAATGAGAGAGAGAGAGAGAGAGAAAGAATAAAGGCAGGTTTTCGAGAGCGAGCTCTCTCTAAGAACAAAAGGTAAATGTTTGTAAGTATTATTTTGTAGTAATCAATAGAAATAAATTAAAAAAAAAATATTTGTATACATTTTAAAGAGGGAGGTTTTTACCTGAGCATTTATTATTAAAGGTTGTATCAAAATATCGTTTGAATATCTCGTCATACTAAATTAATGATAATAAATTTTTACTGAAATAACATAATCCTGAAAAAACTGAAGCAGAAGCCCCTACGTGATATTTGGGAATTGAATTGCGAAATTATTCCCCGTTTGTATTTTCATGAGTCTCGTCTCCTCGCCTCCATCGGCGTTCCAATTTGCAACTTGCCTGTTAGGAAGAACTTAAACGAAGAATTCTCCAGCTCTTTCAAATTTTCTTATTGCAAAAGAAATTGCTAGAACTTCTTTTGCAGTAAGAAAATGTATAAGAGCTAGAGAATCCCAGCGAGTCCTTCGAAGCAACTTAACAACTGGAGCACTGATGAGGAGGCGGGACTCGTGAAGATTTATATGAAATTTCGTAAATTGTTGTGTAAAAATTATCAGTCGCCGCTCTCTCGCGCACGTGGGTGATCCTCCGTGATCGAACGAGCGGGAGGATAGGCGTATCAATTTTTCAGCGGCTCCTCGCGCAAATTGTTACAATTATTCGTTCGTTCGAACTTTGACGAATTCATTTTAACGTACATCAGTACTCAACCAGTATACCTCTTCCGACTGGTATGTATGAAATCTCAGTAATGCGAAACGGTTTCCGAACTCTTCAAAGCGCGCAGTAAGGATCAGACCGGGTGATGAGAGTTATTTCACTCTAAGGCGCGTCTTTACTCCCGGCAAAGGGAACTATTTGTAGCTTTGTGCGAGCTGTAATTTGTTGAAACTTCTTGGGAAAGGTACGCCGGCTATTTCTGTGACGACTACTACCTGCCGATTCGAAGATTAACGGGCAACACGCATAGTGCATCACTACAGAAACGACCGTTGCGGAAAAAGAGTCGGTTTTTTTTAAAAGCTACCGGCAGGTAAGCCGTTAAGCTGGTCGACGTCAAAACAGACTTCTACAAATAGCCCAATCGAGATAGAGCAGATTCAAGCCAGATAATTATATATATATTTTTTTCACTTATAAGACAAACAAACGTATTTTCATTTTATTAGCACCTTAACTTATCAGGAGTATTATGGTAACTCGAGGGTATGATCACTCGAAAGATCTCTAATCTCTCTTTTTCTCTCTCTTTTTCCCTCTCTCCTTCTCTCCACATGCGTACAAAAATCCGAGCGTATAAGTTTTACACATTTACGTGTATAAAATCGTGCGGTCAGTTTTTATACATTTTTACGCATATTATTTTAGTATATGTTTCATTTGGGTTAATGTTAAACGCAGTGAAATACGTTTATTTTATTTTATACGCTTGCATATAGTACACGTTTAAAACACGTAATTTAAGTATAAGGATTTAATATTTCATTGACCTGTTTTATCTTTTCTAACAAAAAATATATACCGTAAATTAACCAACGTATTGCATTTTATAGATAAAACACATCTCCCTTTTGAATGTATATTTTTATAATAAACTCATCGTATCATAAATTACACTTTTAAATATGTAAATTTATTTGTTTACACAGTAAAGTGTGATAATTGTGTGTGTAATTGTTACACACGTGAAAAATTAAATCACTCGCTTAATGTTTAATTTTACATGCAAATAAATGTTAACTCACCGCACACTTGTATTTGCAATCCAAGAAGTGGAGACGAGAGCTACGTGTGTCTATGAGACACCTGCATTTACATAACGCCACTTTTTATTTCTGCATTCTGCAGACTTTCCCTTCCACCGGCCGACCGTTCCGGATTTTCGACTTAGACCATGCTCGGCGATTAGCCGATTTATCGTGATTTTTATATTGTTTTTATTTCACTTGCGCGTAAGATAAGCGAGATTATTGATAATGCTGACCATCAGATAATGACGGCCGTCATATACAATGGCACCGGTCGACGGGCTGTTCATTCGGTAACGTGCGAAGCTCCCGCATCTGAGATGCGGCTTACAGCAGCTTCGACGTTGAACGCGGCGAGACAACCCAGTGACCAGGGAGGGTGGTGAATTTACATTGAATTACGGCGCGAGAGTCGCGATTTCGAGGCCGTCACTGGCGAGTGTCGATCTGCCGAGATCTTCGTGGTTCCGTGAAAGCAGTTCTCGAGACCGTCAAACGGATCCTGGGAGCGAGGATGGAGGACACGGGGATGATCACCGAGGTTCCGGTGCACCAGACTGGCAGGAAACTGTGGCAATACCTTGCAACTATTTCCGGTATTTCAACGACTTCCACGTGTATGATGGTGTTCGTCCGCGCGTCTACGTGCGGTCGGCTGCGCGCTTCAGGTGGCTCGCGCAGGATTCGCCCCCTCCCCTCCCGCCCTCCCCGATGATCGGTTCGCCGACAACGAAATTTAACCCTTTCGTCGGCACGCTTGTTGCTTTCACTGCTTTTCAGGAAGGATTCCTGTCCGAAGGAAAAATTTTTTTAAGGGAACTTTTAAATTTTCTATTCAAGATAAAGATATGATTGTTGGAAAGTCTAACAATCATACTTATTAATCGAAACGTTAGTTTCTTTGGAGCGACGAAATTTGTTTGGACGGCAATCAAATTTATCAAATCTGAAGAAATCCTTTTCTCAGTACTTAGTAAAGCTTTGATAAAGCTCAATGAAGCTTTATTAAATAATTCCAATTTCAATCAAGCTTTAATAATAATTTTAGCAATGATAATAACATTAAAGGCTTGCAAAAATTCGCTGGAACTTTAGCCATATTTCTTCTATCAATAATAATAATGGAACAATACATTCTGTTTGATGTGATCGTATTAAGGATGTACTGTCGATATTTTGATCTGCGGAAGAATTTCCCGTCGATATTCGAGGGATGACGATATCCGACTGCGCTCTACAATTTCTCTGTTCTAATTGTTCGTTGAAAGTTATCGAATGCTACCGTTAGGCGATAATTTGTAATTCATCAAACGAGTATAGTTCTATAATGAATAAATATGTGACCGATAAGAGCCTGCACAGGTATCGGACGATTTAGATACCAAGTGCGAGCGATGCCAATTCCGGAAAAGATAAGATAAATGTTACGTGAGGTTTCGCTGAAAACTTAAATTCCTCTAACATTAAGAAAAATAATGCATGCAGATATCAAAAAAGCGATCTCCAAATTTACGAAAGTTTGGCTTTATGTCAAGAGGGGATTCCAGCATAACTTATTTAAAAAGAGACGAACTTCATGATTTTTTTTTAGAAAACTATCGATGATATCAGAATAAAAATTTTTTAGGTAATAAAGAGATATCTCTAGAGTGTCGGAAAAATTATTGCTTTTAATTTTCTTTATTGTTCAGCGTACATAACGTATATAATAACCACTTCCGACGATGTTTCCACGACCATCTAAATAAGAAACATAAACAATTCTTAAAAGTATTAAAGCGACATAGAAATGTCGACGTTCCCTTACGGAAAAGTATTACCGCCAGTGATAAATTACTCGGTAATTTTATTACTCGTACGAATAATAAAATTACCGGGCGACAATAATTTATAGGATTAAACTTGCCGAAATACGTGCTCTCTCAAGATCCCCAAAACCATTTCATCACCGTTATTATTATCTTATCATTACTATTATTTATCCTCAAAGAACCAGCGCGCGCGCTTTTCAAAAAACTTTTCCTCCCAATTAACTGAACTCTCTTTGATTAACTTCCGACTGTTGAAATGCTTGCTTTAGCCTGCACAATGGCCGTCGGCGTCGGCACCGCATTGGCATGGACGTCTCCCGTGTTACCTCGATTGTACAAGGAGGACTCTTGGCTGGTCATCGACCCGGAGCAAGGGTCGTGGGTGGGCTCGATACTGGCGCTGGGGGCGATCGTAGGTGCCATACCGTCCGGTCCGATGGCGGACAAACTTGGCCGTAAGAAAGCACTTCTGCTGCTTTCGGCCCCGTTTCTTCTGTCCTGGGCGATCATCATACTCGCCACCCAGCTGTGGTTGATCATCGCGGCCAGAATCGTGGTGGGCATCGGCGTCGGGGCGACCTGCGTCCTCGTGCCGATCTACGTGTCCGAGATCGCGGAGACGTCGGCGCGTGGCGCCCTCGGCGCCCTTTTCCAGTTCTTCCTCACCGTCGGCATCCTGTTCGGCTTCGTGTTGGGAACCGTCATGAACTACACGGCGTTCGCCATAGTTTGCGCCCTCGTGGAGGTCGGCTTCCTCGCCGCCTTCGTGTGGATGCCGGAATCGCCGGTCTGGTTGGTAGTACGTTGAATCGATCGATTTTAATCGTATACAATTCCCTTTTCTCTCAATGTACGAAAATTACTTAACGTTGCTCAATAGTTTTATTAGTGGTGCGAATGATAAAACTGCTTGTCGTTGCTATGGAATATTGACTGTAATCTTCATTTTATAGCTTATTAAACGCGGACACCTCTCTGAATTTTGTTTAGTATGAAAAGCGAGAATCGGAAGCCAGATTAGCGTTAACGGTTCTCCGAGGTGACGTTTACGATCCATCCGAGGAGCTCGCGGAGATGCGGCGAGCAGCGGAGGAGACGACGTCGAAGAAGTCGAGCATATTCGATCTCGTACGCGTCCCCGCGACCAGAAGAGCCATGCTCGCCACACTAGGCAGCATGTTCTTCCAACAGATGTCTGGCATAAACGCAGTGATCTTCTACACCACCACCATCTTCCAGGAATCTGGAAGCTCGATATCGCCAGATATCGCTTCTATAATCGTTTCGCTTGTTCAGGTGTGTTTAGAGATAGACGTTGATAATTGTCTCTCATTTTGAGACGATAAAATTATTTTGCAAAACATTTTCCCAAAATAAAACTTTCGATATTCAGGCAAATATTCCTCCGTATGGAAGTTAAACCTCAGCTCATGAATGAAGTTTACTCAGTGCGTCACTGTTTGCAGACGGTGATGTCGGTCGTAGCAGCTGTGATTGTGGATCGCGCAGGCAGGAAGCCGCTGTTAATCTTCTCCTCGGGCGTGATGTCAGTTAGTCTCGTAGCTCTCGGTTTGTACTTCAAGATTAAGGTTAACGGCGGGGATGTCAGTACGCTTGGTTGGCTGCCGCTTACATCTCTGGCATTATTCATGATTGCTTTCTCCGTCGGGTACGTCTTTTTAACAGACTCAATTTAATATAAATAACAATGAAAACAGCGAGGTGTGTAAATCAATTCGGTACTTTTGTCACCGAACATCAAGATTTATTTATCAATGAAAGGTGAATGAATTTATTTAGTATATATATATATATTTTTTTTTACATATATTTATGTTATATATTATATTTATATTTTATATTATCGTATGTAACAAATATTATATTTTATAATATATTTGATAATATTTTGCGCATAGGTTGGGCCCGATACCTTGGATGCTGATGGGCGAATTTTTCACCGCAGAGACGAAAGCATTCGCCTCCGGTCTCGCGGTGATGCTGAACTGGTTCCTGGTGTTTCTGGTGACGAAGACCTACCCGGCGTTGAATCACGGGCTAGGTGCGGACGTCACCTTTTGGATGTTCGCCGCGAGCATGGCGATTGCGGTCGCGTTCACGCACTTCTTCATACTCGAGACGAAGGGGAAGTCGTTTCAAGAGATCCAACAGGAATTGCAGGGCGACGCTCGGCTGAAAGCGGCGGTCTGAAGCGAATTCGTGAGCGATTCCTTGCGCCAACACATGCACCGGCAACGTTGATCACGGTGCGGATAATTTAAGACGTTGTTTGTGATGCGAAAAACACGAGCTGAGCGGGGAAAATGGAGGCCTTGCAACGACGAAGCTCGAGAGATGTCGCACGAAAGGGAGCACGAAAGCTTCTGGTGCTTGCTTTGCAAGCATGGCGAGGGGGAGAAGGTTAAATCGGGTTAAACGAGTAAAGCGAGGTCCACAATGAGAATTTAAGGCGTTTAAGCTTTGAGAAATTGGCTAATCGCAGTTAATTATTCTCTTCACATTCGACTGTGATTGGCCAATTTCTTAAGACTCGGAGCTTAAAGCTTCTATTGTAAACCAGGACTAATTTATCGTCTCTTTTAAGCGGCAGATCAGTAGACCATTCTGCTTAAAGGTTTAAAGGCGCTCCTAAGGTCTCAGTAGAATTTTCTCTCGTGTGTTTCCGCAACGTCACGACGCGCATCGACGTTACGTTAATATTCACCGTCACCGCATTTGTCCGTTAAATGATTATTTAACACGTTGAGTGCGACGTCAGTCCCTCGGGACTGACAGTGAACTTTTCGTTCAGGCGACGTCACTCCCTGGGGACTGACACCTGTGGACTTTTCGTTTGAGCGACATCGATGCGTGAAACCGGCATTGTCAAGGGTTAAAAAATTAATGTTATAATTTTAATGGAGTTTATTAAAACATTTTAAGCAAAGGTGTGGATGAGATTTGCACATATTACAATAAGATTGATCGTCTCTTGAAGGTCACCTTCTTGCCGTTCCCCTTCCCATTATCTTCTGTTTATAATTTGTATACTTATGCATTGGCTGCACCATCCCACAGTAAAGTGAAACAAAGTAATCTTCTGTTCATACTCTCTATCCCAAAACCCTCTTGAGCGCTCGGCATCAAGTGCTCGCTCGCTGCCGCCTGAGCAGAAAGGATAGCAAAATCGGCGCCGCGCTCAACGTGTTAAACGTGTTCAATGTTACCTCTCACTTATATTTGCGATCGCGCGATCGCCAAGTTTTCCCTTTTTTCGATCTTAAAGCGTTAGATATGTATTTCTGTATGTAGTTTTAACGCCGCTTAACAATTTATAATAATTAAATATAGTCGTCAAATGCTGATGCAAAGGTCTTAAACGTTTTCGAATCTAATTTTGAATAACACAAACATAAATAATATAAGCACAATATTTTAAGTTAACATAAAAATATGTTAAGAATTCGGCACAAAAGTTTTTCTCAATCACCGATTTTAATATAAATACAAAATGTTTTCTGTCGTGTAGAGATGATGAATGAATAAATTTTACGATATTAATCTTTGCTCCTCGTTTTGAATATTGTATCTTTTATCGTTCGAACTTACCCTTCTCGCAGCCGTGCACAACAAATCACCCAACCTGAACATCCCAGGATGATTAACGCAATGTGATGCGTGTTAGTCGCATTCTTTTCGCAAGTGACGCGATAATGCACGTCATTATCTTACCGCTCTCAGAACACGGCAAACATCGAGAGCGCTATCAGGTTCTCGAGTGATTGGAACCTTTAATACAACTCTAGGTGTTTTACGTTAGCTTGTTATTTTTCTTTCCGCGCAATTGACGTCTTTCCGACACGTGTGTCTTATGCGTGGTGATAATGCGGATCGTAATTGGGGGGGAGGAGGGGGGGCTATCGATGAGCCATTTAGATTGTAATTGCAAACAATTCGTTACGAATCTTTTTCTCATGCTTCCTGCATATAGCATATTTGGATTGAAATTGATTCGCCTGAATTCGCGCGGTTTTCGCTCGCGATGTTTGAACTCCGTGTTGGTAATTAAAATAGTAGGAGCACCGTTGACGGATTTGGATGGAATTTACGACCGTACGGAGGGAGGAAATTTTGATATCATCATTCCACCTGTACCCTCCTTGGAACTCCTGCTCTAACAAGTAGTCTCCATAAAATAAATAGTGATTGTTGTATCTTTTATTGCTCCAAGGTTATCGCGTAGAAAGTACAAAGTTTATCGCGACTTTTCCGGAACTCCACGTGCGAGATTTACGAGATTATGGAGGAATGCGGCATATTTCTTAACACACACACACACACACACACACACACACGTGTGTGTACGTATTTTCGTAGGGAAAATTAAAAATCTCGGCATATATTCGCAAATTACACACGTGTGATCTTTTTCATCAATTCGAAACAAATTTACGAATCCGCGTTGTATATCGTAACAATTCTTATTAGGCTGCCTATAATCGTAAAATAACGTTGTTTTGAAAGTTAACAGACATTCTCTTCGACGGATGAGAAGTCGAATTAGAAAGTTGTTCAGTGTTTTTCACTTAAAATTAAAAATGAATTCGCGAATGTTTTAGAGGTGCGAACGCGCAGCACGGTTTCTCATTTTTCGCGATAAATTCCGTTTTAACAAAAGTTTAACGATACGTTTGATTTCGCAATCATTGACGTTGAAATATAGTTCCTCATGAAATTTTTATTACGCAGTATCGTCGAAACCAGATTCATCGAAGAATAATTAAGAAGATGATACTACGTACAATAATGGGATAATCCAAGAAACACTCTTATTTATAATGCTAATAGATTGAAAATATATATTTTCACAATTATCCAATGAATGATATCGCGATCCTGCACGGAAAAAAAGAATGAGCTCTCACAGTTAAAAACTTTCATAGCTTTCATAACTGAAAACTTGCTCCCATAGGTAAAAATTAGCTGTCCATATAATTCGACTGAAATTTAATTAATTTAATTAATTTTGTTTGTCCTTATACCTCCTACAGCTAAAAATTAGATATAGAAAATGTATCGATTTTTTACACCATGACGAAACGTGAGGAAGACAGTAGTCGATGCAATAAGGCGTTATTTTTTTCTGTATCTAATCAATAACAGGAAAAAGAAGGAAAAGAAAAGGTGAAATTTTTCAGCGAGAGCAACAAGAACTGGAAAAGCGGAAAATTCCAGACGCAGCAAGCGCGACTCACGCAACAAGATAACATTCTTTTAATTATTGGAATTTATGCAATTAGTTGGCGCGTTCATTTTGAGTCTCTACAGTATGCATTGATAGAAAATTAGTTACTTTCGACGTTAAACACTCTTTTTTTTATTTTAATCACAGAAATGTTCGCCTGTTTTTATATATTTTTTTTTCGATTGTGCATCACGAGAGCCTAATACATATTCAATGAAATTTGTCTTGTAAAGAGAACTGGTTTCCTTGGATTCCCAATTTTTTCCCATTTGCATTTGAATGATCTTCTCTTTCTCTTTCTGATGGTCTGATGAATTTTATTGATACGTCTTACGTAACGTGCGACGTACAAACATGTTTTTGTTTTGCGCACGTCAAATTTTTGTTCTTGCAAGGAAACCTCCAAGACAGTCCAGACTAGGAAGGATAATGGCTTCTTCATAGCGTTAATAATTGGACCGATTCGACGACGTATTGTAGCGATTATTCGCCGAAGCGAGAGGTGGCAGGAACTTTAATCATCTTCGATGATAATGATGACGCGTTGAGTCGTCCTCTCCGTCGTCGTAATGAACGTCGGCTGGCAACTTCGCGGTTGGACTCTTCAGAGTTCGAGTCATCAACGAAACTCCGATGATTAACGAGCTGTCGCTCATTAAGATAAACGGGAGGAAGCTTTAATTGGTTTTTTCCAATATGAATCTCTGTCAGGTCTCTTCTTCCTTCAGTCTCTACACGTTTCCAAGATAGGATAAGGAGAGTAGATCTGGAATAAGGATTAGTATTCTTGAATTAAAGGTTTAACATTAGGGCCGAAGTTTGGTCTCGAGTGAAGATCTGTGTTCGTCGGTGAGCCAATAATTTATGAGTAATTTGCGCGTAATCGCCGTTGAATCGCGGCGCCAGAGATAACGAATTGTTTTTATCGTTTATCGGAGGCTACCGGAGGCGAGATAAGGATTACGGATTACGCGCGGTCGGCACCCAACGGCGGCTGGCGGCACGCACATCTAATACTGATAATATATCTCTCTGTTCGTTACGTAACAAAATGATCGGGGGCTTATAATACACAGGTGTCTCTCGGAGAAAAGAGCATTTTGAGCGAGCGAGTAAGTACGAAACCAGTAAGTGGTTCCTCCCTTTTCCCGGGTCGCGCCTCGTACGAACTGCGATGGGACTCGATTAGCGATCAGCGATGATGATCATCGACACGCGAGTTCTTTCCCGTGACGGTCGAAGGTCGGAAAAATCGGACTCCTCGTCAACGGGAAGGGTCGCCGCTTGGGAGTGATAATAATTGTTCCATTCGCGCGACACATTTTGGCCGCGGGAGTGATGACTGATAGCGCGAATGAGAGAGTGTGCGTTTTCTCGATTATTTTTCCAGATTCAGCGGGAATGTCGGATAGCTTCGAATTAACTAGAATTGATGGTTTATATTTAGGTTACAATTGTTGCGTCGTTCGGATTGCAATTCGAGGTGTACTTGGAATTTGTCGAATGAGCGTGTCGACGTGCGTGTCGAGATCGTGATGAAAACAAAAAAGTTCCGCAAGTTGTCCTCTGAGGCAAATGATAAATGTATTTGCGTGTTTGATCAATCCTCGACGTGGGTTCAGAATCAACACGGGTCGATATTTCACCGATAACCGTAACAAAAGTTATTTTGTTTTTCGTCTCGGTCCAATTTAGCAAAGGAGGCAAAGGCAACACTTACAACGTCGCACGTTCGTCATTTACATCGCGCGTTATTTATATTCGTTCTGACACGTTTCTTCCCGACACATTTCGTGCGTTTTTCTCTCGTTGTTTTTGCGATTTTTGTATACGCAAGTGCGCAACGGAATCGCATCGGAAAATGAGGAAACATTCGAGCGTGCGATCTATCATTCACGCGAGCGTGGGCAGTTTTATTTATTTACTGTCGCAGACGTCGAACGTTCATTGTTACTTTTCGGCTCGCTGTGCGAGCATACTCATTTAGTTTCGCGCGATCTTCGCGCCTCGACCACTCGATTCGGATTCGAGAGAGATACGCGTCGACGTCACGCATGTGCGTAATGCGATAATCGGTTACCGGCGGCTCAGCCGGGAGGACCGAGTAAATCTCGTGCGCTGGATTTTATTGATCTCTCCATTCCACGTGAGCGGGGAAGTTGTGATCGGGGAATTACCGCTTCGAATTACCCCGCGTTATCGTGTACCTCAATCGGCGACATTGGTCTTTGTTAAGTTTTACAGCGCAACAGGAACGCGAAATATGCAAAATTGAATTCATTATTAATTGATATAATTTACCCCTACTTTAACCGCGATGATACCTCAAATTTCCGTTTCTAACGTCGAAGTAGGTTGTTTTGAATATTATAATATAAATTTGATGAGCGAAATGTGGAGAGCATGTGCAGTTTTAAGATAGGCGTTAAAGTAAACGTCTGTAGAATTAAAGGTTCAAGAGAGAAGTTTGACATCGCCTAAGTGACTAGTCTACAGTGTAAGCTATCCTTGAAAGTATCAAAGTACCGTTAAAATTCGAGCACTTCCTCTTCTACTACCTCTCGTATAATTCGAAGCTCCCGCCAAAGGGGAAGAACACATCCCTTCTCGGATAGAGGGGTTGTTTTCTACGGTGGTCGTACACAGTGACGCCACGCGACCTTGACACGGTGTTTTGTTTCAGGGTCTAGGACTCACGCAACGTGGGGTCGTTGTGTCTCTCGCTGTAGTGTACCGCTGCGAGAGCTGTGGGATTCCGCGTGTATCAAAGAGCGAGACGGAGGAATCAAGAGAGACGGGAAAGAGAGGGGCAGACAGGCAGACAGAAAAAACCGAGCTGGTGAGAACGGGAACGTGACAGAGAGGGAGAGTGAGAGAGAGAGAGACATTGAGAGACATTGACAGATAGAGAGAGAGATCGGAAAATGACTCCCACTCACTGCGACGAGAAGATAGAGGGGCACTCGTATAAAGACTATGCTTATAGCCCCGTGCCAGTGAGTTCCTCTTCAGCGGTATCTGATGCCGGCACCCCCGGCAAAGAGTCCGTACAGCTGATGAACGTAGCAAGCGGCAAGGAGCTGTGCACGACGATGTCGCACACCGTCGGCACCACATGTTACTCCGAAGACATGGCGGAGAAGGGTTCCAAGCTCGTCCAATTCCTGGCCGCTGCGGCTGGTGAGTCTATATAGCCATTTCTCCCTTCGATGAAGGGCCGAGTCTTTTTTTGCTATTCCTCCGTTTCGGTGGGGAAAATAAAAGTGCAGTAAGTGAAATATTAATTAGATAGATAAATAGATAAATTGATAAAGAGAAAGAGAGGGAGAGGGAAAGAAAGGGGAAAAGGGGGAAGAGGTGCAGTCTCTCTTAGAAATGTTTGTATTTTGAAAATCGAAGGAATTTCCTTGCCAACTCGCGCACATTTCGTGAAATAATTGCCCGACACGCCTGCGGATATTTCATATCGTTCACACAGAAAACGTCGTGTATTAATCCCGTCGAAACTCGAACTTTTGCTTACACTACGTACGTGAATATGAAAATGCTTATTTGTAGAAAATATATTGGCGGGGATTTGCGCTACGGCGAAAAGCACCCTCGGGTTGTACGCTGCTCGATCGATCGACTCCGTCGCTCAGGATTGTTCTCTTATCCTTTCTCGTCTCTCGCTCGGTCTTGCTGTATCCACGAGACTCACGAGTGAAACTTAATCCAAAAGAGAGAGACGATTGTCGAAACATCGCGAAAATTTTCACAGTTGTACCGGCGGTTTTTGATCGTCCGACAAAATCTCTCCTGCCGGAGAATCGCTCTGAGTTCCTTTGAGAAGCGGAATTACACGCTCATTAGGGGACTTGTGCAGTGTTACAATGTTTAATATACGTAGATTGGATGATGGGACAATAGGTCGTGTGTGATTTGCTTTTAAACGATGCACTTATTCCCTTGATACGAATGGCACAATTGAGGGCACCGAGAAGACACGATACGCGTCCCGGCTCTCACCTACGTGCACAGCGTGCGACCGTATCCTACATGACGCGTCCGACGGGATTTCCTCGATGTGATCGTCGGTCCATGATATTTTTCATGAAAATCTACTACGACTCTTACGAAAGATCAATCGATGCGAAATTTGATACGCACCGAGAGAAATTCTTCTATGACTACTCTGGGAAAAATTTCCATCGGGCAAACCGATTGAACGACGTGTCCGATTATTTTGTCATCCGATCAAATGATGAATACCCTTAATCCGTTGAAGTATCCGGTAAAGTTACCGATGCAGTTACCGATGAAACCTAATCGGAAAATCAGTCACCCTTTGTGTATATCCGTTATAATTTTAATCGGATAAAAGGCACAACTTCCAGATCGGATGAAGTGACAAAGTGATGAAAGGGGCCTTATTTCATGCCTTTATATTTATTTATTAGCGGTTAAGGAGCTCCTGAAATATGTATTAGAAACCAAATATCAAAAGATCACTATATGCCATTATGTGCAAGCCTTGATTATTTATCGATCGATAAAAACAGCCAACAAGATGTCCAATGATAATGAGAGAGATAATGAGAAAAATCATGAGAGAGGATCTTTGAATTCCAATTTTTCAATTACGGCTGTTCATAATAAACACAATCGACAAACCAAGTACGTAATACGTAATAACATTACGCGCTCCTCATGCGTGCGAAAATGTTATCGACGATAATAGCAATGTTGAGACAGGCGAGCGCTCATGTAGCACAATTCGCATAACGTATTCGCTTAAATATATTATAATAATACAAAGGCCTGACCACATTTTCCAACGCGCGAGCAATACTGATTATTCGCCTCTCATTTTCACATCGAGCACGCGCACACATACACACACACACATAATTGCACCAGATATATATAACGTTTCATTAAATTACACTCGATTTATCACTGCTTTCTTGCAAAACAATTTTGTTCTTATCTCTCGAAAACGCGAGATATCCTAATTACATTGCCTTTCTGTTGCCTCTCCTCTTAAATTTAAACAATCGTAAACAGAGTCGTAGATACAATCAAAGATTCAGGAAATGGAGAAACGGTCTATTCATATTCATGAATTCGCGAGCAGGAGAGAGAAAGAGAGAGGTATTCGCGCGCGTAAAAAAAAACCCGGAATTATTATTCGGTTCGGTAATTCCCCGATCGACCGAGATTAGTACGAATTCAACGATATACCAGCGCTGGGAGCGTTGTTACGGAAATTACGGGAAGAACGAGAATAGAGGACGAAGGACAAATTACCCGTGTCAAGATGTATCCTTGCCCTCTCGGTACGATTCTTCGCGCGCGCACGCGGACGATAAGAACATCAACAAATGATGCATATTCGTATTAGGCGACCAAATTGAATCTTAAACCAAATTTAATCCTAAACCGACGAGGATCGTAAAATTTCGCTAAAACTTCCCGGTTACCGACGTAACCATCGTCGGTCGCGAGCACAGAACCCGAGATGCGATGATCCGAGCGATGGTTCGTTCTCTCGTTCTCTCCCTCGGAAACAAATCAGCCCGTGTCTTCTTAAACAAGGTCAACACTAGGAGTCCTTCGATTATTCATTAATTGTCACTGGCTAGCTCGGAGGAATCCGATTTCCCGACGAAGATATCGACGTTTGACGTCGCGCTTCCGCCGACGAGCGCAGCGAAAGAACTTCCTTCTCTCCTCCCGAGTCGAGAAATTTCGGTTCTATGCTAAACTTTTCATTCTGCAACATAATCGGAGCTATGATGATAGCAAAATAGATGCACACACACACACACACACACAATTCCAATTCCGGTTATAGGTTAATTAATTCCTCATTAACTATTGCGAATACCGCAAAACGCTATGGCACTCTTTTGTTCACCTCAATCTGTTTCTATGTCTTCACGAGCATTGGCGTTGATAAACTGTGGGATAAACCGTCATTTGTTCGACGGTTATCACGGTTAGAGCCAATCCGCGTGTCTTTTATACACAATACTGTAATTTTCCCGTGATTCATCGCGCCTACACTCTTTCTCTATAGTGGCTTATCAAGATACTTTTTGTTCCTCTTGTCAGCGTCCGATCCTGTACGTATAAATACGTAACTTCATCGGTTCTTTCGTTTCTACCTTCCTCCTCTCTTTATCGCAACAACTTTATGCGATAGATAGAACGAATATATCGAATATAACGATATTCGAATTGTTGTGGCCGTTTTTATTTTCGACGACAATCTGGTTTTTTTCCGGACAATTCGTCATCATCCGCAGCGACGCCCCCTCATCGCATTAACTATCGATTATGTTGTCCTATCGCGCGCGCGTCGCCCTCATTTTTAATCCGTCGTCTCGCAATTTTACCCACGCGTCCTCCTCCCGCGACATCGAAAACGCAATTCAAAGTTACGCAGCGCCCGCTCAATGTTTGTCGACACCGAATGTAGCGTCAAACTCACACGATTTTGCAACTAGTAAATGACGTTAACGATGTTTACAGTCATGCATTGAAAATACGCGCGATAGCATCGAGTCTCTTCTCTTCGTGCGATATTAGTATATTTATGCAATAATATCTCGAAATACGCGTAATCGCACTTCGTCGTTATGTTGTAATAGTAGTTGCAACTGCTAAAACCATCCCGACAATGGCAAGTAAAAATTTCTCGCTTCGCCTGTATATACATATATATTGCGTGCAGGTGATTTAATTCCACTTCACTTCTTATCGCGCTTATTGCCGGCATCGGCTAATTTCGCCATCGGTTATCCATTTATATTTTTGCCGGCGCGATAATCTGCCAGGCGTGATGCGAACGCAGATGAAAAAAGGAGGCAGATCGTCACGTACAGGATGTACAGAAAAAGAACTCAACATGAATTACAATTTCTCGAAACGGCGGATGATAGCCTGAATGAACCGAAGAGTGGAAATTCAACGGATTACTCGGTCGAGTAGACGTTGGGTCGTTGCTACGTACTCGATCGCATTTAAGCGGGCAAAGTGCACCGCTCGTGAGCGCTGGTGAAAAAAAATTTTCCACCACACTCTGCCGATATTCGATATCGACATTTTTACTTCGACGGTCGCGCGAGATTATGCATCGTCTGGTTTAAGAATAATAATCTATTCTTTTCTGTCCCGTTTTTATATGATCGCGTACATAAGTGCCGGCGACTCAAATTAGTAGTATAAAGTCGGAAGGGGACGAGAAAGAGAGAGAAAGAGAGAGGGAGAATTATCACTTATCGGTTTTCGACAGTGGGAAGTTTCCGACATTGATGATTGAGCGTTAATGACTCTTCATGTCAAGTGACTTTCTTCTTCACGCTTAACAAAACGTCTCGCTACTGACGTTTGACAAATGTTTTGATATTTTTCTCTCGGTGTGCGAATGAACGCACCGCGTAAACGTTATTGGTCGTACAAATATTTGGAGGCTTTACGACGCGTTTTTCATCAAAAACCAAAATAAAGTATGCATCCATATCGATGTAACAATTGATGATGATCTTTTGTTTAATACCAAGAATGTATTTCGATATTTCGATATGATTGCAGGTAACATATGTATTATTGCGACTGGAGCTATGTTAGGGTGGACGAGCCCGGTCCTTCCTGTTTTGGAGGAAACCGGGGGACCTTTGGATAAGCCGATCAGTAAAGATGTGAGCTCTTGGATAGGCTCTCTGGTGCCTGCTGGGGCGATTTTTGGCAGCTTCGTCGCGGGTTATCTCGGCGAGAAGTACGCTTCCATTCGCATCTTTGTCGTCGACGTTATCGTCGTTACCCCCTCGAAATTTCGGCTCTACGTTAAACCTTTAATTTTACAACGTAATAGGAAGCTAAGATAGGAAAATAGGTTCAATTTTAATTGTAATATAATTTATCTCCTACCTGCCGTTATCACGCCAGAGATCGATTCTCAGAGTTTATCGAGTAGAGAGAATCGGTCTCTTCGTAATAAAGTGCGTATTAAATATAGATTGAAGTAATGCTGCAATGAAAATTGATTTCTTTCTACCGTCGACTTTATTTCACAGGTGGGGCCGCAAACAAACTTTATTGTTCTCGACGTTACCGTTTCTAATAGGGTGGACACTGGTTGCTTCGGCGACTCATTTCGCGCAGCTATACGTTGCTCGATTAATATTTGGACTTGCTCTGTCCATCCCATTCACGGTTCTTCCTATGTACGTCGGTGAGATCGCCGAGGTAAATTTACACGTACACGGAATTATCACTTACGCAGAACTTTTCTTTATCACAATTTTTGCCTTGAAAAACAATCTCATTAGCCTCTTTCTGCAATTGTTTATTAACAATGACTATAGTATTGCTCATCTTTGTAGACTTCCATTAGAGGTGCGCTGGGTTCCTTCCTTCAGCTCTTCATCACGATTGGTTTGCTGTATTCTTTTGCTATCGGGCCCTTCGTTAGTTACATGGTATTTTGGATCGTTTGTGCCATTTTAAACATAGTCTTCTTCGCTTGCTTCATACTGATGCCGGAGTCTCCGTATTATCTCCTTAGTAAAGGTCGTAAGGACGAGGCGATCGCATCTCTGGCGAAGCTCCGAAGCAAATCTGAAGCAGCTGTTCAGAAAGAAGCCGATGAAATTCAAGTGAGTAAACATACAGCAATTTTTTACGCTCCTAAGGACATTTAGCACCTATTTTAGATTTGATTTATTTTACTTTTGTATTTGATAAAAAATATATTTTGTGAGTAAACAGTTATAAAAAAAAAATAATCCAATTATAAGAAATCAAATAAACGTCTTGTTTAATTTATAAAAAAATTGAAAATCGAAAAAATATCCAAGGTCACAACACCTTATCCTGTAACAAATGACACCGAACAAATCGATGTATTGGTCATGAGTCACCCTTTTCAATGGCACATAACAAAGGCACGTTATAGTAAAATACTTGAATTAGGATGAAAAATAAAGTCAAGTCACGCACTAACAACCGCATCTGAATGCCTTTTGAAAAATCTCACTACACTTGGAAGAATATCTAAAAAATAGAGAATTCGCGGTGGATATTATTAATATATTTACTTCAACTTGAATCTTTTTTTAAATAGGATAAACAATTGCTTTCGTGAAAAACTACAGATTTAAGAAAATATATATTTTTCGTGCATTTAAAAGAAATTTTTTCTCAGTGTAAAAACGTATGTATATTAAAACAAGTAAATATATTATTAATATTCATTGAATAAATATTTTTCATTTTTTAGGTATTTTTTTCTCAATGTATTTACAAGAGAGAGAGAGAGAGAGAGAGAGAGAGAGAGAGAGAGAGAATGGAGAGGGAAGTCAAGTCGAAAATATGAAAATTCGGGAGAACCGGATATATTTTCTTATGAGAAAACTTGTGATTTCTATCACGTTGCAGGCGTTCTTGACTTCCATGAATAAATTACACGACGGGCTTTGAGTGACAAGGTAATCGCTAATTCTATCTACACGGCACGTGCACGGTCGTGGTTAATGCATACTCGAGTATATAATATTGTCCGTCAAGACATATTAAGCAAACGAGGTCGCGGCTAAGGCCGTTCTTTGGTCCTAAACGATAGCGTCATGGCTCGCGAATGACAATCACGGCTAACTCTCTCGGCAAGTGTTGTTACTTCCTGAGTACGGAAGTCTCTCGAGACTATCGAAGATTCATTTTTTTACTTATACACAGCGGATGTCGAGCGAAAAGAAACGATGGTGGTTGATTCAGCGCTCTAAAATATCAAATTACGATCTCCTATAATTACACGTAAGAAGCGCTATTGTATGAATAAAGTTGGCCAACGGCACCGCAATTGGATTAAATCTTCTTGATTCGATAACAATATTATTGGAATCAGCGTCACATAGAGTGTGCCAAGTCCTTAAGACATCGGAACGTCCTCAGGAGATGTGTGCTGTTGAAAACGTCAACTGAACTTCGTGCTGAAATTTTTAGTTTTAAATTTAATTATTTTTAAAATATATCTAATATTGAATATTAGAAATCGGCGGGGAAAAGGGTGGGGAAGTACACGATTTATCTGAAGAAAATAGTATCGTCTACGTCCAGGTTTCCGGATTTATGTCAAATTGTCCGTTCAAGGCGTCCTGTGCACATTTATTAGAATTTCAATTGTCGTTAATAAATAGGTCTCGCTTTTTCCAGGTTATGGTCGAGGAAGCGTTCAGGAATCAAGTCAGCATCTCTGACTTATTCAAGGTGAAGGCTAATCGCAAGGCCTTGATTTACACCTGCGCCTTGGCTTCTTTCCAACAATTAACCGGCATCAATTTCGTGCTATTCTACATGCAAGACATCTTCGACAGCGCCAAGAGTTCCGTTCCGAAGGAAGAGGCGCCGATCATCATAGGCGCGGTGCAAATGTTAGCGTCGGCGGTGACACCTGTAGTTGTCGACAGGCTGGGCAGAAGGATGCTCCTCGTCTTGTCTGGTATTGGGACGACGGTCAGCTTGGTAAGCGGTCTCCCGTTTTTTTTTTTATTGAGTTTCAAGATTATTTTATGAGGAAAAGTTCATATGAGTTCATATGATCTCAAAGACTTTTTTATAGAGATATTTGAGGTTTCAAAAATTTTATAAAAAATTTTTCTTCTGTATTCAGTTTTCCTTAACATCTCGCAAATATCTCCTAAATGTTCCTCAAAATGGAGCAAACTTGAGCAAACACTTTTACATTCACTTAGTAGATACCATTAGCTTGCAATTCATGAAGACAACTTAGCAAAACCTCGTGGAACTTTCTTTGTAACTCTCTGAGTAATTTATCATTTTACTGCATACGTCGTAACTACAGAATAAAATTCTTATACCTTATGTCCACCCGATAATTCTCAATTATTCTGCAAAATTTCTAAAAGAATACGATTCAAGGAAACTAAAGAGAAATACGTTTCATCTATTTTTAACTTCCTCTCATAACCACCAAAACTTTACGCTTGGTTTTCTCATTATTGTGACGATGATTCGCGTTGAATGCCATATGTTTTCATAAATTTGGAACATTCCTACACTAACACTATAATAATTAAAAATTAAAGCCCTGCCGATAACTTTAATTCTTGAGATTTTGTTCCCGTTTGTTAAACGGGGCTTCAGTCCTCCCGTACGCTCCTATCGATCACACACGTCAGATCATTAAACGCATTCCACAGCTGTTCATGGTCGGGCGCGTCTATTTACATTCGTTGTACAACTTAGCTATTTTATAATTATTATTCTAATCTCGCATATCTCGTTATCTCGAGGACACAAACGGTTCAATTAACCGATATTATATGCGGCTCGAAGTAGTCTCCCGCGAGCTCTGTGAGAAATCCTCCGACAGGGAATCGAGCGAAGGTGAGCACACGATTGGAGGTTTCACTATTCTCGGGAGTGTCCGATGCAGGAAACGCAATAAATATATCGTGGGACACACGTTGCGTCTCGCGTGGTAGAGGAAGGTTGAACGCTATATTCATACGTACGCCGGTGTAAGCACATCGATCGGAATGCGACGCGATCGTTGCTCACTATTTCGAATAGTACTTCCAAACATTTATCTTATTTTCTCCATAGAGTACGAATATGCGATAAAACATAGACGTTTTCATCGAAAAAATAAAAATCAACCTGGGCTTTATCGGGCCTAAAATCTGATAGCTTATCTGCCGGCCCTCTTCCAACCTTACAACTTTGATTTGAAACATTTCTTTCGAAAATATATCGTTTTTGAGACATTTTGATGTCTAAGTTAAAATGGGACACCTATGTTATATATTTCCACATAAATCGTAATTCGTAACTCTAGTTAATAATACCGGGGTATATACGACGGAGTATATACTTGACTATTTTACCACCGTCGTTCGATAACTCGTCCGTTTGCTTCGCAGTGTGCCTTGGGTTTGTATTTCTTCCTAAAGGATGTGCAAAACGCGACCGACGTGGTGGAGCAGATATCCTGGTTACCGGTGGTCGCACTTGTCATCTTCATCTCCACTTACAGCGTGGGCTGGGGCCCTCTTCCATGGGCCGTGATGGGCGAAATGTTCCCCTCCAACATTAAAGCCAAGGCATCCGGTGTGACGGTGTCCGTCTGCTGGTTCATTGCCTTTATCATCACAAAATTCGCCAGCAATATCAACTTTTCATTCGGCAGTTACACAACTTACTGGCTATTTGGCGCTTGTTCCCTCGCCAGCATCTTCTTCACGGTGTTCTTACTGCCGGAGACGAAGGGCAAAAGCCTTCAAGAGATACAAAACGAGCTGAACGGCGTGGCTCCAGCCAATCCGGACTCCGAGAGTGGCTCGAAGAAGTGAAGAAATGGTATTTGTAACCGGTCATCCGAATGGACGAGAGCAGTTCCTGACAAGTCTGCGAAAAGAATCAAGAATCGGAGGTCCGGCAACGGGCCTGGCGACTTTACGCGCGCTTATTGTTATACTGCCAAATTCACAGAGACAATAGTGAAAAACGGGAACATCCCTTAACCTTCTGACCACAAAATTTGGGTCGGATGCGATCCCATCCCTCGTTTGTTTTACAGCATGTATGTACGTGCTGTTTCTTTTTTTTTTTAGGAATGCTTCGTGTTATTTGCTTATATTCGCTTCTTTTACCCATTTTATAGGTGGATTATATGAAAAATAAAAAGAAAAGCATCGGATCCGACCCCATCTTCATGTTGAAAATTCACCCTGTGGTTAGAAGGTTAACGATTAATAACATTGAGTCTTCTGTACTGTAAACGGGAGTCACATCATAATATATATTTATAAATGCACTCGTGTCAACGAGTTCACTTTCATCGCATCCAGGAACACCTATCTCTCGTAAGTATCCCTTTGTACAAAGAGACAAAGGGATTCTCGATATACCAGTGATATTCCTTCCAAGATAGTGTTTCCGCATTGAATTTCCGTTTTACCTGTGATCCGAAGACGAACGCGACGTGATAATCATCGTTGGTAATCATAATTAATAAATCTAAGTAATCGTATCGTCTATCATTCTGCGCGGTATCATTATTTTCCAGCTGCAAACGCGGCGCGAGATGAAAAGGGTCAAAGGGTTATTTTCGCGGCAAGTTCCTCGGAATTCGAATGAACGGCAGACTGGTCTTTTTTTCGAACATGTTCGTATGGAGATCATTAATGACTATGCCTGAAAAAATATTGTATTATGCAAACGAATATTTACACGAACGGCTAGTGACGCATCACGTGCATATCATCGAGACTTTCATCATTGTACTGCCAATAAATTGACGAATTTATGTAGTATAGAGAAATGTCCGAGAAATGTTCGTTGCTGTCGTTAATTGCCGACACGATCAAGCCGTCATTGATACTCGATCGCATATAATGAGGCGAGTGACTTTCTGATATTTCGCGTAAACGCAATGCAAATGCCTATGATTTTATGATTGTGCCGATGCAAAATAATATTTAAATACGGTATTATTAGTGTCCTACAGATCCCTCCTTCGATAAGTTATCCTATTTAAATAGTATTTTAATATTACATCTATCTTTAAGTGTACATTTGCTACTCGGATAGATCCAAAAAATTGAAAGTTATTATATTGTTATGTAATTATACCTCGATTCTCGTAATATCATTGAAAATTCCGATGCAATGCACGATTTTTAATGAAAATTTATCCCACCTATTTTTATGCATTTGATTACCTTCATTACTACGAAATATGTTGCAGAATATATATTCTGACATGCAGAACTTATTCTAGGCACAAAAGTTAATCAACGAATAAATCTTATATAAAATAAATTATGTGTTATTACATCGCTCTACGAAAAATCAAATGTTCCTCATTTTGTAAATACTAATATATTTTAATACATAATAAATCTTAATATATACATATCCACAGAGAAAACATATAGTTTTGTAAATAATTGTTACGACAATATAAAATGGAATTATGTTTCAATGGAATGTTTATTCGTTTCGTTTATTATAACCACATAGTGCTATCCCAGTAAGAAACCTTTAATCAATCTTTCGAAACATTGATTTTACGTGGCTTTTATAAACATTTTGATGTAATATTTTACTATCACTCGAATATTTAGCATTTAATTTTCATATAAGTCGCTTCCGATTGTGCTAAAATGGCTGTGTCAGTTTAACAGCTCGTGAATAATTTTCGACTTCGAATTTTCCAACTTCGTCGTCAAATATCGAATTATTACCGAAGTTTTGAAACTTCGAATATTTTCCCAGTAAACACCAAGCTGCAGTTACATAGCTGTCATAATTTATAACTAACAGTTATGTAACGAAATAAGTAAATAATCACTAGCTTGTCAGTATTAAATTCTTGTAAGATGTCGTGTAAATACTTTACGCATCTCGAAGCGGATTATATCGGAGACTGATCCAATTGACCGACTTGTTAGAACATCCGGCTATTGAAAAGAATACCTATTAAATGGAAATGTTGTCTGCAGAGAACTCGAACATAATCTTCGTACAATCTCGCAAAATTTTATTTTCAAACTGAGAAAAATAGATAACACTAATACACAAATGGTCACACCAACAGAAGATACGCAAGGGGATTAGTCGCGCGATATTAATCGCATTATGCACGTCGGACTATTAATTTAAAAAAAATTAAAATAAAAAGCATGAAATTATACATGTATGTAAGTGTGTGTGTATGCATGTATACATACATACACACATTGCGTGGCTGAGATTTACAATGCTGCATTAACGTTGTAATCTTCTGAAGGTACAATTCCTATTGTTCGCGAGTTGATGATATGCTATTTCGAGCCGTATAATCTTGTGCAACGGTTTTGCGTGTTCGGGTGTCGACTATTTATTTTATTTATGCATATATACATAGGGTGTTCAAAAAAACTATTCAATATTTATATGGTATATAGTACACGCTATATTGAGTGAAAGAACTAGCAAATGTAAGCTGAAAGCTCAACCGTTTCTGAGATATAAACATTTTTATATATCAGCGTCGAGAAGCCACTTACTGGCTACGTGTTGCGTGCGACGTGAGAAGATAATCTGTGTAAATCTTTATCTCGATATTGACAGAAGGTGTTTCACATGTCCACATCAAGTTCCACATCCTCTTTGATGAGCTTTCGACCTATGTTTATCAAGATTTTTTTTTACTCAATACGGTGTGTACTATCTACCATATAAATATTAAATGGTTTTTTTTACGCTCTGTATATATAGGAACTGCTCTCATTCTATACAAATATATTTCTTAACACACACATATATATATATATCATTAACATGTATAATAATATTTACATATATGATTCACACAAATTCACGAGTGAAAGGCACATATTGAAACCACGACGATAGCTCGACGATAATAATTTCGCTGTTAGCTGCTCCCGCCGCTGCTCCGTTCCGGTGCTGCAACTACGAACTCTCTTCCTTCTTCCCTATAAATGTTATGTAAATAAATGCTTCGGCAGGTTGTCGGTCGAAAATACGACCGTTAATCAATGCGTACTCGAATGTAATGTAATGTGATATGTGACGTTCCGAAAAATTTATTACGCTCGACAGTAAAACTCGCGCTGGTCGCTGGAAAGGGAGGGCTCCGATCGCCCACGTGGGTGATTAGCTAATTCAATACAAAATTTTCTAATTGTCCAGCGAAAAAGGATTCTAAGCACCGGCACCGATGTGAATGGATGTGTGCTATCGTGCGCTAACGGGACCCTCCCGCTGGAAACGTAAACGTTCACTATCTTCCACATACTATATAATCGCTGGCGTCATGTATGTTGTATCGTTTCCTGAACAGAGATTTTCGCAATTTTTAGCCTTATATGATCCGTAAGATTGAAAACTGCATAAATAACTCTAATTATATCAGTTTTGGCTTTGTGTGTATATGGACGTATTTCGAAACAAATTTAGCTACCACCGCACAAGAGATGAAACTGGCAATGGTGACAATTACTGGTGTTACGTTTCCTATCTCTCATCTCAGCAAATCAGTTGACACGCGGTTAATAAAGACGATTGTTATATTCAGTGCGACTGAACTAAGCGAATAAAATAGAGACGGTTGGAACTGGCTTAAAATAATTGAGATAACCTAATATATGAAGCGTAGATAAAAAGATAGACGTAATTTTGAGTAGAGTGTAATCAAATTGTACTAGAAAGAGTATACCAGAATGATATGAAATAAGCCGAATTAAGTCAGTATATAATTTTAAGATATCCTTCAAGCTATTTTCTTACACGCTTGAATATAAAATAGTACGTAATTTATGTGTTCGTACTAGAAAAAATTTTTTTATTTTATTTGCTCAGTCATTATAAAAATGAATTACTTATTGTCTAAGGTAATACATAAGTATCCATCCTTTGACACCAACAGCTGATTTGACTGGTGGGAGATACAAAACGAAGCACCAGTAATTCTACATGATGTCAATTTCATCGGTTTTTATTAATGTTAGCTAAACCTATTTACAGACACACGCTATATACAAGGATTGAAAATCGTGTAATTTTCGATCTAGGAAATGATACAAAATTGTTTTTATCTATTTTGATTTATCATTCTTTTTATTTTCGCAAGATAAGATCGAATCGAAAATATGTTCAGAGAAAAGAGAGTTTTGAACTGTTGAATATACAACGGAGTTACTGTCATCAACTTACCCCCCCCTCCCCTAAACCCTACAAGTTTTGTCTGAACATATTTTTGATTCGATCTTATCCTGCGAAAATAAAAGAGGTGATAAGTTAAAATAGGATACTCAGTGTATAACGCAGTGTACACAAATCAAGATTCAGCCGATAACAATTGATCCATTGATCATTTGTCTTACACACATGCTCTCTCTCTCTCTCTCTCTCTCTCTCTCTCTCTATATATATATATATATATATATACACACACACACATACATATATACATATATACATACATATATGCATATATATATTAAAAATATATCCTTTTGCTGTCCGATGTTCCGCAATTTGATCACCGACGCTACGAATCGTCTCGTTATATTCCAATTTTCTCTCATCTCGGTCTTATTTACATAATTAATTAATCGATACATTCCTGCCCCCTCGTCGTCATACAAACTCAATATTCCTATTCCGAGGAAAGATATTTCCGCTTCGCGAAGCAACGATTCTCCATTTCTCAAATGATAATGAACGAAAGCAGAGCCGAGATGTTCGCCAACTTTGAGCGATTGGTTTCCACGCGATACATTTGAAATGCTATTCCGTAATCATCCACTGACAGCTATCGAATCAGTATCGTGTCGTTTTCTTCCATATGCTGTACCTACCCAACGACAGCCGATAATTGTCGATAGACGTCTGTAGCACCCCTATACGCTCTTATTCGCGGATACCCGGGTGTTCGAATTAAACGATTTGACACTCATGAAAATGTGCGATGTGTGTACTCGGTGATACAATCAAATACAAGAATATTCGTCTCGAGCGATGCTTTGACATTTGCATTTCTCCGTTCGCACGCGTCCAATATGATAACAAGCTATATTAAGCTGAGCTTTCTTGTAAGACTACGTGAATTGAAAAATAATTTCGAACTACAGGACGCGTATGTGTGTGTATGTGTGTGTATAGGTGAGTACTCGTTTATTCAAATACACAATTCCTTACGTGATTTGTTATTCGCGAGCTAGCTGCCGGGTCAACTACGCATAAACATCGACAGTCTACATGTAAAACTACGTGTAAAACACGTATCGCCGTATCATCCCGCATCCGATAATTCGCATAATTTTCTTCTTCGGCAATACCGTAATACTGTCAAAATTATCTTGATTTGAAAGCAAGTTTCTTGACAATTGATTATATTAGATAGATTATTATTATTATTATTATTATTATAACATCTTGCATCTGAAATATCTCGTGCCGACGATAAGAGCACGATAAGAGCCGAGGAGCAGTTTTATGTGTTATTTTTTTTCTCCTTTTTTTTACAAAGTTTACATAGCTTACGGCCTGTACGACGAAAAGACCGTGTGAATTCCGTGAAAATTCGCGTGTACTTAATGATTAAGATTTCCTTTCCGGCGTACGGCTTAACTCTCTCGCGAGATAAGAACTAAGAGTCAATTTACGTTACCTGTGAACTATATAACATGTAGTTTACATTATTTGCATTTCATGTTTCTGAATTTTATCGCGATGCCTGGTGTACGGTAGAATCCAAGAAATTGCACAATTAGACCGTGTCGGTTTATTTAAAAGCGAGCAACAGAATCAAATCCATTTCTGTTCATCGATGCGGGTAAGCCGCGCATTCCTGGAAATACGTGAGAAAATTGTACTCAAAACGGAATTTAGAAACATAGCTATTTCTCGCCCTGACCTGATTCAATGCCCAGTTTCATCTTCATTACATACTATTGAAAGCGGATCTACATGAGTCGAGAGTTGAAAAAAAAGCATATACGTTACATGCATAGTTCCAACACACAGTTCAATNATATATATATATATATATATATATATATATATATATATATATATATATATATATATATATATATATATATATATATATATATATATATATAATATATATATAATTCTCTTACATAAATTTTTACACTTTCATACAGATCTTTTCGTTATGTTTAATAATATTTAATAATATATTTGCCGCAACGTCTGGAGCCGGTTTAATTTTTTTATGATCGCTTACAACGCTTACAACGCACCTATTGTTCGCAACATGATAGTTACCCGACAAATTGTTGAGAATATAAAGTGGGGGACGCACACACACACTTCTGCATAACGCATGATACATAACGCACAATGAGAAATGAACCAATCAGAATCCTTTGTTTGTCAATGTTACGTACGATGGAAATGAAGAACTCCAGACTTCACTTCCTTATGCATTATGTATTATGCGTTATGAGGGAGTGTGTGTGCTCCCCGATTTGATCTTCGTCCTTTCGCATCTCCAAGCGTGAAATGAGGATCTGTACAAATACGTGTACCCCTTCGTTTTCTTTCGTTTCTCGAGATATCGATGACAAATGGATCGTACCTACGGTTCGCTCGGTTGAAAATCAGAGATATGGCGGTGTACATATACATATATCGCCTCTCACTAAACGCTACAATGACACAGATGTCTCTACGACTCGAACGTCGTCGCATCGACTTAGTTACATTCTACGGGAGTAAGTACAAACGTTAGAGAAAACAGATTAAATCTGGTAATCTACAAAAAGGCTTCAAATATAGAACCTTGTTAAGATAAAGCACGGGTGTTGCGCGTAGCTCGTGTTGCAGCACGCGAATTCGAAAAATTCGAAACTAGTCTTTTGTTCTCGTTTCACAGCCACTGAACAGCAACAGAAACACTTGCAGCATATTTTTGTTCTTTGTCACAAGCTTTTTTCGCATACTTTCTACAACCCCTCTCTCTCTCTCTCTCTCTCTCTCGCGGTCGCCCGACGACGACGACGACGAGTGAAATTCGTTTGCGCTTGGTGTCCGGTTAATGCGTGAAAAAACTATGCGACCGACGACGGTCGCCACGGTGTAATTTAATCGCGTGTTAGACAAGTTAGCTAGCGGAGAGAAACATCGCTGTGCGGGATCATATCAAAGTGTTAATGTTGAAACACAGTGCCGACACGACCGAACGCTCCTCGGCGATTCGCAATCAGGGAGACATCAACCCGATATCTCGCTGTCTTGCTTCCGCAGCTGGCGGCAGGAAGCGGTTCATCAGTTCAACGAGAAAATAGGGTAAACAGTACCCGTGACTTTGTCAGCCACTTTGCGAGTGAGAATCGAATCGGGTGTTAACTCGGAGAAAATGAATACTTATCGAGAAACAATGTTTGCATGGCCGCGAAATCACGTGTACACACGACACGTTCCATGTCGGGACAATTTTACGTCACTTGTCATTCACGCCGGTCACCGCGGGCATTCGCGTTGTCATGTTACATCTATTAAATAACACGCGTCTTATTCTAATAACGGGAGTATTTCACGTTTCATTTTTAGAGCCGAAATATCGAATGGCCTGAACGGGAAGCGGTGCCGGTTACCCACGTGACTCACGTGACACGGAACGTGTTAGTGATATTTTAATTTTTTTTTTTGGAACCGTTTCCCCGGTGAACAGAGAATTTACGGTGATACGTGCGCGCGTTGAGACACTGAGACCTTCATTACGAGATAAAAAACCGATAGAGACTCGCACTCAAGGCAACCTTCTTCCGATACTTCCTCCGTTTTTTCCGTATCCACAATCGCGCTATTGTAATCGTCGATAGCCGTACTGTTTGCCCTATCCCAAACTGCTGCGTTTCGCAATTAAGATCTCCCACCTTGTCGTCGATATATATTCTAGTTTAATCAGCGATCGCGCTACCTCTGACGTGTCCTCGCGTCTGATATATCTTTCTAAATCGCGCGTAAACCGACGTGCCGCTTCTCCGATTCCGGATAATAATTCGCTCTCATGTTAAAATATCTCGTCGAATTTGTATCGGGAAGTAAAGCTGCGCTTTACATACACCATACTTTCTAATATCACCGTGGTAAGAAATTAACCTATTGTTAAAATAACTTTTTCTTTTTCTATATATATGTACACGTACATACGTATGTACAATATGGACGCACGCGTGCGCGATGAGTGCGTTTACATGTGGTCGTGTCACACGCACGCACGCACTGATTTTCCTTTCACAGCGAGATCTACCGTTCTTTTCATTATCCGTACTTTTAATATAATGTTCGTTGTACTGAATCAGATTAATTTCTTACCTGAAAAGTTCCAACTCTCTCTCTCTCTCTCTCTCTCTCTCTCTCTCTCTCTCTCTTTCTCTTTCTCTCTTCATTTGACGAGTACGGATTAGCAAACAACGCTACGAAAAATCCGGTGAAAATTCTTCGGAAGGATAATTGAGATTTCGACAATTGCGAAATTATTCGAAATTATTACGTTTACACGACTTCGCGACAACTAAAAAAAGAACTGGCAAAGCTATTGAGCCTCGTGTTTCTCGGCACGAAAAAATCGCAGAAATGAAGAAAGAACAGTAGAAAAATTAAAAAAATAAAAATAAAAACAGATCATATTCATTCCTTAAAATTTCAATCGAACGTAAAGCATAAGAAATGTTCATCTAACTCGCTCACAATGTCCTTATACGAATCAGTAATGGACAAACAGCTGTTGTTTCTTTCTCTCTATAACCGAAACGCCACTTTTAAACGCCATTGTTACCTCGAATTATTGTACTGTGCATTTCTCTACCCATGGTATTTACAAAAATATGTGTTACATAAGTACTAAGGAGTACCTATATCGTCGTGTAGCGGCACTTTTATCCTCTCAGCATTTCTCTGCACATTAATCGCAATTGCACTGGACTATATATCAGATGTTCGTTATTCGAAGAAAAAGCTTTGACCAAAGCTTTTTCTTGAAATTACCAAAGCAAAAGTCTCAAAAAATCGTATAAACCTTCCACGATAAATATCCTGTATATTCGCATCGAGATTTATACCCATTTATTATTAATCGGATATGATCCCCGTATTGTTTACTTAATCGGGCTTATAGATCGGTATTTTTGGAATAAATTCAATTAGAAGAACCTGCAAGAAGAAAGACGTGATCAGCATTATTGAGAAATTGGACACTGTTATGTAAGCTTATATATACATATGTTATATATACTCCTTACATATTCCATCATGGAGGAGCTGTCGCATCTTTGTTTCGCCAATCTCCAATGTAACCCGAGTTTATGGTAGAGCCTACTGTTTTCCCATTCTAATAATTTGTTTAACGAATGTTGAGTCTGCGAAAACAGGTGTGTTAACAATTACATATATCAAGTAATGTTTCACTAAATATTATAGTGTTCCCTAATTGATAGACCATGGGAGATAAGTAAACTCATATATTATTTGAATCTGATTAAATCCCTTTTAAAACTGAGGAAATAAAAGTAGCCTAACCTAGTCCAGATATTTTCCTTTTTTATATGTTCACCAGTGAACAGAAAAAAAGTAAAAAAAAAAAAACTACCATTGTAAGGTACTGTTGATTAGATCTTTCCCTGCTAACCATTTATAAACATCTGTCTTACCCTCTTGCTCAAACAAATGACAGGCCAGAGAGAACATCCTAGAGTACAGCAGCAGCATACACAACCGCAGAATAACCACTTAACGTTAACAGGTAGAGTTTTTTTCAACACACTGTTTATTCTCATAACAGTCGCTTTAAACTCTTCCGGAGCCACACGTGACACGAGGCCGTTAGGAAACTCCGATTCGAAACGATTGCTGAGACCGAATCTAAAGTGAAAAATGTCAGATTAATAACACTTTCATCGTTGTGCGATGACAGTTTAATGTCAACATAATATCAGTGAATAAGACCAAACTCGTAACTAAAACTCTTCTGCAATCTTTGGATAAAATCATTCGGGATTATATATTTATTTATGATTAAAATACGTGCAGTCTAAAATATATATGTAAACATCATATCATCCCTATATATGCAGACATACTTTTATAAACACACACACAAAATACTAATCTTTCTTCGATCCGTTAAATTAGAATCCTCGCATAGTTTCAAGGTAAGCAAGAGACGACATGTACAATTATTTATATAATTCTTACAAAAAATCAAGCAAAAACAAATCGCGTTAATATACACACGTTTGTTTTACCGAGAAAAACCACACAGTACTTGCTGTGCCATCGAAGCAGCAGCAACGACAATATTAATTACAAAACAACAATAACGTCACGTCGCGCCGCGAAAACAAGAAAATCTATCGCGGGCCTTTGTCTCGGACACGGCAGGATAAAATTGGCGTCACAATCGACGGAACAAAGAACGACCGCCAACGAACGAACAAGCGAGCGAAACTTACACCGTCATATTGCCAGCCCCGCGGATCACGATCGGGTCCGGCACCATGGCGACGTAGTGCTCCTCCATGTTCTGCTCGATTTCCTCTTCTTCCTCGTAGATCGCGTCAAAGTCAGCCATCGTGCTGCACCACTGCTGGTAGTTCGCCGTCCGCCTCCTTGCCACTTCGTGGTGCCTGGTTTATCGCGTAGCAACAACACGACGTGCTCGCAGCAGCGCGTCCTCCGTCGTCTCTTGCCAGGGCGACGACGCGCTACGTTCTCGCGCGCTCACATCCCCGCGTTCGCTTCCCGGCTGCTGTTCGTAGTCATGCTGTCGCTACGATCGTCACTGACGACCATCACCGCGGTCATCTCCGTAGCCGCGACACGGGCCACGCTAGGCCAGCTGTTAAGTTGCCGCTCGACGATGACGACGAGAGAAGGATCGTGATGTGCCGTCAGCGCGCGTGTATGTGTGTGTGTATACGTATGCACGTATGTGCTCCGTTTGCTCGCTCCGTCGCCGCGCACACACAACACCGAGCATGCACGACGCGCACTGCGGATGCGAGCACGATGCCTCACAGTAAAGTGGGCTCTCCTCATTGGGCCATTGACTGCGTTCCGGCGACCGACAGCGACATACGACGTATTGTAGAACAGGCCTAAAAGTCCGATACGGGCTTAAGATAACCGTGATAACCGAGGTTGGGATTTTCGAACGCACTCCAGCAAGGCCATAGTTCAGTGAATAAATGTAATTATTATCAACAATGTAGTAAAAATGAGACGCACGTGGCCCGTTATCGTTCATTCGTGCGTCCTGAGATATTGCAGGTAAGGAAGGTATTAATGTGACAACGTAAGATTTATTTCGATTTTGAATGTGCGTAAACGTATTTTATTAAAGTGTGTGTGTGAGTGTATAAACATGAGAAGATAGTGAAAAGACATTTTTTCAGAAAGTAAAATTTGTTCTATACGCTAGAATATGAGAGAAATTTTCTTTCTTATTATGTAACCGGGAATAAGGTCTCCAGCATGACGGAATGTTATTACATTTCAGTAAACATCCAGCAAGACGTTGCATCAGTACAATGACAAATCCACTTATTGCAGTGTGTCAGATGCGGTCGATATCTGACAAAGTGAAAAATTTGGAAGTTGTGACCTCGTTAGCGATAGAAGCCAAACGCAGGTCAGCCGCAGTACGTATATATATTTGGATTAGTAATATAAAAGTAGTATTGTATATTCTATATATAGAAATAAAACATGTATGTCTAAAAAAATAACGTCTAAAAGATGTCCTTTAGATGTTTTATTATCTAAAAGACATCTTTATGACATTTTACAACATCTCAAAGTTATCCATATAACACACATTTTACAACATCTCAAAGTTATCCATATAATACCATTACTATATAATAATTTTTATATATAAAATATATATATTATAGATAGCGTTCTTTCCTGAAGCATGTGATTACTTAGCGGACAATAAAAAGGATATCGTCGCCATGGCTGAACCTTTGAGTGGGCAGACAGTAGCATCTTACAAAGAAATTGCCTCCAAGAATGATATCTGGTTATCCTTAGGTGGAATTCACGAAGCTGTAATGCTTTAGCTTTTGTTGTACCCACACACACATATATACATATAAATATCAAGAAAGTAAAACAGTCATTTTTCCGTAATAATACAGAGGAACAAGAAGATCATGACATTATTAATAATTGTTATAATATTATTAATCAGTATATATCATTAATATTATAAATCATTTCAGTCGCCAGATGCACAGAAGATTTACAACACGCATATACTGATAAATAATGAGGGACAATTGGTGGCCACGTACAGGAAGATACATCTGTTCGACATGGACAACAAGGATACCGGAGTGCGTCTGATGGAGTCGGACTATGTGCTGAGAGGGACCGAAATCGTGCCACCTGTGCTTACGCCGATCGGCAAGCTCGCGCTCAGCATCGTATCCTTCGATCAAGTTTCAGATGCCCTCGAACACGTATAGTAGTCACAGAAATGCTTAACACAGAACTCAGTGTTACGACATGCGTTTCCCCGAATTATCTCTAACCCTGCGCAACATGGGAGCGCAGATTCTCACGTATCCGTCAGCGTTCACGTATCAGACCGGCGCTGCACACTGGGAGGTGATGCTGCGAGCACGAGCCGTGGAGAATCAGTGTTACGTTGTAGCTGCAGCCCAGACCGGCGCGCACAACAAGAAGAGAACGAGCTGGGGCCACGCCATGGTGATTTGCACAAATTCTTCTTTCCGATAATAATAATATCAGAGACTCGGAACCCGGAAAATCGTGCGGAAACCGATATTTTCACTCGGTCCGGGTACCTGAATAATATCATCAATTTTTATCATTAACTTATCTCTACATTAGACAAAAGTGTCTTTCCTCTCGAACACCAATCTCTTTCAGATCGTGGATCCTTGGGGAGCCGTTGTGGCACAGTGTGCTGAGAAAACGGGCATAGCTACGGCCGAGATCGATCTCGAGCTGTTAGAGAAAGTTCGGAAAAACATGCCTTGCGAGGAACACCGTCGCACTGATTTGTACTCTAAGATGAAATAGTCGGAAGTCCACTCAACATCATTGTGTATCCGAAAAAGGACTTGATAATACGTCATAGGCGGTTTATCACAATTAATTGTATTGTAATTATATTTTTTATATAGATTTATACACATTTCAGATACAATACGAATCTATGGTGACAGACCGTTATTCTTATCGACTTAGCAATTGCGATTAATGTCGTTATTACGTTGTTAAAATTAACGCTGTTATTGTACTCTGTTTATCACTTAATTTACTTAGAAAACAATATTCCTGACTCGGATACTGCAAACTGCAACTTAAGATATAAATAAATAGATTCTTCATCTGAATTTTTTTTACAATTTTATCATATCAATTTGCTCGGCCTTGATATACATTCTCAGCTGTGTCCGACTTTAAATTGGTACCTATTAAGTCAGCGTCCACTCCCTGTAACGCCCAGTTATGCTCACAAATCTCCAGCGCCTCCCATTCGGATTTGAAGGCTGCTTTCGGATCGGGAGGCATAGACATCGCGGCACCTGCCACTTGATCCTGCAGCAGTCTTCCAGTGTCCGCGGCATTATTTTCACCGAGCACAAGTGTATAAATGGATCTCAGTCCGAACACATTGAGGAAGTACCATGAAGCTGAGGAAACCCACGCAGCATCTAACGTGACCAACTCTATACCTCGTTGCAACATTGGCTTGAAACGCAATGTCAGTGGGAATGGTACTTTAGCTGAAATAAAAAATAAAGATATAAAACAATTGAAAGCAGGAAAAGGCTTATATCTCAATACTTATAATTTCGCTAAGTTTAATTTCGCGATACAACAAATTTAATTGAAATAATTCTATTTTTCTTTGTACGTTTGCAACAAACCAAGCCTGTTCTATAAAATTGTACAAAAATACAAGAAAACAAAGTTCCTTAAATAAACCGTGTTAAATCCTTAGAGTGTTAAATTGAAATACAAGTGAAAGTATAGTATCGCTTACTCGTTACAAATCCAGAGAACATCCAATTGATCCAACCACCAATCAGTACCATGGGTAATACATTGGTTACGTTTCCCTTCAACATGTCCGTCATCATATTTGGATCGGTCATTGGATTTTGGGAAACAGGAGCACGTTTCTGTGTCTTAAAGTACCCAGTTTCCTCATTATTGAAGAAATGTCTCCTAGTCATGAAAGCTACTTTTGGTATGTATTGTCCGTTCTCCCTGAGCAGTCTAGAGCGTATCATAACCTGACTGTAAACAAGTTTTTTTTTTTTCAGAAGTCGTAATTAGTAACAGTTCTACAAGAGGAACTGGCTACGCTCATAGATTTGTCTCGACCCACCTGTCTTGCACCTGGTGCAGTTCGACCTTCTTCTGCGAGGCGAGCAGTATCGAAACATAGTGGCGGACGATACCGACGAGAAACGTGATCACTACTATAGGCAGAAACACCCAGCCGCGAATATTCGGATCCAGCAGCAATTCGGCCATAATTGTCGGATTTCTAAATTTTTTCCCGTGTATGAATCTGTTCAAGAAAACGAAAAGAAAACACAATACGAAACGACACTCATCACAGCTCCACGATTACAGGTTAGTCGGAACCATAAGGTCTGTTCATTTTCGCTGCACCGCCGAACTAGTGCAATAAGTTGAAATGAGAAAACATATACTTGTCTCTCTTCAACTTATTGCACTAATTCAGCGGTGCAGCGAAAACGAACAGACCTATAGACAAATATCGAGACCGAGTGTTGAGGAATGAGGAGGGGGAGTCGAGGTGCACGTAAAAAAGGATGCACTCTGTTTTGTCTCCCTTGCGTTCTCTCTCGCTGATATGGTTTGTACACTCGGTCACAGGACGGTTGCAACAGTTTTTGCTTCTCTGTATGATTGTTCTTGGTTTAAGCACTTGAAGCTTTAAAGTGTTTCTTGAACGACCTCGATAGCATCATTATTGTGAAAGTTACAGCCTGCGAAAGTTATTATCTGTTGAATTTCGCCTAGGTTTTATTACAATGGAAAGTACATCTGACCAGCCCTTGAGTCATACTACTTAAGAAAGTACGTCCGGCTCTACTGTTTAGTCATATCAAGACCTCTTTTTTTTTGCACGTAAAGGGTGTACAAAAAGATGTACAAGGTCTAGGAACTTAGCCTATCCGACCAAATCACGACCTCAGTTTTTCGTTTGTTACGTCCACGATAGATAACTATATAGGGAAATTTGAAAGTAATAAAATCAGTGACTTACGTGGACGGTCAACAGAGTGATGACTCCGCTTTTAGGTCATTCTGCTTTTCACCGAGTTTACCCTGGGTCTCCGGAGTCTGGCGAAACGATCGATGAATCTGGTGAGAAATCAGAGCCACTCGTTCTCCTGGCTAGGTCTCGGATGTTCCGGCGCTGCGCGGGATGATGCGGTCCGCGATTCCAATTTCTATTTCGCAACGTTCGAGAAATGAGGGGTAGACCAAAATAATTGCTACACAATCGGATTTTACGACTAATATATTCTAAAGTATATAAATACACAAGTACCAAAAGCTAATTACGAGAAAAGAATCGCCTTCTCAACGAATGCGCGCGTTTTTATACGTTGCTTTGTCGCTGAGAGTCGTTTTCTGGTTGGCTGATGGAGTCATGGAGATGGAAGAAATTCATTCCATCGGTGTGATGTCACCGCGTCGGTTCTGAGTGGTGTTTGGATTCAGGTTTCATGCTCCTGTTTATGTTAGCAACGGGATGCCTTATCGCATTGAGAGATTACAGTTTCTCTTATCTATAGTTGATCCATCGATTTTAAGACTCTCTAACAACACGTCGTTTCTTCGGCGTTATAATTTTAATTATAATATTTAACGTGCGCGAATATACATATGCGCACGTACTTTCATCTAGTAACATAGGGATAAAATATCTATACCTGGTGAATACCTAACCTAGTGATATCTGAAATCAGACAAGTCGGCCTCCGATCTATACTAATATATTATTAATGTTTCAAAATAAGTCCGGACGTTACACGTTAAGTATAGTGGCGACTCGTAGCGGAGATTCTGGAACCAAATTACAGAAATAACGTGTTTACGGAATTATTAGACCCGTTATTTTTGCAATTAGTCTTACTCAATGTTTCGGATAAGTGTTGGTCCACAATAGGTATCTTAAGCCTTTTGACCCTTAAGAAATTAATCAATTACAGTTAATTATTCTCTTCACATTTGATTGTTATTAGTCAATTTCTTAAGACTTAAGGCTTAAAATACCTATTATGGATCGACACTAATACATCGCGCTACGTGAAAGTAGACGCTAAATCTGAGGTACCAAGATGGCAGGTCCCCCTCACCTCCTCAGATTTCATTCCCCGCGTCGACAAGGATACCTTACGCTCTCGTCCGGGTATCCTTACGTCCGTGGGAACGATAGAGACAGAAGCGCACACTGCTGAACAACGCGCGAGAGAAAGAGCGAGAGGAATCGACTGAGAGTGTGAGAGAGAGAGAGAGAGAGAGACCCCCGCCGGCTTCGCCGCCTCTCCTGCACCCCCCACGTCCGCCAGCGGCGGCGGCGCGGCGCTGTACGATTCAGTTCCGCTGGCGCACCGTTACGGGAGGTGAGGTGAACCACCGTCGTCGTCGCCGCCGCGCGAGCGCCTGTCCGGCCGCCAGAGTGCCGCCGCCGCGAGTCGGGCCGAAGTGTCGGACAGAGAGACGAAAATCGAGTGAGAAAGAAGGAGAGAGAGAGAGAAAGAGCGCGCGTGCAGTACGCACGTACTACGTTTCGCGAGATAAAGTTCCCGGGCGCCGGGCTATTGAGTCGAGGTGTATTACGCCGAGTGATGAGCAAGCGAGTTAACTAACGAGAGAGAGAGATCCGGGGATCCAGACCGACGACGACGACTAAACTCGCCCGACGACGCGTCACCATGGGCCTGTGAAGGCGGCGTTGAAGGAACGGGCCCTGAGGAGGAGGATCGCCGGGCGAGGGCGACGGACAGGAAGCGGTTAGACTTAAGCGGAGAGCAGGCGGGGGAGGTCCCTACCTGTCGCGGCGGCGACGGGAACGCGACGAGCTGGCTGACGCGCAGGCAAGCACGCACGCCCGCTCGACCAACAACCGACCGGCTGTCATGACCGCCATGTTATTCCGGAGGAGGAACAGCAGCAGCGGTGTTACGTCGTGCGTGCCGTCGTTGGCGCTCTGCCTCCTGGTGCTCGGCGCCGCCGGCCTCGACGAATCCGGTGAGTCCGATAACGCGTCGATCTCCCTTAGGGTGGGGAAGGTGAGAGGCATCATCGCCGATAAGCGGGTGCACTCCTGCGGAGCACCTCCTGCACCGAGAGAGCGGAACGAGTAGGGAGAGGAGGAGGAGTACGCGAGGTGGAAATGATTTTTTCTCCTCTTCTTCTTTTTTTTTCGGGAACGAACGACGGCATTATTTTGACTCGTGTGGCACGTCGCTCTTTTCGTTCTCGCAGTTCCGCTCGGGAAGAAGAGTTGTTACGCTAACGGCGTTGTTCCGCTCGTCGCGCGTCCCGGTGTGATTAATTTCCGATTCCTCTTTCGAAAGGGAAGGATGGATGTGTGAGAGACGCAAAAACGTTTCGAATTCGGCCGACGGATCCATCGGCTGATCGTTTTTCGCTGTTTTTTCTTGGAGTATCCGTATATACGATGTGTGTGTCTGTATACACCGTGTGATATGTCAGGATAATATATATAGAGATCGAAAGAGCCGGGGGAAGAGCACGTGCAAAGTCGCGCATTCTCATGTGCAGTGGAGAGATTAAGTGCGACCGAGAAGTATCAAAACACATCTTCGAAATATCGACACTCGAGTCAGAATTGCAAAAAAAAAACATTCGTATCACACGTCGGGATTCGCGCGTATACGATCATTTCCGCGCAACACTGAATTTGAGACCTGACCTTTTCGGAGTCTGTTTTACTATTGCGTGAAAAAAAATTTTGTTGAATTCACCCGACAATAAACAAACTAAACGTGCTTGGGATGAAGGCAGCAGAATTGTTGGTTCTTTATAAGTCGAATTCAGTCCTTATAAGCAGAAATTTTGTTCTCCTCAATCAAAACGTATTTGGTTTGTTTATATTGCCCGGTAAACTCAACTCAATTTTTTTCCGTGTTTTTTTTCTGATGATATACATTATATATTTATATATATATAGAAAAAAAACACGGAATATATATATATATATATATATATATATATATATATAATGTATATTATTAGAAAAAAACACGGAAACATTTTTTTATGGAAATGTTATTTATTGTAACAAAAATAAACAAATTTTACATTGAGAGAAAGAGAAAGAGAGAGAGAGAGAGAGAGAGAGATATAATACAAAAATAAACAAATTTCACATTGAGATATATATATATATATATATATATACATGTGGAATTTGTTTATTTTTGTGGAATTTGTTTATTTCTATAAAAAAAAATTGACATTATATCAAAATAGAAAAACCCGGCTTGAAAGTGTTAACATTCGTACATAAATCCGAACTGGATTTCGAGAGCCGAGATTCATAATTTGGATGCTAATTAAGAATGCGTTCGGGAAGCGCGCTGTCCATGCTGAAGCGTCATCGTCTTATCGCTCGTTAGATATAAAACAGGGATATGATGACGCTTTAGCGCTGATAGGACGCGCTCCTTGAATGCAGCTTATCAATCAAACATCCCGGACTCACACACGTGCGATTTCAGATTCTCCTTCTCGGTGACGATGAAGCGTTGCGAAACTTCCAGGGCGAAAGAAAAAAAAAGGAAGCTTTTCCGTTGTCCACGTTTTCCAATAGAGCCGCTTCTCGTTCCTCGAAGGCCGGAAATCCCGACCAACATTGTCTCACCCAAGTCGGGATATCTGCGGCTAAACCGTTGCGTCACCGACTCGTGCCGCCTTGTTCGAGCCTAATTCCGCTCTTAATTCCTGCTATTCCGTTTATCTGCTCAGCGTCCCGATGTACTCGCGCCATTTGGACCGGCTCCATCCGTGCTTTTCGCCTCTTTCGAGAGCCGGTAATCGAAATTACAATTGTCCAACCGAGATGACACGCGCGTCTCGCTGCACCTCGTCAACGATGCGCGCCAGGTGGTTGCCGATGACTCGCCGTTTATACGCCAATTCTCTGAAGAAGATCACAAATGTTTCTCTCACGTTGATCTCGTAGTTTTACGCAAATTCTCCCGATGGAAGAAGCAAGAGAATATATCGATTATGTTTCCCTCGAATTGTTACGACTACCGCAATTCGGCAATTACAGTTTAAAAGACGCAACAACATCTTTTGTAGCACCTACGTTGATTTCCGCGCGACGAGAAAATTGGACGAAACAATTATAACAGAGACATAAGAGACTCGCGAGGAATGTGTGTGTGGACGAATTGAATCCGTGAGCGCGCGGAGAAACTTAATTGGAGCTGAGACGACGAGGACATTCGATGATTGAGAGAATGTGTTACTTTTCTTCTCGTCGAGAAATAAACGACCGCGGAATCTCCCTGGCGAGCCATGCTAAATTTGATTTCATTGATCGCGTAAGAATAGCATGGGAATTAAAGGAGCGAACGCTGTAAGTAACCGAATTCGAATGGCATCGCGCAGCTCTTTCGCGGAAATGTGCGAGAGGCCAAATAGGCGAAAATCGCACTCGGTAATGAACGAAAATCTTTCATCTATCATATTCAATCAAATTAGTCTTTCTTTGTTTTTCTTTCACATCTTCCTCTCTCTTTCTCTCTATTCTTTTCCTCTCATCGGAATAACAATCGGCTTCTCGCGACAGGAGTAGACAAATCGAAGGAGCCGAATGCCGAGCAGACCGCGTCGTTGGAGATCGTATCGTCGCAGAATATCGAGGGTATAGAAGCAGGTAGCACACCGTCGCTGGAATGCTGGCTCAACGGCGTCACTGGCCAAGTCTGGTGGAGTAGCGGCGGCAGGAACCTCACCACCGTCAGCTCGAACTTGGGCAACCGACTCGACATCAAGAAGGCTAGCAGGAACGACACGGGCGACTACAAGTGCGTAGCACAGACCGCCGATGGCACACTGCTCGAGAAGAACATTCACATCCGAGTGATAGGTACGAGTATCCCACACGCGTCGTGTATATATCTTATTATCCCCTCCCCCTGCCTTCTTCCGCGTGGATTTTGGATCACCACCTATTTCGGTCGCAACTTCAACATTATCCGACGGGCCTGGTGGATTTTAAAACGGCTCACGAGGACCCGCAAAAAGCATCGATAACTTGATCGAGTCAAAACCCCGCCAAGTTTCTCCCGTGAGGGCGTTTCCTCAGCTGCCCGACAGATGGGATAAAGTCATCGGAAATAATGGGAATGATAACACATTAATTCGAACATTAAACTCGTACTTGACTTTTTGTAAATAAACTTGTTGAATTTCACGGAGAGAAAAGGCGCCGAATTAATTTGCAACGCCTAATATAGGGGTATCGCCCCCTTACGTCGTTTTCCAGAACCCGGCAGAATAACGTCCGGCGGTGATGTGAGAGCGGGAGTGATGGAAGCGGCCAACTTGACGTGCCACATACACGGTTATCCATTATCCCAATTTAGTTGGTTAAAAGGGAATGATTCAGAGAGCAGCGAGCATTTGAGGGATCTGACCGTCGTCACGCCGATTAACGAGACCTACGCCGTCTTGAGCCTGGAATTCAAGAATCTGGCCAAGTCCGGCAAGGACAACGGCACGTACGTGTGCCGGGCGAACGACTACAACGGCTTGGTGAGCACCATCGTGCATCTATTCGTCGTCGACGTGCCGAAAGTCAGCATCGACTTCATGAAAGCGGTCGGCGCGGGCAGCATATTTTTAAACTGGACCGTGAACGACGGCAACGAGCCGATCAAGAAGTACTTCATTTATCACATGAAGAACGGCACGGATCAGTATCACTACTACATGGAGCAGATCGGCGGCGGTAACTCCAGCTACATTCTCAAGGGGTTCGAGAGCGGTACCGCGTATCAGATCGGCATTGGCGCTACCAATGCGGCGGGCGCATCGCACATGCAATTGGATCCGCGTTGGATCACCACGCTTGAGAAAGGTACCTTTTACCAGACATTATTAACGTAGCACGCATGATGATGCTTCGAATTTGTGGGGGGCTAGCGAAATCTATTCCCATTTTCCCGAATTTGCCCGAAATTATCTGTGATCGAAACGCTAGAAATATATTAATATATTACAGATACATATGAATGTATTACAGATCCGGTCTTTGTGCCGAAGGTGTCTGTGAACGGCGTGACAAAGAACTCGATCACAATAGGTTGGACCTTACCGCCGCCGGATTTGAAGGAGCACGTGCATTATTACAATTTGATGGCCACCCACGCCGATCAGAAGAGAGAAGCGGTGTATCCCGCACAGTCGATCACTGTGTACGCCTTCATAGACCTCGACCCGGCGACCACTTACAAGTTCAAGATAGCCGCATGTAGCGAGTACACGAAGCAATGTGGCAACTGGAGCACCGAAGTGAACGGCACCACTCTGGATGGAGGTATGCCACCGAATGATTTACCGCGTTTAGATAAGTATCCAAGTATTATAAAATTCAGTGAAAGGGTCTGGCAGCTTAGGAAGCCTACCGTTTGATTTCAAGTCCGCTTTTTCCGCAGCCACCTCTGAGTAATGACGTCAAAAGCGGAGAAAACGTACACGCCCAAAATTCTTGCGAAATACGTTAAAATCGAAGGATATGACCATAAAAGTGATACTTGTGATAGATCGAGTACATTTGTACGAATATATTCCGAAAACTTTCCGTTCACTTGAACAATCAATAAGTAGCCGTGAAATGAACGCGACAAAATCACGAGAAAGGGTGGACTGAAAAAGAAGGTTACATGTCATGTTAATTTTACAGTTATTTATTGATTATTAGAGCGAAAGGAAAGCTTTCAGAATATTTTACAAATGTTGCCTCAATCGATCACAAATATCGTTCCATGAAACGCGTCCTTTTATTTCGATGTATCTCGCAAGAATTCTGGGCAGGCATTTTTCCCATTTCTAACGTCATCGAGCAAGACGATAAGAAATACGTTTTCCGTCTTCCAGTGGCCAGCCCTCCGAAGAATCTCACCGTTTATTGTAGCTTCGACAACATAAGCAGCGCCAGTTTCATCTACATCACGTGGGATCATCCGGAGAAGCCGAACGGCGTGATACAACGATACAATATACAAGGAAACGGCACAGCCGTGTTCAAAGACGACACGGGGCGTCTGAATAACGTTAGCTTCGACCTGCCGAGCTGGAGCGTGTACAAGAAGAATAACGCGCGATACAGCCATGCGCTCCCCAATACAAATTACACGGTATGCGGTTCGATTATTCGTTGCCTCGATCGGTTCGCTCATTTCACATTTCCACAACAATATTTACAAAACGTATGCATTTTTCATGACGTAAGATAATCTAAGATAACATAAATTATAAATTACGAACAAAGGCATTTCAAGGCAGTAACAATTCCCTTCTCGACTAAGACTTAATTTCTCCCGAACATTCATCGTATTATCTAGTTTGGAGTAACATTACCGTGACACAATTAGCCTGATTTAGCCTGAAATCCCGCACTGAAAGTGAATCTTTGACCCAAGGTTCGTGTACACGGAGTGACCAGATCCCGCACTAACGGCATGGACGCCGTAGGGAACTGCACGACGCCGGTGGCTGTCCCGGAACGGGAGAGCATGAATATGCGCAGCTGGCGGAAGATCGAGAGCCAGGGGAGGCAGTTGTTCAAGCTCCACCTGCCGCGTATCACCGAGCGGAACGGCCCGATCTGCTGTTACCGTGTTTACCTGGTGAAATTACCGCCGCAGAAGACGGTCAGCGACCTGCCGTCACCGGAGGAAACCATGGTCTACTCTTACCAGTACGCGCACAGTTCGCCGATCGGCGGCGCCTATATCGCGGAGACGTTCGACAGCGACCAACTGTCGTCCGAGATTTTCCTCGGCGACGGCGAGTCGTCCAACGGCGGTGCCATGTGCGACAAGTGTCTCGGACTGCGGCCGAAACCGGCACCGCCGGTGTTGCATCTCGTTCCCGACGTTCAGACGACGACTTATTCAGCCCCGACGAGCAACGGAACCACCGCTACCGCCGCCATCACCACCACTACCACCACCACCACCACCACCACCACCGTCGCGTCAACCATGCCACCGACGACGCCTTTGAGCAGCAGCAGCACGATCATCAGCACGTCCACCGCATCGACCACCAGCATTACGGATACCACTGTGACCGCTACCACTACCACCGTGAGAATGGACACGACTACGGCTGTACCGATGCTGAATAACACGGAGAAGGCGGAGAGAAGGAAGAGAGAGGACTCACCTGTGCAAAGAGCGTCGGTGGATGGATCTGGGGAGTCCGGCATGTTTTCGACTCACGACGGCTTCCTCGACGAGACGTCAAATTACACTGGTTTCATCGAAATTATCGGTATGTATGATAAAATCATGTTTGGCAAGTATAGAAGCGGAGTTCTAGAGACAAGGAGTAACGCAGCGAGTGACGCAGATCTGCGCGCCGAAAAGAAATCTACCCTCTCACTATCAGTTCAGATACTCCCATCGTTGCTAGGACGATAGATTAATTAATTTTTCTCGTTAACTGTTGCGATTTTTGCAAAATGGTCTATGATCTTCCTTTTCAATTTCAATTTGTTCTACCTTTTCCAACCTTGGATAAAATACGTTAGAAGTGCGTTCATCTGATAATTGACGATCTTGAGCAGTGTTCGGCGATCAGAAGGACCAGCTTCTACCAGCTTACAGCGGTTACTTCCATCCTCTCTACGGTGGGGTGGATCCGCTCAGCATCACGGCCGTAGAGGTGACCACTCTAGGTGTGATACTGCAACTCTCCATCGCTTTAATACTATTCATCATCGTTCTGCTGATCGCTCTCTGTATACTGCACAGATACACAAAACGTGCTCAAGAAAGGGAGGAGATCATAACGCTACGCAATAGTTTCAGGTGAGCATCCGTCGAACCTTGGTTTGCCATTTTGTCTTAAAGTCGACGAAAGTCGTTATCTTAGAGATAGAATTAAAAATATAATAAGAAATATTAAATACGATACATCCGCTAGATTTTGTGCGAAGGTAAGATCTGACGTTATTACACCACTTGCCACTATTAATTGATCGATCTTTTGAGTTTTAATTTTTTATTTTGAAAATTTAGTGTTATTTCGATCGAAAGATATCAAATAGGTGCATATAATATCTTGAGAAATTGATATGAAAAGTGGTTTCAGCGGAAAAAGATCAGAATTGTACCATAGAAAATTACAAAATTGATTAGAATTAAGTTTCTTCAATTTTCAATGAACTTTGAATTTCATAAAAAAAAAGGCACCGAATTAATTTGTACACTTGTGATATTTATGAAAAGGGAAATTTCTTTTTTTTTTAGATTTTGTCAAACCGTCAATCTGATGAAACTCCTTAATGGATGCCTTTTTCCCGTAGGCATCTCTGTAGAAGTCTGAGAGGAAGACATCAGCTCGTGGCGGCGAGTCCGCCGGACATGCCACCAGTACCCAAGTTGGAACTGCTGCAGGCGTACTTGGAGCGGCATCGGGACTCGGATTACGGCTTCCAGCACGAATTCGAGTTGCTGCCGGACCGTTTCACGGACCGGACGACGCGCGCGTCCGAGGCGCAAGAGAATCTCTACAAGAATCGTTACCCGGACATCAAGTGTTACGACCAGACGAGAGTGCGGCTGGCGCAGATGGACGGTATATGCGGCTCCGACTACATCAACGCCAACTTCGTGCTCGGCTACAAGGAGCGGAAGAAGTTCATCTGCGCCCAGGGCCCGATGGAGAACACCGTGTGCGACTATTGGCGGATGATCTGGGAGCAGCACCTGGAGCTGATACTTATGTTGACGAATCTCGAGGAGTACTCGAAGACCAAGTGCGCCAAGTATTGGCCGGACAAGCGGGAGACCAAGAACTTCGGCGACATCACGGTGGAACACGTGAAGGAACGCGCATACTCGGACTACGTGGTGCGCGAGCTGAAGATGACGCGATTGGGGGAGCGTGACGCGCGCACGATCGTGCAATACCACTTCCTCGTGTGGAAGGACTTCGTCGCGCCCGAGCATCCGCACGCGATATTGCGCTTCATCAAGCGCGTCAACGAAGCCTACTCGTTGGAGAAGGGCCCGATTCTGGTGCACTGCAGCGCCGGCGTCGGCCGTACCGGCACGTTGGTGGCGTTGGACTCGTTGCTGCAACAGCTCGCCGAGGAAGGCCAGGTGTCCATCTTCAACACCGTGTGCGATCTGCGGCATCAGCGCAACTTCCTCGTGCAATCGCTCAAGCAGTACATCTTCATCTATCGCGCCCTCATGGAGATGGCGCAATACGGCGACACGGAGATCCTGGCGTCCCAGCTTAAGCCCACCGTCGCCAAGCTCAGGCAGAGGGACAACGGCAAGGAGAAGTGTAGGATGGAGGAGGAGTACGACGTGAGTTTATTCTTCTCTCTCTCTCTCTCTCTCTTGAGAACTTGACTTTTCGAGTAGAAACGCAGCCGGGTGTCCGAAAATTTGACGAATAAAAGCGTCTTAAGGCGGTACCGGTAAGCTTCGCTGCAGTCTTGCTTGATGACTTTGGAAACAGAAAAGTGTATATTGTGCAGAATATAGACCGGTTGATATACAATTAAAAATTATTAACGAATAAAAGACAAATAACCCAGCAAGCAAGAAACATTAAATCGATCTTTCAAAATATTGATTTTGCGTGGATTTTATATTATAAACGTTTTGATATACGATACGCGCCCGTGACATTTTTATTTTTTATATTTTCCATTTTTTTACCCTCGATATTTTTTGCTTTACAGAAAATCAGTTCCGTGCTGGAGGATCGGAAATCCTTCTCCGTCGGCGGCGGGGAGGAGAACAGAACGAAGAACAGAAGCGAATTGGTGATACCTTACGACAGAAATCGTGTGATACTCACCCCTGTCCCGGGTAGGGAACATTCGACGTATATAAACGCATCGTTCATCGAGGGTTACGACAATTCTGAGTCATTCGTCATTACGCAAGACCCGCTGGAGATCACCATAACGGATTTCTGGCGTATGATCTCGGAGCAATGTATCTCCACAATAGTTATGTTGTCCGACGTAAGTGGACATGTACATATTTCTTTTTTTTTTACATTTTTGTCGCTTGCTTCTTTCACGACAAATGGTGTAGCTGTGTGAGTGTTGCGTTAATATAACACACATGGTACGCAATTTCGTACGGGAGATTTTCTCGTGTTTTTTTTTTTCCCCCTCTAGTGCACGATACTCCTTATCAGAAGCTGTTGCGCTGCTTTTCGGATGATGATATAGATATAATTTCATTAATATTCTTTAAATTTCTTGAAATAGAATCTCACTCGAAACAAGTGAAAAACGGCGGTATTTTCGCTCGAAGCGATAGCGAAAATACCGCCACTCGAAATAACAAGAACGAATGTCTCATTCGAGATTGAATTCTGCTTCTGTACGAGCGAACGTTTCAATCGGCTGGAGTGAATTCATACGCGTGACGGCGGAATATCTCAGATTCACTCCTCGGTTTCGAGCGAAAGTATATTCATTCGACGATTCGGAGAGTGGTAGAATTCACTCTGTACAAGTGAAAAATTGCCCGAGCGACTCAGCTCTCCTTTTGGAAGTGAAATGTCACTCGAAGAAATTCAGAGAATATGTCATTATCCTTTTGTCGCTCAGCATTGTTTGCTTTTCAAAAATATACACAATATATATACTCCGAAATATTAATTTCCGCAGTACACTTAATATATACAAGATGTTGCACAATCGGGTGAAAAAGGCGTTAGAGTCCCCGATTAAAAAAAAAAAGAAATAAAACCAAGCAAGCACAATTATATTCTTAAGGGAAAAAGAAATGAAATGTCACGAGACGATGTTACGAAGTGGAGCGCAAACAAGCCGAATGTGCACACGTGAAGCGGAGAAATCTTGTTTTTAGTTGAACGAAGGTCCGCGGAAGTGTCCGCGCTACTGGCCCGACGACGAGACCGACTACGATCACATAAGGGTCCGCTACATTCACAGCGAGAGCTGTCCGTACTACACACGCCGCGAGTTTTGCATCCTGAACACAAAGACTGACGAGAGCGGGGTAGTGAAACAATACCAGTACCACGGCTGGCCGACGGTGGAAGGCGAAGTACCTGAGGTGACGCGCGGTCTCATCGAGCTCGTCGACCAAACGCTCACGAACGACGCCGAGACGAATGGCTCGCTGGTCGTGCACTGCAGCTACGGCTCGGACCGGAGTTCCATGTTCGTCGCGCTCAGCATACTGGTCCAGCAGCTGCGCACCGAGAAGCGAGTGGACATCTTCACGACGACGAAGAAGCTGCGTTCCCAGAGACACGGCATGATCAGCACCTTCGTAAGTATATATATTCGCGTTATGGGAACTTCCTCTAGCAAGAGTCGATATGTGTGTGACACATCGAGTGTCGTTGTAAGGGCTTTCGTGTACGAATCACCGTGCGCGCAAGACGCTAATTTAGGCTGACTTAACGTTATACGTAACATTTGCAGAGATCTAATACATTACTAGCAATTAGTGATTGTTAAAAGAAATTAAAGTGCATTGATTGTTATAACAACAATGTTTTATTCGTCATTGATTATATAAGTTTTTGAGCGATGACTGTAGTTAAACAAGACGCAAGACGAAATAAAACTCGATCGTACCGTTGCTGTTGCACGTTACAGGCGCAGTATGAGTTTCTTCATCGCGCCATCGTCAACTACTCGGACCTTCACAACTTGGCCGACGACGAGCCGGTGTCATAATGCCCGGGCTAACGCGGACGCTAGACTATATGAAATACTCCGTTTGGTATTCGGACACCGATGCGCAAGGACGTTTCCTCGACAAGTGTCCACGAAAGAGAGAGAGAGAGAGAGAGAGAGAGAGAGAGAGAGAGAGAGAGAGTCCACGGACGTTCGAACGAGTGTGTTACGTACGTTCGAACCAACCAAAGATGAACGAGAGAGAAAAAGAGAGAGCCGCGTCATCGATGAACGATCATCGCCGTCGTCTCATCATCCTCATCGTCATCGTCGTCATCACCGTCATCGTTATCATCATCATCATCGTCGTCGTCGTCGTCGTCGTCGTCGTCGTCGTCGTCGTCGTCATTAAAAGACAAACGGACTGATGCGGAGCACGCGGCATAAACTCGCGTCCGGAGACTATTTGTACATAAATATACCCGCAGATTTTACATGTGCTGACTATAAGCGGATTACTAGAGAGAATTAATAAGCGTGTGTGAGGAGAAATCGTTGACGCGAGAGAGTTGTTCCGTGAGAACTCGTGGTCGCCGAGACGAGAATCGACGGTCCGCGTGGTTCATTCGTCGCGTGGATCCCCAACGACGACGGGGAGTGTCGCGGGACCGCGAGACCACGTCGCGAGACTGTTATACACAGAAGCTTATTTTTTAATCGATAGTCTAATGATCCAGCGGAGCGTATCTTCGGTGTTCGAGCGGCCCCGAGCGACCGAGGACGTCGAGAGACGCGCTCTCGGAGAATGGGCCGACAAAGACGTGTGTTAGAGCTCTCTCTTTCTTTCTCTCTTTCTCGATATTTTGCTGTACAGCGCAATGAGCACTGGCAGGGGGGCGTATTTGTATAAACATAACCACACCGTATGTATGTTCTTCTGATAAGGTATATCGCACGGTTCTTCGAATCGTTTCGTCTCAGTGTCGAAGCGACGAGAGAGAACTCGAGCGCTACTGACTACTCGCATAATTTAATGACCGATTACAAGAGACTACTCCGAGATTTCCATTTGACGGGGGACGCGCATTTTACGGGAATCGGCGTTTGCCGCAGGCGTCTTCTCGCGAAGCGAAGCTGAGCGAAGACGATCTTCATTCGCGGGAAACGTTCGCCTGTAACTTGCGCGAAACCTTATTGCCATTTTACGATCTGACGTCGTGATCGGTAATATTAATGACTGTACGCGCGTATCGCGGTATTTATGACTTTTTTTCGTTTTTGAGTATAGTATATGCGTTATTAAGGTGGGTTCACGCTGAGCGAGTTAATTCGCTCAATGTGTACTCAGCTTTCCACGATCTGTTACACGTATTGTGTGCGCGCGTGCGCTGATTTTTCTTCTAAAAAAAAATAAAGAGAAGACTGATAGTCTTAGTCGGGATCTACGATAAGTGTAGTAGCAGCAGCTTCAGTCTTTTGCTTTTAAGGAATAAAACGTAACATAATTTCTGACGGGAAGCGTCTCCCGCACTGCCAGAAATAACGCAGTAACGCTTAAGAATTTTAAGAATTGCAACATTTGGCGGTGCTGGAAGTGCTTTTTGCTTGGGAATTACATGCTGCGATTTAGTGCAAAAAGGTCAAAAGTCATCCGTTACACCCATCGTGGATCCAGCCCTTTATTCTCAGTTTGACATACGCGATTACGCGCACGTACTTTATTCTGTACAAAACCAGGATCGCCGTGAATCGTAATATCGTAGCTAGAGAGGCGGGAGGTGAGAGAATGATTATCTTCTTTTTTTACTTTTCATATATAGAAAAATTGTAGGTATCGATGTGTGTATACGTACGTGATATGTACACCGAGTCTCAAAGCGGTTCTCCAACACTACTCCTTCGAGGTCCAATGAGAGAACTTCGATTTTCGGGAAATTAATTGATAATCAATTTGAGGAGAAAGAAGTGATAAAAAAAATCTTTTTGGGACTCAGCGTACACGCAATGTGTGATTTTTCCGCGCGTGACGAGGCCTGTGCTCGCGACTTAATTCGAATATACTTCCGATTTACTTGAAGAAATCAAACAAAACGGAAATTCAATCGCGAATTTTGCAACAATTGCGCAGCTGTGGATGGAATCAAATGCATTCTAAATAGTGTCAAAATATCTGCAGCGCGTATATCTTCCGAATTTTTTTTTATCTCGAGAAATATAATAGCATTTACAGGTGAAAATGTGTATCTTCATAAGATATTTGTAAAATTAAAATTTATTATGAAATATATATTTCACGCGCACATATATATATTGATGTTTTTATGTTTTCAAACAAAAAAGTACGAAGTACGCGGGATGCTTTCTGTAAAATTTATATTTTTCTCACAAAGTTTCGAGTTACATTTTATATGATTGATGTATACTTGATTCTCTCGATATCTTCATTATGGTGAGTTCTTGATTAATACATGCGCGTGAGAAGATTTATAAATAATTGCTTTTGATTCTAGTGAAATGATATCTGGTCATTAAATTAACTGCGATTTTTAGTATATGCTCAATGATATATTCAATGTCTTTCTTATACATTGTAAATATATACTGAACTTGATTCCATCCTTGTATGCACGGCCGGGTTACGCGCCCTAAAGCCATCATCGTCCGGATCTTTCTCTTTTTATCACCGACATTGCTTCAACAATATTTTATTGCGACGTAGCGCTTTAACAAAACCGACGAACGAACGGAAATCGCTCGCACGAATCCGAGACTTAATAATTCATAGCGGGTGACGTCGAATCCAAAAGCCCGCATTTGCATTCCGCTTTTTACAAAGCTATCGTTTCATTCGTCTAATGTGAACACCTGGTATCATCGTATAACGGGTGACACGCAAGCACATTCAGTGCCGAACGTGATCTGTGAACGATGGCCAAAAAGGCAGGGTGGAAAGTATTATAAAGACGTGTTTTAAATATAAGGAACAAATTCCAAAGACATGGAAAATAGAAAATAAAAAACTTGCAAATAAGAAAATACTACAATAGGAAAATATATTTCGAAAGAGAAGCAAAAATATGGTTTGTGACACGTGAGATATATATGTGTACTGAGAATTTATTTCAGAAATATTTGATATTTAATTTCATCCCTACTTAGCAAAATGTTTTATATATAATATAGGAGAGGAACATTAAAGAATAATTATTGGTTATTTATAATGATTGACGTAATTGTGACATAATTGATATTAAAGTCGAAACACCGCTCGATTCTGAGCGACGACGGCGGGAAAACTGGTGACGTCGATATAAACGGAGGAATGGGAAAAAGGAACATGAATCTGTAGTTTAGCAGGCAAGGAAAGAAAGAATAGAATTTTGTGCGTCTAATTTCTTCGCACGCTCGTTTTAGTTCTAGTCAAGTTTAAGCTCCAGCACACGCGCTGCCAAGCCATAGTCTTCGCAGGCAGGAGACAATCACGTTAATTAATTACGATTCACAACACGTCGCCCCCGACAATTTCCTTCTCTTCGCATCTCATTCCATTTTTTTTTTAAGCAGAGGCCCTTCGATAAGAGACATCGAAATTTGTGTTGGAAATTACAATCCTTCCGTGAAATCTTACATAATGAAGTGAAGAACTTCGAACGTTTTTGCAAAGAGAAACACAGTTAACGATCAATTTCAGAAATTGAAATATCTGTATGCGCTCTTGCCTTTTCTTATTTTCTTTTATAAAATTTACTCAAGAAAGAGATTGGATATGATGTACAGGAGAAATTTTTAATCTCTTTGGAAGAAATTTCCGAGGAAAGAAATCAACAACTCCGACCATCCGAGATACCCGCGACTCGCACCTCAGTACGTGACTCACATCGAAGGGCTGCTGACTTGAATTAACGTTAAATGTGCGTCTGGATGAATGTATCCCGCCTTATCACGCGAAAAATATATATATATATATATATATATATATATATATACATATACATATATACATATTAGTTTTTAGTCGTTACCGCATAAACAGCTCGCTTTGATTACGTTGTAGTTGATAGAGTCTCTAAAGGATAGACAGATACTCGCCGCACACAGCTCTATATTTATAAGTATATATTTATAAGTATATATATATATATGTATGTATGTATA